AAGCAGTGGTATCAACGCAGAGTACTCCCAAGTCTGCGTCTCTTCATTCTCCTCAGTCTTTGCTTGGCAAAATGCCAGCGCTATGCGCTCGCGAAGCCTCCTGCGATGCGCACGCGCTGCTCCACCTAGAATCTTTCGCCTAATCCGGGATGAAACCGACTGTACCTATTCAGGCTTTTTCAAATGCTGATTATGACATTCGCATTGGCTCGCAAAACCTGCGGCACTCTCTTTCGTTAGTTTTATAGATTTTCATATCCTTTGAGCCTTTATATGCAACTTTAGTGACACCTTCTATAACTGCAAAAATGGGCATACATTTTTCAACTCACTAAGAGCTCATCAGGCTATGGTTAAGAATGAATTCGACGTTGTGAGTTCTTATTATACAACTTATATTCGATTGTTCCAAGAAATTTTGCGAATACTTTATTGAAAGCTCATTATTGATGCGAATAGAATAAATCGATCTAAGATGTTTTCTTAGAAGCAGTGTTCGGGTAAAAAGTCTTGTGATTTTGTGCTTAGCCGGACCTATTCGCTATGCTGAATCTGAAAATCCAAATTGGAGAGAGCGCGAATAGGTGAAAAGGACTCTTAGGCTGCGTTCATACTGATTCCCTTGTTCTGGAACTGTTCCCGCACAGTTCTCGCACTGTGCGGGAACTGTGCGGGAACTGTGCGGGAACTGTGCGGGAACAGTTCCAGAACAAGGGAATCAGTATGAACGCAGCCTTACGCAGGAGGCAAATCAGCGGGTGGGAGGGATCTTCCCCACTTTGAATTCACGCTCCCAGCTTTCGGAGCGATTTTCTCGGTTACGATTGCAAATCGCGCTTTCGCATTTGGCCGTTGGCGAGTCAGGGTAGTTAGCGAAATCGAGAAGGTGCTCCTGTAGGTGACAGCGTGAATTTACAGAGGGTTAGACTTCGTCCGCCTGCTGACTTCCCTCCTGCTCAAAGCCTTTTTCCGCCTTTTCGCGTTCAGTGTGGATTTGTGGATTCAACATAGTAAATAGGTCCGGCTAAGCACAAAATCACGAGACTTATTGCCCGGACACTGCCTCTAATGCGCACGCCAGCTATAATCAGCTTGAAAAATTTCATAGCAGGATAGAACTCCAAAGAAAGACAGGAACGTATTGCTGTTGAAGGCAGCATCCAGGCAAGTTTGGACATGTGGGAATCACGTGGAAAGTATTGGGGCTCTAACAAGGACACTGCCCAAGCGGCAGAGCAGATGGTGCAGCAAGGCTGACATATCCATCTCCAAACTAGACTCCAGTCGTATTGACGGATTTTATAATTTGCTCTCATGATTTCGTACCACGTCCAATCAGCTTTCGAGGGAGTACGGTGATATATGACTCATCCGGGTTGGCCGAGATGCCTTGGGAACTCCTCCTTGTAAGATTAGCCTTAGAAGAGCACGAGAAAGGCCGACAGTGATAGAATCAGTGATCCTCTGCAGCAGAGGTGACGCACTGTTGTCCGCATAATACTTTTGTGCGTATCTAAATCCAGAAGAAGGAAAGTCATGGAAATATCTGTATATTAGCTATATACTAATTTAAGGTCGGAAATTATCAATCGCTGAGTTTCAGAGTTTCTGTTGTAGGATCGAATTTTCACAAAGTTGTTTCAGCTGCATTTTTGAGGTTTTACTTTTGTTAAGGGATCTTCCATATCTTTGACTCAGATTCGAAATAATTATTGTTCAACTTACAGGCCTATCCAAAGTTTTCTCTATGAACTTGGCAACATTTTAAGACTAGTTTTTTACCTCCTGACTATAAAGGCAGCCGATTTGAGTATAGTGACTGACATACAGGCTGCCCACAGTCATGCGGGTCAGGTCCTCGCGACCGTCTTGCTCTGGCCTTGCGCTGGTTAACGTATCTTTCAAGTACTTTGACATGCGGGCGGCGAGGCTAGCAAGGCAAATGAAGATCTCTGAATGAAGGAATGAATGTTATCCTACGTGCTGCCTTAAAGGATTGCTGGTCCTTCACACGCTGCAAGCTGTTTGAAGACCAGTGGCGCTAAAGTGGCGCTTAATGACTGCTTTGCCTCTTCACCCAATTTGGAGCTTGAAGGTATTTGCGCGTGATATCGCATCTCAACTTCTGCAGACGCGATTTTCAGAAAGTAGTTCATCACTCCAAATAAATTATGCATAAAGCTTGTCATCACTATGCTGCATTACTCGCAATTGCTTCAAAAAAGGAACCTTGCTAGCCATGTCGTATGTTCAACTTGCTAGCCAATCTGTCATACGTTCATTCATTTGTATGGTTGGTCGATCGGGGACATACTTGCGCTCTATGTAGACCAGCTGAAGTTTTCTTTTGAAATCGTATGTCGAATTACCCTAAAATCCCTACAATAAGCCCGCCTTTCAGATATGTCCGCCTACCAGATAAGTCCGCCACAAAGCTTACCAGATAAATCCGCTTTCGTGACACCCTCGCGCAGCCTCGCGCAGGCAAGATTCCCGCGGATACGTCCGCCTTATTTTTTCACATGAAAACAAGAAGGATGCGCAATTGCGCTGCCTTTTTTGGTCTCAGAATAAACCGAAGCTACAGATCTTTATTCAGGTAGCATTCCATGTTCTTCATCATCAAAAACATTTACGGCAAGAACGCGGCCAAAAGAACGATCATCATCAGCGTTATCATCAGCAACAACCAAAGCGTCGAAGTCCTCGTTCATGGCATTGATCATTGATTCGTCATCGAGAGCCTTGGCAAAACTGTTCGCAATGGTTTCTTCGGTAATCGCATTGAAACTCTCGTAGACTAGTGCTGCTACTTCGCCGTAGGTCATTCTTTTCCTGGCACCGCCTTTTGTGTATCTTGCTCGTGCTGCATCGGCCATCCATCGTTCCCATCCTGCCCTCAGATTGTCTTTGAAGGGCTTGTTGATGCCGACGTCGAGAGGCTGTAGATATTTGGTCATTCCGCCTGGAATGACGCGATCTTTGAATGCTCCTTGAAAAGCTCTCGGACGTCTTCTGTGAGATGGCACCTTAAAAAAGCAAGATAAGCCCAAAAATGGTAAAATACGAATTGATACCTCAGAATCCAATATCATCAAATTTGACTACACTATCTTTTGTCTTGGATGTACAGGCTTAATGAAACAACAATTGAGGAAAAGAACAAGGAAGCCTAATGCTTTGCGAAGGTTGAGCATTCTCAGACTGTCACTCTTCCGTTCAAGAAAGCATTTCAAAAGCCGTATAGCGTGGGTCAACAGAGACTAGGTTCAGAACATGTAAACAATAGAGGAAGCAAAAGATATAGGCAGCCAGATTCAAAGTTGTAGCCTGTACAGGTTCGAGAGATGTATTGAAAACATTGTAGCTTCGAAAACGATAAGATGAATGATAAGAATGAGATGATTGCAATGATACGATGAGAAAACCTATTATGATTTTACCGACAGAAATATTCCATGTGTACAAGCACTGTCTTATATAGAAAAAGAACCCACCAGCGTATGTGATGACCAATCCGCGACGAAACTGTCAGCAAGTAGACTGCACGACTTGTCGAATCCTTTGGCGGTCTCTTTTAGGGGAGTTCACGGCTTGATTCCAATCGCTGAAACATGTGATATCCAGAACAACTTCTCTGTAGTCTTTTGCAAAACCATTAACCGTTTGTATCCTTGTACTTCGTCAATTACTGCTTGGAACAGACTATGCGCGACGATCAGCGTTCTAAAAAAGCTTTGTAGGAGATGCAGGTAATGTAGTTAGCCTATATCATAAATCTCCCCTGCCTAGTATTCGCTGAAAATGGGGTGAAATCCTACCTTACTATCGCATCATCAATTCCAACACACAAGAAATGTTATATCTAAGAAAAGAACTCACCTATCCAGCGTATGTGATGACGAATCCTCGACGATACTGTCGGCAACTAGTCTGCACGGCTTGTCGAATACTTTGGCTCTTCCTTTCAGGCGATTTCGCAGCCTTGTTTGAATCTACACCGGCAAGCTACGCGGGCGGTCGCGCGCGTCTGTGCTCCTAGGTCGCGCTTGCTCATGCTCAGGACAGGCGGACGTATCTGTGAGAGGATTTAGGCGAACTTATCTGGGAGACTTTTTGGCGCGTTTTTCCATCGATTTTCCTGCCAAAACTGCACATAAGTCCGGACTTATTGGCGGGATTTTAGGGTAATGGTCTTTGATATTCGTTCGAGCAACAGGTTTTCAAGTTGGCTCGAATAATTGAATATTTGAATGACTGTCTTTCAAAAATAGTCATGGACGAATAAACAGATAACTCATTTTTCCAAATTCTCGAATAAACAAATTGTTCGAACACAGGACTTTTTCATTTATTCGACTATTCGGCTAATCGAATATTTGGACTTTCTCGAATATTCGACTATTCGAATATTCGAATAGTCGAATATTTTGAATAAATTATTCGAGCACGAATATTCGGTTCTAACTTCATCCAGAGTATGTTCAACACTGTTGAATTAGGTGATCGATACAACTTTGAGATGATTTCATTGACCTTGAAGAAAGAAAAATGACGTTGAAGAAAGGACGGTTAGTCGCCGGAGATCATCAGGATTATACAAGAACCTGGAAAATGAAGCTTGTATATCCTGGGCTAACCAAGCCCTTTACTCTCTGGGGCTGGTAAATTAGTACCAGATAGTGTGGGAGGATAAAGGCACTGACTTGGCATTCCGCTGTCCCCCGCAAGCCACTGTAAAAAGCCTGCACGCACTCAATAGTAGCCTTTTCGACTATGAAGTAGATTGCGTTGCTACTCATCGATCCTTTACCCTTTATCCTTTATACTGAAGCATAGTAGGAACACTCACGATAGGTAAACAGCGTATAATTCGGAATTGCGTAGCTACAAATGTGAAGCTTTCTTCTAAGCTGCGATCTCCTCCACAGCAATGATGTTAATGCATGCGAGTTTAGTTCAGGCCTCAAATTGACTTTCTGCGTGGAATCCCCACATATTCTCATTTGCTTGCAGGGTGCTTATAAGGCCGCTAAGCAATTTTGGTAGTAAACTAACCCAAATTGAAGAATCCAAACTCATACACTCAGAATAGCTAGCAGGAGCTAGCTGGAGATGCTGTGGCACAGACCTCAATCAGGTGCAGCTGCGACTGATTTACTTGAGTTTCACGATTCTTCCAAAAACGAAATTTTTCATATCTAGCTACCAAAATCGAGGTCTCCAACACTAAAGCAGCGCTGCCAGCGCGCTTTTGAGGAACATCATAGGTAATATACTCGAAGTCTATTGTTTGTAGTACACGTGACCAATATATCGCTAAAGACGGGCATCTTTAGTATATCAAGCACGATATTTTTATTGTCAGACTTTCTAAGCAAGCTAATATGTAGATGCTTATGAGCACTCCCTTGTCGTTGCGGTTATGATTGCTTACAATCCAGGCAACATTCAATGGAAGATTGCTTGTAAAATTCGAGAGATTTGACTATGAGGAAACCTATCCGCATTGCATCTTTACAAAGTTACAAAATTATGTATAGTAAAAGAGCATGATAACGATATTTGCGAAGCTTGTAAAAAAAATTATGGTTAGCAGAAACAGAGCAATTCAGCGGTCACAGTATGACAAGCTTTGCGACTTCATTATCAAAAATAACTTTGCAGATAAATTCGTTCTCAAAAAGTTACGATACAGCAGCGATTCTAGAAAAGATTTCTATTGATGTGGATGTTCTTGAAAAGCGCTCAAGTTTGATACATGTAGGCGAAAAAAATTTTCATCAAGTGATTGACAAGGGGATTTTAGAGCGTGATTTCTGAAGTGAAGCAGACGCTTATGACCATGCCTACAATAGCAGAAATAGGGAGAAACAGTAAGGCTCAAAATACATTTCTGATGAAAAACTTAGCAAAGGTACTTGATCGCCTTGTTTCAGTTACAGAAATGGATAAGATCCTCCAGCAATTGCTAAGCAATTTACTTGAAAAGGTATGTCGAAAAACTATGTGATTAGAAAAATTTTAGGTTGTCGGATAATTTCTGTTACTCTTCTATTTTTATTTCTTAGGTATTAAGTGTGTCCGAAAGTTCGTGCCGTTTTTTAGACCTATTCTAAAATCGTTCAGAATGGGGAAAGACAAATCGTTTAAATAGTACCCGATGCAAAATTTCTTCCTCTTTCCAGCAGGTATGTTGACATTGTGACAGCTTCGACGAGCGCTGAGATAATTGCTGAACAACCCTTCATTTTTACCGTTCCTAACTTTCCCTAATTTTCAGGATTTCGACTTTAGACTTCTGAAGGTGCTCTAATAACCACCTGATAAGGCAAATCTAATGCTAATTAATGCAATTTTTTGCATTTTCAGCTTCCTCCTAGAATTTTGCTGAATTATTTTAGAAGAGCGCTGAATTTTGAAAAAGATTGAAAAAAAATTTCGCAGTGTTTGACGCAATTATGTGTCACGAATGCGTGACACATAATTGCGTCAAACACTGCGAAATCCTCCTCAAAATATTGAAGTTCCAAAACATGGTTCACTAGCACTAGTATTACGAAGTAAATGAGCGATTACGGCGCGGAAATGGATGGATGTTGGAATTCCGACTACAACCAGGGCCCGGCACGAGGTGGGCAAACAGGGTTTTCAAATTCTCCTTTGATCCCATTAATTTTACGAATACCCCCTTGAGTCCAAAAACGATGCTTTGTGCTTGTGCAACGAGAGCACCGGCCACAATTAGCCTAAAAGTGCTCAAAAGCGCCCATAATGCTAATCTCCTCTAATTTCTCCTCACCTGTATCAAGATAGAAAACAGGAAGAAGAATAAGCAAGAAAATGATGAAGGAGTAAAGAAATATCAAAGTAACGCAATCATAGGTTTAAGAGACGCCGTTCCCGCGCGTATCGATTGACTGGGGCGCGCTCTCCTTCTTAGGGCCGCATGCACTAACATCCCCGCGGGGAGGGGATTGCAGCTTAAAAGAAAGCTTTATACTTCGAAACTCCAGATACCTGGATTTTACGTTGTGTACCTTTCCGTAAGTATTCCTACTACCCTTCACTATGAACATGTTGAGCAGGAGCGAGAAGCTGTACGAACCGCATTTTCCAGCTTTTGTATGATCCCTGATGATCCCCAGCGCTTTTTTTTAAAGTCATTTTTCTTTCTCCGAAGTTAACGAATAACCTCCGAAGTTGTGCAGATTATCTAACCCGACAGCGATAAGCATGTTGCTGATAAGAACAAATGATGTTTTGAAGTTATGAGATTTTCGATGATCCACAGGTCGAAATTTGAGGTTTACCGAAGTAGCACTGTTGTGTTAGATGTTCAGTACAAATTTGGAATGTTTTCGAACTTCGGAAAAAGAAAAATGACTTCAAAGAAAAGCGCCGGGGAATATCAGGGATCATACAAAAGCTGGAAAATGCGGTTCGTACAGCTTCTCGCTCCTGCTCAACATGTTCATAGTGAAGGGTAGTAGGAATACTTACGGATAGGTACACAACGTGAAATCCAGGTATCTGAAGTTTCGAAATATAAAGCTTTCTTTTAAGCTGCGATCCCCTCCCCAGCGGGGAGATTGCATGCGGCCTTTAGAAAGCTAGGTGCTGATGCGATTTTAGGTTCCAACAAAGACAAGAGGAGGAGTTTCGGAACAAAATCTCATCATGTAGTAAACTTTAGGTGTACAATAGACTTATGTAAAAAATTTGAAAAATTTATGTGAACTGAAAGTTTTGCCTAACTCAGGTGGGCATGTGGTGGGCAATTGCCCACCTAATTTGGAAAATAGTTGGGCACGTTTTTCATTCACATAAGTTCTTTATAATTTTCATACTTTGTTTCTTAATCCTACTGCGCCTATACACACCAAGTTTCGCGCGATTTCGTTTCCTCCGCGCTGCAAACGAGCCATTTATCTATTTTCTTGATAGTGGGAAGTTTTCAGAAAAAAGCTTGCCCCACAACCTTTAGTCACATAATTTTGCAATGAAACTTCTAAGTTAAGCCGCAGGCCCGTATTCATACACCTACCAAGTTTCATATCGTATGGTCATCTGTGCGCTCTAGACGAGCCATTTGAATTCACATCTTCATTTACCACTTTTGCAAAATCTTTGGAAAAAATGCTTATTACACCTCCCATTCACCTAGGTTTTTCATAATATTTCACACTTTGTTTCTACCAGCCTCTCTTCATTCGCTTACGTAATTTGGGCTGTATCGTTACGCCTGCATTGAGAACTGGTCATGCAATCATGCCGTTCAACGGCATCGCTTACGCGACGTCGCGCACGCGGCAATTAGCGGCGGCGCGGCGTAGCGCGCGCGAACTCTGCTATGCGTTGATGCTTATGAAAACTACTTCCCAATGAATTAGATGTATAAGGTAATAAGCATAATTCGACCTTCTTTTGCTTGCACTTGGAATCCTCTTCCGGGGCTACGCCCAGGACCCCGCAAAAACGATTTCCCCTTTGCTTTTTCCACCAAAAACGATTTCCAGCTTGTCTGCTCACCTCGTGCTGGGCCCTGACTACAACCTTGCGCACCTGTAAAATTGGGAAGTACAGCGACTTTATCCGCAAAAGTCGCATGTTTCGCGAAGAAAAGGTGCTGTCAGAAAGAGGAGAAAAATAGGCATCGAATAGTACCTAATTATTCAATGTCTGATGCTTTGCGAAATAAGAATGAGCCAAGTATAAAATTTGGTCACCTCTGAAAATATGCGTAATTCCAAAAATTCCAAAAAGCATGCTAGATGCAAGAAATTGCATTAATTTGCAAAAGGTTTGCCTTATCAGGTAATTATTAGAGCACCTTCAAAAGTCTAAAATGAAAATCCCGAAAATTAATGAAAGTGAGACATGGTAAAAATAAAGGGTTCGAGTTTTCGGCGATCATCTCAGCCTCGTTGAAGCAGTCACGTAGATATAGCTGCTGAAAAGAGGAAGCACTTCTCGGATACTTCTAAAAAGATTTGTCTATCTTCATTTTGAAAGATTTTTGAATAGGTCTAAAAAACGGCACGACCTTTCGGACCCACTCAATATCTAAGTAAGAAACTTTCGAAAATTCTTGTGTTATCCAGTTTTGACGGGATTAACCCACCAGTAGTGTTAGGGAACGGCCATAGGTTCGCAGTGTTCGCAGTGTTCGCGGTGTTCCTGGTGTTCGTGGTGTTCGCGGTGTTCGTGGTGTGTTTGGGGCTTTCGTTCCCCTACCCAGGCATTATAATGGAAAAATTTTTGTATCTTGTGTGGTGTGCCACACCTAACACTTGACCCTGCCGGCAACTCCGACAACACCGACAACACCGCAGACACCGGCAACCACGAACACCGCGAACACTGCGAACACCGCGAACACTGCGAACACCACGAACACTACGAACACCGCGAACATTACGAACCTATGGCCGTTCCCTTAGATCGATCCGTGGTCCGTACGCAAAACGTCCACTTTAAGGCTGGGTTCATACTGATTCCCATGTTCCGGAACTGTTCCCGCACAGTTCCCGCACTGTACTCTTTCACGTACATGTTCCGGATAAGTAGAGAAGAACAACGTTCTTTCCTCAACCCCGCTTCAAGTTCACAGCTTTTCTCATCTTTAGGAGAAGCGGGGTAGAAGAATAAGGCCAAAATTAGAGGAATCTCGAAGAAAAACCGTTAAAAACGGTCAAAATTCTCCAACTCCCGCTGTTCAAAACGCGTGTGGGGCGGTTGCAGTGCATGCAGCACAGTTCCGGAACAATTCCAGCAAGTGCGGGAACTGTGCGGGAACAGTTCCGGAACATGGGAATCAGTATGAACCCACCCTAAAGGTGAAAGTGCATTTGATGGACAATTTTGTCAACCGGCTGGCATTCTTCCAGGTGATCCGGGAGAGACCGGACGATGTGGTAATCAGGCAGAGTATAGCCCAAAGTTTTTAGCAAGTATAGAGGATGTTATAGTCATGTCCGTACTTGATCACATTAAGTACATGTTGCGCTATCTAAACGCACATTCATATTATAACAGGAAAGAAGTTTTAACACGTTTCGGACCGGTGCTGCACATGGTGCAGCACCGGTCCGAAACGTGTTAAAACTTTGAAGGTTTTTTAACGTTTACAGGAGGTTTTCGTCCAAGGTTATCAAGTCAAAGGCCTAAGCTCCTTCTTTTCAAATGAATCTGTAAAGCTGTGCCGCAGATATTTGTTTAGAAGATATGAGGACAAATCGAGCAACGGTTGCAACGAAGAGCGGCAACGCGAACAACGCATGCGACGTCGCAACTTTTCTTTGCTCCTAATTTAATGAGAAAAACAGTAGTTTCAATAATGATGCGTACTGTGTACAACATACATACTTTTGTGTACTATTAAAAACTGAGTCCTTGTTCCCATTTTTTAAGAAAGCACAGAAGTCCTTTTCAAGCGACAAATCTCAAACACTTCGAATTCACTCAGAACTTGGGGTATGGAGCTTATCTGACATGCTGATTACAGATGTAGCACACAGTCTATGAAATAAGGCCTCTTTATTGGCTAACGGCTGAAAGTACACTCTTTTTCGCCGCGCGCGATTTCGCGGTCCGAAACGTGTTGAAAATTTACAGAAATTATTTCCGATCTCTTCGTATCAAATCCTACACGATGCCAAAGAGAAAAACTTTCTGAAAATTTTCAAATTTTTCTCATTTCATTTTGCACCCGTCGTTTTTGACATGCTAGTGGCACCAAATTGCTGCTATAAAAGAGGAAATGCAAAATTATGTTTTAAATAAATTGGGGAGAAAAAAGACAATTTGACTCTGAGAAAAAATTAAAGAAGCAAAAAGTTTAAATGTGCTTAACAAGTTGTCGGTAAACACATCTGCATTTGCAGCATCTCAAACTGTTGTTACGTACTGCCATGCCCTAAATATTGAGCAAATTTGAAGATTCTAGAAAGCTTCCGGAAATTTTCAGAATTTACAAAAATAGTGTGACCTGTACTGGTCAGAACTTTGAAGGGAGCAGTAATTTTACAGAGAAGTGTGAGTTATAGTCGGAAACTAATTCAGCGATTTAACTTGCCTCGTTTGCTATCATCCTGCTTATATTTAGCCATTCGCGCATCACTCCCATCAAATAAGCTGGCGCATTTACCTGAGTGTTTTAACAGATTGATTCAAGAGATAATAGATTCAAGAGGTCGGTCAGAGTTTGCCAGTGTTGCTTGTGTTGAAAGTGTTGCCAGTGTTGAAAGTGTTGAAAGCGTTGCCAGTGTTGAAAGTGCTGAAAGTGTTGCCGGTGTTGAAAGTGTTGGATGTGGAAATCATCAGTTTTGCAGTTTCATTCCTTCTCAAGCGATCTCAGCTGGTGAGTACTTTTGAAATGGAAATGGGAAATAAGAAATGAAAGTACATACCTAGAATGGGAAAAGCTTTCGCATGAAAAGGTCCTTTGCAAAATTATGGAAAGAAGAAAACTTGTTTTGCATAGGCAATCTCCGACATTTGAGATGGCTGCTAAAGTCTGATAAGAATGTCGAACGAAATGAGAATGTTGGACGTCGAATCCGGCGCTTCTGCGAATAGTGAGCAAAGGACTAATGGGAGGTCTTGCAGCCTTCCCAAATGTTGGAGATTGCCTCTTTCAAACAAGTCCTTCACTTTCCAAAAAGTTCGTATGAGGAGCTTTTGCGATCTCATTTTCCAATACCCATTCCAGACGTACTCACCAGCCAGTGAAATCACTCGAGGAGGAATGAAACTGCAAGATTGATGATTTCCACTTTCAACAATTTCAACATCGGCAACACTTTCAACACCGGCAACGCTTTCAACACTTTCAACACCGGCAACACTGGCAAACTCTGACCGATCCCTTGGGTCCTTCGTTGATTAGCAAACAACCAAAGCTAACCGAAATTTCGGTTATAATCGGAAAAATTCAGATCATTGGTTTATTTCGTTATCTTCAGAGTAAATTATGCAAATACATCCTCAGTATGATAGCTTGACAGGTTCTCAACTTCTATTTGCATTTGCAATAAAATTGGTACACTTATTGTATCCAACGAAAGTGTCATGAGCCCAAAAAAAACGCAAAAGCTCTATTCAGAAAATTCCGTTCAGGTTCCCATTTTGTTCCCTGTGTTCAATATATCGCATCGCTAAATTTAGATTGAATGTATAAATAGAATGCCTTAGCTAATTGCGCGGCAATGAAATAATCTAACCGGATCCATCATTACTCAGCTGTATCAAACGTTTCTTCACACTTGCTGCGCTGCACTATCAATTCTAGAGCTCGGTGCATAGACAAAGATCTTTGACCCGTAGTAATCCCTCGGAATATGTTGAAATTCAAAGAAAGCAAGGTTATAACGTGTCCGACCAAAGCGCTTGCTGCCCCCCCCCCGTCATCCCGAGAATGGGTCGCGAAATTTTAGGCATTTTATGTTTCGCAATGCCATTTCTCCCCACCAAAAAAAAATTCAGCAAATTTTGCCCATTTACATAAAGACTAAGTAGCCCGCAACTTGCAATATATAGGAACACATGGCACTCATGTCCGCCACCATTAGCTCAGCGGCGTTCAACCATGTCGCTGCGTATTCGCATTGCTCATAGCGATTCCATCGCATGGATGTGCGTCTTGATTGCGAAAAGATAAAGGCTTTGCATACATTTACATCTTGCATAGAAACCGGTGGCGTAACCGGGATTCCGTTAAGGGAAGGGGGGGGCACCCAAGAAAATCTTTGGAATGCATCTCAAAATTTCGCGGGCACGTAACCCGAAATTTTTTTATAAATTTGAATGAAATTTGCAAAAAAATTTTAAAACTAAATCACTCCAGGTATAAACAAGTTACTTGCACATTTTTTATAACTCAGGTAAGTAACTCTCAAAAATCTCGCGACCCATTCTCGAGATAGGGGGAAGGGGTAGCAGGCGCTTCGGTCGGATACGTTATGACCTTGCTTTCTTCAAATTTCAACATATTTCGAGGACTTACTAAGGGCCAAAGATCCTTGTCTGTGCACCGAGCTCTAGAACGGGTAGTGCAGCGCAGCAAGTGTAAAGAAACGTTAAAGGAGCTGAGTAATGATGGATTCGGTCAGATTACAAATTATTTTATTGCCTCGCAATCAACTGAGGCGTTCTATTTATACATTCAATATACATTATATACACTCCGACTATAACTCACACTTCTCTGTGAAATTACTGCTCCCTTTAAAGTTCTGACCTTTACAGGTTACACTTTTTTAAAAATCCTGAAAATATCCGGAACCTCTCTAGAATCTTCAAATTTGCTCGATATGTAGGGCATGGCAGTACGTACGCAACAACAGTTTGAGATGCTGCAAATGCACAGATGTATTTACCGACAACTTGGTAAGCACATTTGAACTTGTTGTTCCTTTAAGTTTTACTCAGAGTGAAATTGTCTTTTTTCTCCCCTGTTTATTCAAAAGACAATTTTGCATTTCCTCTTTTATAGCAGCAATTTGGTGCCACTAGCATGTCAAAAGCGACGGGTGCAAAATGAAACAAGAAAAATCCAAGAATTAAATCTTAAAGGCAGTGTCCGGGCAAAAACTCGATTCTGAGATTTTGTGCTTACCCGGGTCTATTTGCTATGCTGAAACCGAAAATCCACATTGGAGAGCGCGAAAACACCGAGAAAGGGCTTTAATACTGGATGGAAATCAGCAAGTGGGCGGAGTCTTCCCCACGCCAAATTCACGCTCCCAGCTTCAGGGGCGATCTTTTTGATTCCGGTTTCAAGTCATTCGTTTGCACTTGATCGGTAGTGATGTCAGGGCGGCTAACGGACTCGAGAAAATTTCTCTGGAAGCTGGAAGCGTGAATTCACAGTGGGGAAGACCCCGCCCACTTGCTGATTTCCCTCCAGTGTTAGAGCCGTTTTTGTCGTTTTCGCTCTCTCCAATGTGTTTCGGATTCAGCATAGCGAATAGGCCCGGGTAAGCACAAAACCTCAAAATCGAGTTTTTGCCCGGACACTGCCTTCAATGGCAGTGTCCGGGCAAAATGGGGGTTCTGAGATTTCTCTGCCATGTGAAAGTAGCCCCCCTGAGACACAACATCGCGCAACTGCGAGCATAAAACGTTCGACCTAAAGCAAGAAAAACGATTGCAAATTGGGGAAACTTACGCCTTGGGGCGGGGTCCTCCGAGTTGTTTGAATTCCTGCCAGACGGCACCGTGCGCTCTTTGCAACCTCTGCGTCTTAGCCTGGCGGGGATCCCCAAATTTCGAAATGCGAGGACTTGGAAAATGCATGTTCTCGCCGTTTTCGCGCCTTCTAATGTGGATTTTCGGATTCAGCGTTCGGATAACCCCAGATAGGTTGATTTTTTAGAAGTCGAGTTTCTGCCCGGACACTGCCTTTAAGTCTGAATTAATTTTAATTAATCAATTTCAACAGCTAACTGAGCCTGCAACCTTGTCAGACCAATATTCTACCGTAATTTAATACATTTTCAAAGAACAAGAAAAACGCTTTTTAATGGCACAAACATCACCGCATTAAACATGATCGCGAAATCTCATAGGACCCTGCTTCGAACTCAAAGCCATATAAAGGACAGAAGTTAGGCAGAGCTAGTATATTATATCTATCTAACGAAATAGGAAGATGATCATTGAAAACTTACTTGTAAATCAAATTCACTAATGATAGTAGCGCAGTGAGAAAGGTTCACGTATGTGTGATTTTATATGCAGTTAGTTCAAATGGCCAAATTTGGAATATTTTGCAAACTAGAAATGGCGCTATCTCATGCAAAAAAAAACAGTACCTGTGTTTATTTTCCAGATAAAGCCCTTGTTGGATGCTAACAGCGTACATTTCGAGCAAATCCGACTCCATCAAAAAGAACTACAGGACTGTATGTCGATGGCAGTACCTAATCTAGTTGTAAGTCAGGCTTCTCATCATTTCACACGAAAATAATTACCTTAATTCGCATCAAAATTTCTACGACACCGTGTTGACAATTTTTTGATGTAGAAGGCATTTGCGGATTATTCGCCACACTGTAAAAGCTTGAGTGCAATATGGGATGGAATGAGTACCTTTGTTTGTAAAAATATCACCGCTCCAGCACAGGGACTATGGCTAGCCATAAGTACTGCTTCATTTTATGGATTTCTATTTCTGAAACTTCTTTTTTGTAGATATCTGTGCTATCGGCACTGCCGGCATATACTGTGCCTTCTGCGGCACTGCGATGTTGTGGCGAAATTTGGGAAGTTTAACCGAATCTCGTCCTGCAAGATGGCGCATAGTAAGTAAAAAGTGTAAATCTACTGTAAATGAAAAATACCGCTATATTTGCAAGGTTAATTCAGAAGTTAGCTTAGTGAATTATCAGTCCAGCAAAGGACATTGTGTGAGAAGAAGATACAACAATCTACTCCTTACATACTTGGAAGCTTGATATGTAGTCTATATTTTATTGAGCGAGATTGAGTAGTTCAAATAGGAGCTAGAATTGTTGAGTAGACATTTGATATAGTACTTGAGACATTCTTGTAACTGGTAAACAGCCGTGAGATTGAAATTTTGAGTAGAAATGTTTTGGTATCAAAAACTTAACACATCCTTCTGAGTATATCCTCTACAGATGGTCACTTTTACATTGAGCATGAGTGAACAAAGGATTGTTAGCTTCTTGCTATATATGACATTACGAAGTCGATAAGATTATCCGGAAAAAAAAAACGTTATAGCTTACGGCAGTTTCGAAAATGTTTTAGGTGAATGTTTGAAACATTAGATTAGCATAAGGGCCGACATACTTCACTCGATTTCAGTCGCGACGCGATTTGGCAATACCAACTCTCCATAACTCATTGTAGACACATTTTGAATGTACAGAAGATAGGGCATTTTATCAACCCACATAAGTTATACACACTATGCACGTCCAATTTGCTAGTGTTGGACCTGAAGACTTGAGGCGACAAATCGCGTGAAGTATGCCAGGCCCTTAATACGATTGTGATCTCAGAAGTATGGAAACAGTTGAGTTGCAGAACACCTTGTTCCTAAAAAGCGCAACAAGTGCTCGATTCGCAATCTATGCACCGCAGAGAAAGGACGTTTGTTGCTTGCCATTAGGGGCAATCCCAGCAGTTTTGGGGTATACTAGTTTTTACTCATTTTATTAAGGGAGCATCTCAACACGCAAGAAGTCTCTTACAAGGGAACGATTTCAACTTAAGGTGGCGAATTGGAATGAACCACATACCGTTAGATGCGTCTTGATGAGCTGATTCCAAATCTGTCTTCCATATCTGCGACACCGTTATCTGCAAAAGTTATGAGCGGTTGGAAATGTGAAGTTATCGGGGTTTTGATGCATAATATGCTCAAAAATCCAGTTTGGAAATGCACGACTACCATAATATTGAGAGTACTGATTCCAGGGAATGCTCAGATTCTAAAGAAACACAGTAAGTGTTTTTGAACAACTAATTTTCGAGGTATGGCGCTGTACATTTGCCAAATTTGGACTTTTCATTGCTCATAGCTTTTAGCAAAGAACTTTAGTTGCTTTTTACCCGTTTAAAAACACTTATCTGTGTTTCTTTAGAATCTGAGCATTCCCTGGAGTCGGTACACTCAATATCATGCTAGCCGTGCACTTCCAAGTTGGATTTTAAGGCATATTATGCATTAAAACCCCGATAACTTTACACTTTCAACCGCTGATAACTTTTTGCAGATAACGCTGTCGCAGATATGGAAACAGGTTTGGAATCAGCTCATCAAGATGCATCTAATGGTATGCGGTTCATTCCAATTCGCCACCTTAAGTTGGGATCGTTCCCTTGTTAGAGAACTGTGCTCAAAGTGCTTGCTGAGCGCAATTCTGCGCGGTGGACGAATTGTCGATTTCTCTGTCGCGTTTCAACATGCTTCTTGTGTGACCCTGTGGCAAAAGCTAAGGTAGAGCAAGGAAACCAAAACCAACAAGTCGTTCAGCGCGCCGAGTACTTCTACGGGTCTTCGAAAGAGCGGATTTAGTTATTGGCCCGTAGTGAAGCTAGTTCAGTTCAGGTGAACTGAACTGAGGCCCTCATCTAAGGTTCGGTAAGGTAGGCTGCCTATCACCAGCTTACCATGTTGTAAGGATGCAAAATGAGATTTCAGCTGACCGTCCGTCTACCTGACAAGGTAGTCTACCTTACTTCAGTCAGTTCACATTCAGTCAGACTACCAATTGATGTAAATAGTGTGCCAATAATGATACGCAGAGAAACTTCTCGTAAGTTACTTCTGAGTAACTTACGATACACGTCAGTTCAACCTGTTGAACACACTAAGTGAGGAGCCACAATGCAGGGTGACAATCTTTAACGAGATCTAACAAGTGCGGCCACATCTCCGTCGCTGATGCCAACCATTTAGATGTGAATGTTGAGCGGACGCGTTTTGACTCGTATACTTGCATGAACATGGCGTTCTCAATCATATCATAGTGGATGGTTGGCAATATCAATCAATGGCTCGACTGAAGACAAGATGACTCGTCGAAGCCTCAACTGAAATTTTATTCAGTTGAGATCGAATGAATCAGCTTTACTACGGGCCATTGTGTTTTGAATCGGTAGGTTACTCGAAGGCAGCGTCCGGGCAAGATTACGGATGGAATTTTATTTGCTTACCTGAGCTTTTTGTCCAAAAATGCAGCTCGGAGAGCACGAAAACGCCGAGAACGGGCTTTTCCATAAGCTCTTAATTTGAATTTTGTCGCCTGCCGTCAAGGTCAAGACGCAGAGTCTTTGTGGGACCCTACTGTGACTGTGTGCGGTATGTGCATCTGGCTTATCGAACTAACTCGTCCCCGGTCGCCGGGGCGTTCTAGTCGCCACTTCTGAAGCGGTTTTCTCGCTTTAGAAGCAAATTGGTGCATTGCCATTGGGCAAGAGCCTTACCAGGCCGGGCGCCCCTGTACTCTACATTTTCGTTTTTGCCCGGATGCTGCCTTTAAGGTCGAAGAGGTCTGTAGCAATCCTTGAGACCCAAGTTCTGCTAGACAATGCCTCCGAGGGAGAACAATTGTCACTAAGAGCTGTACATTGGGTAATCTATGGAGGGACCGCTGTAAAAATAAAGTGCAAACTGCATTTAGGGTATCTATTCACACTAGAGAGCTATTAGCGATTAAACGTTCGATATTACTGCGATTTTGTATCCTTCTATGAGCCTAATGCAAATATTCACACGCAAACTTTGAGTGGTCGTTTGAAAGGATTATACGGAACCAGTTGATGCCCCCGGTCCCGTCCGGGATTTGGACTACTTGATCCCAAACGCTTCATAACTTACCGCCCTTCTCCATATCTGCGACGAAATGTGATGTCTTCTTTGCTGACTTGAAACGCCGGATCCTTTTCGCCGTAAAAGTAAATGAACTTCACTGCCCAACTTGACCATGGGGAAATGATCCAAACAATGGTTGGTGAACCTTCGATGTAAGTAAACAAACCAATAAATCGATTAAAGGGCCTAAGAAATCGTCGCAAAAAGTAGCCTATATTCTGCGCCGTGCCTTATTTATAGAGGGACGAATTTTAGTCCCATCGCAAGAGTCTATAAGCCACATACTTATGAACGAACAAATTTGCAGAGATTTGTTTTTATTTATACAGGGTGTCCGTAAAGTATGTATACACTGTTTGATCGTTAATATCTGTTTTCCCAAAAAGTCTTTTGCCTTGCTTCAGGTACCATTTCGTAGAGCTGGCTTCAACTTAGATTTGCAGTATAAAACGAATCACCCATCTCTCTTCATTACTGCAGGATTACGGTAGAAACTTGAAAAATATGGTGTCAATTTGGAAAAAGCTAGAGTGGTAGTAATTTGGTCGAAACCATCATGTTAACTGTGTTTTCATGACACCAGCTAACCAGCAGCTTCACATCATTTTCCCAACGAAACCACAAATTAACCAATAGGAAACCTCGAAATGCTATCTTGCAAAGCAAAGTCATTGGAGAAGATCGAAACTCCAACCATTCTCATGCTTGTCGGCAATCATTGCACTTTACCAAATTTGCAGTTCGGTCTCCAGCCTTGCACCTTCCTATAACCTTATCTAAACCTGCGTCTCATGAAATGAAGTGCTGTTTTCATTACTCTATCTGATAAGGGAACAATGGTGTTAACCTGCTGTTTAACTCATAGTATGGTTTAGAATGAAACAAGCATGAAACAGTTGTGGTTTTCTGCTAGTTACTTGCTTGTTTCATGATTTTGTATGACCGATTGAACTGAGTGGCCGTGAAAAGATGATCATGCTTATCACGATGTAACCATGATTGAACTATCACATCATTTGTTGGTTTCGACCAAATTACTACCACTCCTGCTGTTTCAAAATTTTTCAAAAAATGTGAAAACTTGTGTAATAGGGTTTTTATGGACGCTGAGTTCAATACTTAACTATTCACAAGATTGCGAAGCTTTCTAAACGGTGCAACCACACTTTTTAGGAACATTGAAAAAATGGCCGCTACCTCTTACCTGGCATGACTCTTCAATGAAGCATCACAATTAGTTGGGAACTCTACATTTATAATCAGCAACTCTAATTAGCCTAGTGTAAAAGTTTTCAGGCTGTTTTGTCTCCTTTCTGCGGCAAAATATGGCCTTTCATGGCCCAAAACCCTCTTTCAACTTTCTACCGTAATCCTACAGTAAAGGAGAAAGATGGGCGATTCGCTCTATACTGTAAATCTAAATTGAAGTCAGTTCTACAAAATGATACCTAAAGCAAGGCTAAAGACTTCTTGGGAAAAGAGATATTAACGATCAAACAGTGTATACATACTTTACGGACACCCTGTATATAGATTATATTTGATTTTTTGACTGCAAGTGCTGTGTGAGCTATCATTAGGCAATGCCTGAAAAATTTCCCTAATGAGCATCCACGTGAAAAGTCCAGATACACAGTAGATGATTGTTACAGTTGAGTTTGTAAGGAAGGAACCCAACTTAGGTCGGCCTTTTAAAAGATGACACATTTAGTTGGACTCAGCTTAGAACGCTGATTCCAAATCTGCTCATTATAGAAGCATTACTATAAAGCGGGATATGAGTTTTATTTTGTGGGTAAATTTTGCGTGGACCGATGCCGATGTTATGTTATCGGCCTTCAGGTAGTAGCAAATGCAAAATTTACCCTATAAATGCGAATGACTCAATTTGATATTATTTCGATCTCATCACCTCTTTCGGACAGGTCCGCATCTACAGGTTGTTTTTCCATGATCAGCCGTATGCCAATGAACATACTAGAAAGCTCATAACTCGTTTCAGAGTAACGCGTCGCAGCCGCGGACAACGTACTTTAAATTAGCGTTTCAAGCTGACTCCTATATGCGTTATTTCCCGAAAGGCCGACCTAGGTTAGGTGCCTTTCCTCGTTAGTTTAGAGTTGTTGCAAATATCTGTTTGTTCTGTAGACGATACTTTGATTACAAGTCATTCTTTAGTGAATAAAGCAACGAAATGATTTGATTGTAAAAATTCTTGTTGAAGAAACTCCTTCAGCATGGATATCCTCTAAAGCACAAAGCAGATGAAAGGGTGCCTTACTCTAGCGAAAGTATCAAAAGCAAAAGTAGCCAACGTTCTAAGATGAAGATTAGTAAAAGCCATCAAGGCCCAAGCGCCGAGAAAACTGAGCAAGGTGCGCAACAATTGGATAGGGAGATAAGTGCCGTCTCAAACTCATACATGATGATGAATAATGAGATAACACGCGAAGTTTAGGGTTTTTGGAAGATAATAGCCTAAGTAGCGAGTCAGATCCTTCACGCGAACCTCTTAAAGCGGCAAGCCAGAATCAGCCGTCTTCTTTTGATCCTAAATGTGAGTTGCTTAATGCAAGCATTGAAAGATGTTACTTTGTGTTTAGAAGTTGAAGTCAAATGATACCGGCCAAAGGAAATCAGTATTTTTTGCAATGGCATTACATCAACTTCTTACTTGTGGCAAAATCATGATCAAGAGTGCCGTTATTTTATGTTCGCTTTTCACAAGTAAAATAAAATTGCTTCTTTAGTTGTACAACAATGACGACGTATCGAGAACTCCAACCCAAGAGTTGACGCTTATTAGGAGGTTTCCGACTCAAACTTGTTCTATCCCGGAACTAAACTTTTTTAGGAGTTTGTGTTCCTTCCTATACATAGAGTTGAGATGTAATTCAAGTTGCTTAGCACACTCACGACAATTGGACCCAACGGTGGATCGTAAGACGTATTCCTAAACCCTAGCACTGCCAGTTTACGATTCTACGGGATTCTGGCACATAACTGGGGACGCCTAGGTGAAGCTCCATCCAGAGTGTTCCGGGCTCGAGATACTGTAATGTAGTGTTACGGTCGGTATACCGTAGATAGATACAAGGCACGGACTTCAGCTCAAATTTTTCGCAGAATGAATGTTTTCTGGAAAATCAAGTGTATATGCACTAGTAATATGTGGCGGGAAAGAGACTGACGTTAGTCCCTCCCCTCCCCCGTCTCCAATTATCCATCATGTCCTCTCACAGACGCCACTTACCTGTGCGTTTTTGTTATTGCTGCAGCAAACAGCAATAATTAACGAGTGCGAATGGTTAGCGCGGCGGTGCTTCAAATTAACGCATGCAGGTTTGAACGGGCGTGATACCGCTGTTGCGGCTGTCTGCATCATAAAATTTCGTATGCATAGTGATTGCGGAATTATGTAATCTAAGGTTATCAGAACCTACGACCATTTCTCAAGCTCACGTCCGAATTGCTGACTTTCCGCGATGTGAGTCAACTTGCCGGCCATCTATAATGCCACCAGATAGGGTAGTTTACTACCTTCCAGATAGCTTAAAAATGGCCCAAGGTCAGCTTGCACGATGTTTCAGGCACAGGGCTCGGCATGAGGTGGCTTTTTCAAACTTTCAAAAACGATGTAGCGTAGACTTCGCCACAAAATTACGACATCAACTATGACACGCCCATGAATGGATCAAACTAGTAACAAAAATAATGGAATAAAATATAAAAAAGCATTCAGACGAACACGAACTGAAGATGTTTGTATTGTCCGAATTGACGTCATGCTGTATGGCGCCGCACACCCTTGCGCGCTTGGAGCAGGCTTGCCGCCGCCATAAGTATTTGGAAGGCTGTAACTAGACGAGGAAGAAGAGATTCAAGAAGATTCAAAAATACAATTGTAGGGTTTTTGTGTGGAACAAAGCTATGATAAACATGTGAGAAAATTATGTAAAGGAAGGTAAATTTATGATATTTTCTTTTCACAGCCACCTCAGGTGGCTGTCCAGGTGGCTGAAAAGCCAGTCAACTCCGAAAAAAGTTTGCCACGTCTTCAGCTCACATAATTTTTTTCATAATTTTTCATACATAGTCCTGACTCCCTATTGCCCATTAACATTGATTTTGGTGTCATTTCATTCTCTCTTCCCTGCTTTTGCTTATTTCGATGCAGGTTTGGATTCGCGTGCTTAACGCAAACCTGTTGAAACGGGAAATTTTTGGTTTTTGCAGGAACGGGTCGATAAGGCAGTAATGATAATTTGCTTCCTCCATGGAAGATGGAATGTGACAGAAAGGGAGGAGGCGTGGGTGTGTGGCAGAGAGGGGGGACGGGGTTTTCACTTAGGGCCGCATGCACTAATATCCCCGCGAGGAGGGGATCACAGCTTAAAAGAAAGCCACATATCCTGAAGCTCCATGTATCTGGATTTCACGTTGTGTACGTAACCTTAAGTATTCCTACTATCCTTCACTATGAACACAATGAACAGCAGCGAGAAGCTGTAAAGTCGCGGTTTCCAGCATTTGTATGATCTTTGATGATCCCCGGCGCTTTTCTTTAAAGGCAGCGTCCAGGCAAGTTTGGACACATGGAGATCTCACGTGGATAGTAATTTCGGGGCCCTAACTAAGTCACTGTCCAATCGGAGCTCAGGTAGTGCTCTAACGGCTGAGATATTCCCCTCGAAACTGGAATCCGCGATCGTATTACGCATGGATTCATGGCGCAAAGCGTGGATCCTGGCGCGAAACTGCCACGAATCCATGCGGATACGATCGCGGGGTCCGGTTTCGAAGGGAATATCTCAGCCGTTAGAGCACTAGCTGCGCTGCCGCTTGGGCAGTGCCTTAGTTAGGGCCCCAAAAGTACTTTCCACGTAAAATCCCCATAGGTCCAGATCTACCTGGACGCTGCCTTTAAAGTCATTTTTCTTTTTCCAAGGTTAACGAAAAGTTTACAAAGCTGTGCAGATTTATCTAACCCAACCCTGCTTAGCACATTGCTGATAAGAACAAGTGATGTATCGAAGTCATGAAATTTGCCATGAACCACAAGTCGGAAGTTGTAGTTTACCGAAAAATTCGATTTTTCAAAAACTAATTTGTTCTCATCAGTAGCATGCTTAGCACTGTCTTCCGTTATATTATGCCAGAACCAGGTTCTTACGGTGGTAATGTTTATTGACCTGACGCGTTTCGACTAAGTCGTCGTCTTCGGAGGTCTGAAAACAAATTGCAGTCTTCTTTCATCTACGGAGCGAAACCGCCAAACGCCATCACCAGGCATTGCTTTGTCCAGACGTTGTCTCACGCACAACGTACTGGGAAACGTATAGATGAAGAACGAACCTTGGATCCACCGTGATGTTAGTGAAAGTTAGTAATAGCCGCACGAAAGTAGCGGGCGACACTTAGTATTACTCAGTGTGCGATGTCTTTATATGTGTAGGCTGCAGCTCGCATATCGACAAGAAAGGCAAGAGGTCGGTCTTTATAGACAAACATTCATTTTTGCTATTCATGCTAGGATTCCTACTGGAAATCCATGCGGCTTCCATGATCTTCCTCGTAGATATCTCTGTCTCGTACGATAAAATCGTGCACTTCACATCAAAATCACCATTATCGTGCGCCTCGAAGTTATGTCTTCCCAACGGTAAGGCTAAATTCCCTCGTCTTTTATCTGCTAAGTGCTCTCTAACTCTTACGTATAGCGCTCTATCCGTTTCTCCTATATATCGCATCGCAGCTCAAGCATTGTAGTTGGTACACAACTCCTGACCTTGTACAATCACCTACTTTTCCGTGGGGACAGACAATGCATTCTTCGCATACACATTCTACATCATACAACCTATTTCTAAACCAACTGCTTCTGGATGTTGTCGTTGGGAATGTTTACAAGCATGACATCATCTTGCAGTTGGGCTCTGGCTATGCTTGTTTGATTGCCGTACTGACTTCGTCGCAGATGAATGGTACGCAGAAAGGAACTTTGCTGGCATTTCTTTTTGTAATTTGACTACCACTACCGTTCGCAGGCTTACGGCCATGATATTGTGGAGGCGTGTAGCCATTACTTCGCGCGATATTTATAGCCAAACTTCTAGATTCCCGTTGTTCTTTTTCACCCATACATACCGCAATAGCAGTCTTGAGCATGTTTCGAATGATGGCTCATTTGACTGCAGTTGGGTGTGCTGAGCTGGCGTGCACCAAGATGTTCTTTGAGGCTTCCTTACGGTACCACTTTATGTGAATGGCATTGTCAGATATATTTATCTGGGTGTTTAGGTAGGGAAGCCATTCATTTTTCGGGATTTCTCTTGTAAACCTAATGTACTGCGAATGCCGGTTCAGTAACTTGAAACACTCGTCCATTTCGGACTGTGTGGATGTTAAAATGCAGCAGTCATCGATGTAACGGCAGCACATTAGGGGTAAGCGTGCAAGGACTGGCTCCTCAATCTTACTCACAAAGCATACTGCCAGGACTGGGGGCTAACCTTGGACCCATCGCCAGTCCTCTTATCTGAGAATAATAGTTCCCAGACCACTTAAAAATGCTACACTTTAAACATTCGTTGCATTCGTTGACGAGGGTCAGTATGCATGCTTGACTCAAGCCAAAGGTGACCATATTCGAATAGTGGGTGTCCAACATTCCGGACAGCGCTTACAGTGCAGCATCATTCTGAACATTAGTGTACAATGATGTTACGTCAAACGTGTCACTAATTTTCAGAATGATGCTGCACTGCAAGCGCTGTCTGAAATGTTGGACACCCACTATTCAAATATGGTCACCTTTGGCTTGAGTAAAGCATGCATACTGACCCTCGTCAACGAATGCAACGAATGTTTAAAGTGTAGCATTTTTAAGTGGTCTGGGAACTATTATTCTCAGATAAGAGGACTGGCGATGGGTCAAAGGTTAGCCCCAGTCCTGGCAGTATGCTTTATGAGTAAGATTGAGGAGCCAGTCCTTGCACGCTTACCCCAAATGTACTGCCGTTACATCGATGACTGCTGCATTATAACATCCACACAGTCCGTTGGACGAGTGTTTCAAGTTACTGAACCAGCAGTCGCAGTACATTAGGTTTACAAGAGAAATCCCGAAAAATGGATGGCTTCCCTACCTAAACACCCAGGGTCGGTAGTAATCTGGTAACTCCGAGTTTGAAGCTCCGCGTTAACTCAGAGATAACTCTGAGTTCCTTTTTGAAACTCTGAGTTACGCTTATTGAAACTCTGAGTTCCGCTTTCGTAATTCCGAATTCCAACTTTCAAGCTCGGAGTTTTGTTTTGAGGAGCTGTTAAGCACTTTGCTGCAAAAGCGACGCTAAAGTAGGGACTCGAACCTGTATGGTCTAGCGTAAAAATCCTATCACTAAACCGCTAGACCATGACACACCCATGAACCCTAAAATTGCTTTGCCATCATGTATTCACTCATTCCATTAACACTTAGCAGGTCAAAACAAGTTATACCAAAGCCTCACTCATTTCCATTTCTATCGAGCAGTGATGGTTCATCACGAGGATTGGTCTTTTGCGCAGCTGAAAGCTTCAAACAATAGAAAAAGCGGATGGCATACGCAATGATAAGAATTGACTATTAGGATTTGCGCACAGAATAAATCCTCCGGGCAAGGCTTGCCCTTCCATGATTTCGTCTTACTTACCGTTTACCTACCGTAACCGTTCCATATGTCACCAGTGTATGTAGCAGATAGATTGCCCGTAAACTGCATTCCGAATAACTCCAGTGTACCAAATTTCGGCTACGCCGCTTTAATTCATCTACCGTAAACCTACAGTAACCTCGTCAGATGACACTGCAGTATAATCTACATGTCATATTCGTTATCGGCGCCCTGAATAACCCCAGTGTACCAAGTTTCGATCAGTTTCGTGATTTTTTCATATTTACCGTAAATCTACCGTAACACCTCTACATGACCCCATAGTGAAAAATGGATACCATATGCGTGACCAGCGCACCGAATAACCCCCTGGGCCAAGTTTTTACAGAATTTCAAGGTTTTGTAAATCACTGCGCACCACGATACCCCCATCATGCCTGCTTAAACTACGAGCAAAATGTACCCCGGAGGACTTTTTAGCTGCCCCTCTTCTTTTGCGCACTATTTCTCTTTCTCTGACCAAACTCAGAGTTATCTCTGAGATCCACGATAGACTGGAACGCGCATCAAACTCAGAGTTATCGCAGACACTAGTTGCGCGTTTGGTGGCGCTGTTTCTTGTGCAGGACGATTTGGAAATGTTGCGCTACTACGAATAAACTACGTGTTAAGGAGAATCCTGCCATATCATCGCTTTCCGGATTTGTTCTGTTCAAACACCTGTTAAAGGGGTCAAAAAGTTGCGCGTCAGCTCAGAGATAACTCAGAGTACCTCTGAGTTATAACTCTGAGTTTCGATAGGTTTACTACCGACCCAGATAAATATATCTGACAATGCCATTCACATAAAGTGGTACCGTAAGGAAGCCTCAAAGAACATCTTGGTGCACGCCAGCTCAGCACACCCAACTGCAGTCAAATGAGCCATCATTCGAAACATGCTCAAGACTGCTATTGCGGTATGTATGGGTGAAAAAGAACAACGGGAATCTAGAAGTTTGGCTATAAATATCGCGCGAAGTAATGGCTACACGCCTCCACAATATCATGGCCGTAAGCCTGCGAACGGTAGTGGTAGTCAAATTACAAAAAGAAATGCCAGCAAAGTTCCTTTCTGCGTACCATTCATCTGCGACGAAATCAGTACGGCAATCAAACAAGCATAGCCAGAGTCCAACTGCAAGATGATGTCATGCTTGTAAACATTCCCAACGACAACATCCAGAAGCAGTTGGTTTAGAAATAGGTTGTATGATGTAGAATGTGTATGCGAAGAATGCATTGTCTGTCCCCACGGAAAAGTAGGTGATTGTACAAGGTCAGGAGTTGTGTACCAATTACAATGCTTGAGCTGCGATGCGATATATAGGAGAAACGGATAGAGCGCTATACGTAAGAGTTAGAGGGCACTTAGCAGATAAAAGACGAGGGAATTTAGCCTTACCGTTGGGAAGACATAACTTCGAGGCGCACGATAATGGTGATTTTGATGTGAAGTGCACGATTTTATCGTATGAGACAGAGATATCTACGAGGAAGATCATGGAAGCCGCATGGATTTCCAGTAGGAATCCTAGCATGAATAGCAAAAATGAATGTTTGCCTATAAAGACCGACCTCTTGCCTTTCTTGTCGATATGCGAGCTGCAGCCTGCACATATAAAGACATCGCACACTGAGTTTTACTCAGTGTCGCCCGCTACTTTCGTGCGGCTATTACTAACTTTCACTAACATCACGGTGGATCCAAGGTTCGTTCTTCATCTATACGTTTCCCAGTACGTTGTGCGTGAGACAACGTCTGGACAAAGCAATGCCTGGTGATGGCGTTTGGCGGTTTCGCTCCGTAGATGAAAGAAGGCTGCAATTTGTTTTCAGACCTCCGAAGACGACGACTTAGTCGAAACGCGTCAGGTCAATAAACATTACCACCGTAAGAACCTGGTTCTGGCATAATATAAAGGAAGACAATACATCAATATGCCCAGGTTTAGAGAAGAGAGATCCTGGAACTTAATGCTTAGCACTGTTGTGTTAGATATTAGTACAACTTTGGAAGGTTGTCGTTAACTTCAAGGAAATAAAAATGACTTTGAAGAAAAGCGTCGGGGATCATCAGGGATCATACAAAAGCTGCAAAATGCGGCTTGTACAGCTTCTTGCTCCTGTTCAAACATTCATTGTTGCGAATGGTGTGATTACTTTTGGATAGGTAGACAGCGTGAAATCTAGATATCTGGAGCTTCAGAATATGAATTCTTCTGAGCTGCGATCCCCTCCTCGGCGGGGATGTTAGTGCATGTGGCCATTAAACGATATTTCCCCGTTTTTTATTCAAGAACGATATCCAGCTTGCCCAGTAAGCCACCTTTGCCGAGTCCTGTTCTGGCATAATCAGACCGGCCAGAAAAAAGACGAAATTTTTGCATAAACCTTGACTGTTTGAAAACCTCTTTATGACTTGTGGGTCTGGGGGGGGGGGGGGGGAGGTACTAGTAGTCATTTGAAACTTCGTTTACCATACACTGCTCATATTCATCAATGCAAATTTGCGCTTTCCAAAGGATCTGCTTCTAAAAAGCTGGCACATGCTATAACAGATGTGTCGTGACTACAGTACTAAACCACAAAAGTTTATGAAGGTGATTTGACACTCGTAACAACCTAATGTAAGCAGCAAACGCAAGTACTACAATTTTGCTGAGTGCTAAGGAGGATGTGACTTAAAGCTTTTGCCGCAATTGAAGTGACTTGATTGTAATTCAATGACGCTGCGATAAACTCAACCCTATCAACTGATCTAACTGCCAAAATGCACAAATGTTGATGATCAATGACCGCTCAGAATATAGCCCTCTATTTTTTGAAAGATGGATCATTTGAGATCACTTTCATCAGCAAGCGGTAGATGTGAGGCAAAATAATGCCAAACGGTGGTACGGATTACCCTGCTACTGCAACTCTTCATCATTTGAGTTTAGATTGTTTTGCACAAGATATAGATACTACTGTTTTACAAGCTCCTAAACCAAGTTCAATGATGAAAGCAGTATATGATGGCACTAGCTATCTGATGAGGAAAATGGTTGGAAGTGTACCCGATGAGACGATTCAGGCAAGTGTTACTAGTTCGTCTTACACTAAAGGTCTTTGGCCACCAATGAATTCTTACTTCCCTAAATATTCTCTTAGTCCGCTTCAAACGCTTCAGCAAGACGCTGCTTCACTAAAACAAGGTAATTGTCGACTTTCGCGTAAGAGCGAAAACCAAGCAAAGCTTTGTTATCGCGCGACGTCAGATGACAAGCCATCTGTCCTTTACTTCTGACAATTGTGGAAGCCTTCATGGCTTCCCGTAATCACTTCACCGCATGTTGGAATTAATGAGAAAGGACGATAAGCAAGGTCCTGCCCAAAAGGCCGAGCATACATCAAGCGATCTCACGGCCTCGCAAAGTTCCCAAAGAGACAACGGTTACGAGTCCAATGCGTACCTACTATCTTACATTTCAGTTATGATAGTTTTCGACAGGACTGATCGAGAACCAACTATCACAACCGGCATGCAAGATGATTGACAAGCAATGGAATGCTATTTTGCTTTGAGTCCTCAGCTCCAAAAGGAGCATTTCGCAAAGACAAAAAGAAGCATCTTTGCCGTTTGCTCAATTTTTCTTATAAGAAAAAACTAGCTGGCTTACTCGGCTCCGCTCGGCCTTGTCAAAAGACTTTGATAAAGGTCCCATCCCTATCCTTGTGCAACTTTTCCCTGTGCCCACTTTTATGGTTAATTTCCTATCCCGCTTTGTTAGTAATCAGCATGCTCACTTACCCGTTTGTGTCAATTGCCAGCTTCGTTGCTCGAACCTTGCAAAAAAAATCGATAAAATAGATATAAGTAGTTGATAATTCCAGAAGCTAATACTGTATTAGTAATCTGCGTGTTCACTTACTCCCCTGTGCCAACCAGCCTCGTAGGCCAAACCATGCAAAAATTCGTAAAAAATCGAGAAAATCGATATCGATTGATAACGAAAAGTACGACCTACGACACCAATCCCGCGTCGAAGTATATGTATACAGAATCTCAAAAACCATACTCACCTTGGGCTTCTCAAATTTCTCTCATTTTGGTCTTATTCCTCCATCTCGCTTCCCTTTTTGATCAGCAGAACTTCGAACTCGAAGCGGGGCTGAAGAATGAGTGCTTTTCTGCTCTGTGTTTCGACAAAATGTGTGGTCTTACGCTCGTCCATTCTCTTCGTGATTTTTGCTCAAAACTACTTCATTTGTTCCAGGAAGCGGCTACGTAGTTTTCGTAGCCATCTGTCATGAATTAGGGAGCAGGAGCAATTCTGAATTTGCATGAATTGGGACTTGTTTCTTGTTTTTGATTAATTTCGTTTTTGAGCGTTCTCAGCCCTTTTTCTTTTTCCATTTGCTTCTCTTTTCTTTCTTCTACCCTGCTTCTCCTTGTGATGAGAAAAGCTGCGAACGAACGCTGTTCTGCTCGATGTATCCGGGAAGATGGACTTCGTGCGCTCGTCCATCTTCTCTGCCATTTTTGTGCAGGCCTACTCCATGTGTTCTAGAGATTTGTCTATATCAATTTCAATACATATGCTAGACTACGCAGCGCCTTTCTAGAACACATGAAGTAAGTCTGAGCAAAAATCACGAAGAGAGGATGGACGAGCATAAGAACACACGTTTTGTCGCAAAAGCAGAGCAGAAAAGCGCTCATTCTTCAACCCCGCTTCGAGTTCGAATCTGCTGATCAAGAAGGGAAGCGGGGTGGAGGAATAAGGCCAAAATGAGAGAAATCTGAAAGAAAAACCGTTGAGAACGGCCGTTCAAAACGGTGCAGAGCGGCTGCAGCGCATGTGTGATAAAATAAAAATTTATGTTTGTTAGAACGACTTTGTCCAGTAACGCTTACATATATGACCTCTCTTTAAGCCACTCCTTCTCTCTACAGCACACAAGTAATTACTAAGATTTTATCATTACATAAAAATACAAAAGACATATTGGAATATATCGAGAATGTAAAGGAGACACGGAGATATACCTTACAGATAATATAAGGATGTAAAGAACAATTAAAAGAAAGGGGAAGTAAATGAATAGGGGGGGGGAGGCTCACCTCAGCATGATGGTTGTGAGACCGGCCGGAGCTGGCGTGCTGAACTACGAGCGAGCTGGGAAGGGCGGGGCATTTTTTTTATACCCTCTTCGTGGGCGGCTAAGATGGGGCGGGCGGCCGAACTTGGCCGACTGGCGCTGCGATGAGTTTTGCGCTTTTCCTACACATGCAGCACAGTTCCGGAATTGTTCCCGCACAGTTCCAGCACAGTGCGATAACTGTGCGGGAACAGTTCCAAAACGAATCAGTATGAACCCAGCCTTAGATGATAACAGATAGCGGAAGTCAGAAGACCACCTATATACAAGATTAGGCCTCAGCTCTTTTATATGTGCCGTGATGACCTGACCTCATATTCAGATCCGCATAGGGAGTAATAAGGTGCGAGTTCCTGCGTGATGGCGATACACCCTTCCTTTCTATTCAATTTTGGGTTTTTAGCATTGATCCAAAAGCCTCCAACGTTTTGCGAGCGAGGATCTCGGGTTCATGCGAACAAGATTCTTACTGCAACTTGTACCTTAGAATTGTTATCACCTACTATACGGTGTTTCCCGAGCGGCGTAGCTGTTCTTGACTTTTCCAAACCATCCACATGCTGCTTTACGCGACAACAAAGTGGGCGCCCTGTTTCGCCGATGTATGGTCTCCGCATGAAAGACATGTCATAAGATAAATGGCCCCGGACTGCATACAATCGCCTTCTTTACCAAATGGGCAGACCACACAATTGGGAGTAGGGCAAGTACGATCATAAGCGCGGTTGCGAACAGGTTGCCATTTGAGATTAGCTGGAGGGATATCGACCACTTTATCATGCCTTGCAAATCCGCGTGTTGTACGCATCGCCGCACTGCATTGCTCAGCTCATCGGAGATGAACGGTAAGCAGAAGGGGATCTCAGCGGTACCGCTCGCACTACGAGCTCTACCCCGACGCAATGGCGTACCGAGGGGGGGGGGCGCCTCCCCCCCCCCCCCCGAGAATTGGTCGCGAAATTTTTGAAAGTTACTTATTTGGGTTATAAAAATGTGCAAGTGACTTGTTTATTTTTGTAAATAATTAAAATAATTTTTAAAAATTTTTAAAATTTCGAATTAGCCTTGTAAAAAAAATTTTTTCGCGGGCGTGGCTAACGCCACGCCCCCTTTCTCCAGATTTTAGGGGTCGGGGACTTTGAGAGTTTTGAGAAGCACCCCAAATATTTTTTCGGAGTGCGCGTCTAACGCTACGCACCTTCGTTAGAAAAAAATTTTTGTCGCGCCCCCCCCCCCAAGCCGAAATCCTGGGTACGCCACTGCCCCGACGTGACCCCAGGGCCCCGGATGCGCGCTCACGCACAGCATAGACGTTGACGCCGCAACTTCTTGAGCCAAGGTGATGGAATATGGAATACGAAACGTTAGCCGTCAATAAAGAACTGTAACAATCATAAAATAACGCTCACACACCGTTTCCACAACTAAAAATCTATACTTTTGCGTTCGTTCTTCTGCGAAAAGTTTCATCCAAGCGAAATCACCGCTTTCATATGAAAAAGCTTTCAAAATGAGTTGTTTACATTTTATTCGTGATAATCGGCATTGCGTGGTGAGTTTCAATTGTATAACCAGTGCGAACCTCTGCGAAGCAGAGGTGAATCACTGGTTTCTAAAACCCCCAAGTTTATGGACTAGACCCGATGACCGACTCAAACGGTTAAACATGCCACCATAACACACTAGTTGCCCAATATGACTATAGTCGAAGGGAGACTGAGAAAGTTTGTGAGTGGATGTTAGTGCTGGATGAATCAATCTGTGCAGATGTAAGAACTCAATATCCTTAAGATGCACGTTCCAAGTAAAAATCGTACCTTTTCAGCTGAAACTTCATGCACATATGTTTTCGACCGCAACTCTTCTCAGATTACTTTTTGTGGCGATTTTTGAGGCTTTGTCGATTTGACAGTTTGTTTGCTTGCATTTAGATGAAGAATACTATCTTTTTCGTGTCATTGTGCGACAGTCATGTAAATGGGCGCGGTAATGTCATGAACTTTTCGTGATAACCAGAATATAGGGTTCCAAAGCAAGGTAGCCAGGAAAAACAAGGCTACCGCAAGAGCACTGCGGCGTGCATTTAGACCAGTGGCCGTATTTATCACTGATACCTTGAGGTAAATTCTACCTCCAGGTAGTTTTATCACTCATTATCAGCAAAATTACATTGAGAATTTACCTCAAGGTACTTGTGAAAACGGATACTTGCTGATAATGAGTGATAAAACTACCTGGAGGTAGAATTTACCTCAAGGTATCAATGATGAATACGGCCACAGGAGCAGGGAGGAAGAAGAGGAAAAGTTAAGAAAACTGAGGAGAGACAAAGAGATCATGTCTTTATCGCTCCAACTTAGATTTTTATTTCCACTTTGCCAGCTGATTTGAGCCTGCTTTAAAGACCAAAAGGCAGCTAGAGGATATCCGTCGACATCCCGACTCGTGCAATGACACCGTCGTGTTAGTGCCTTCTTAGCGCATTTTCAGCTTAAGTACTAGAGTACTATAGTACTCTGCAGCGCGCGTGGACGTGGTAGTCGCAGCATCCCTGTCACTTAATCCCTTTTGTTCGCTAAGCAATTTATATAGTTTTTGCTTCTTATTTTTCACTTCAAGCAATTACTCCTAATGTCTATGTGAGACCATCATAACGGGCAAAGTTAGAAGAAAGAATGATTCTTCGTAGTTGCAGTGGTGGATATCATTGTGATTGCGTGTAGGAGGATGATCACTTTAACACTCCTACATCAGGGACACCATGCAGGAGTGCTAAAATAAACATTCGTGTGGTCTAACTCGGAAAATAGCGGTCTCACTAAGAAAATACATGATGGTCACCACTGCTTATGAGCAAAGCATACCCTTTCACCTACGCCTTTGAAAATGAATGTCTCGTAGGAAAAAAGGGAGAGTAATCTAATTATATGCCTACACTAATTTTTTCTTCACCTTTCAGTGTTTATTAAAGTAGAACACAGGATGTCCGAATATCGGGAGAACCTTCCAGAAAGGATCAACGACTGGATCCCTAAAATATAATATCTAAGAAGAAAACAGTGTTGCTGCAGCTACCAAGTCCCCGCGCACTGCAGCGTATTGTCAAGCTGAAAGGCTCCAAAAAGGCACGCCCATGGTAGTGTAATTGCACGCTCATCCTTTGGTAACTTTGAATTAGACACTGTCTAGTACAACCATCGCCAAACGATTTCACTTTTGGATAAACATCATTGATCGATCAGTTCGGCTAGAAGAAAGCAAGTCAGTACGCGATAGCATTGATACTTTTCAAAAACTTTGACAATTTAACGAACTTTCGCAATTCAACGTTATGTGTAAATAATCCTGTCTGGATTGGTTCAAAAATGACATTCTCTATTGCGAGCCTGTATATTCTTCGGAAAGCTAAGGCTCAGAAGTTCTTGTAAGCTCCGCATTTCTTCCATTTGTGTTCACAGGGTTATCTACCTCTCTAATTGAATCTTATCTTATCTTCTTTTAGAGAATAGGAAAAGTGACCAGTGATCCACTCAAAATTGAATATATTATACTCGGCAGCGTATTGGAAAATGTCAGTTTTTCAAAAGTTTTCAATTTTTATGACGGTCTATATTAATTTCCAGCCTGCTGTATTTGCTGTATTTTTGTTGTGGGTTTCACTGTTTATCGCACTACTATTTTTAGCAGTACTGCACTTTATATGGCGAACACTATGTGCTAGAAAGGTACATCTACCGCTCAAACAACTTGATATGTTCAAATAAATTTACAGAGTAAGGAAGTAACTTGCCAGGCAGTAATCTGTGCGGGCATGTCTTTTCTCATATGTGTTTTCACATCTCTCATAAGCATGTATATTTTCCATGAAAGTCTTTCCGAATTTCGTCGCGGTGTAGCACTTTTGCCAACGCAATTGCTTACTTTAAATAGCGGTAAGTAATGCTTAAAAAGCGAAAAAAGTAAAAATTGTTCAACACATTCTCAAGAACACAAACACCTTGATTTCGCAATAGGGGTATGCGATGGCTCAAATCAAAACGAGGTCAATCTGCTTCAGCGGAACTCTTAGCTCCAGAGGGCGCTTGCCTATTATTCCGCGGGACGAAGAAGGAGTAAAGATGTTGTAGGATTAGTTGTACTAAAGCGCGAGAGACAGGAAATGTAAGAAAAGCAATCAAGAAACATATTCTCGAGCCTACTTTTTCATTTACACTTTGCGTACTTTCAGTAGTTTTCCACAATTTCCGTGTCACTTTTATGCGCAAAAGTTGCCAAGTAAGCATTGAGTGAGCAGCCGACCGTTTGGAAATTGATTGTTCAAACGCGGCTTACATAGTTTGCACTCAATGGAGCATGATTGAAATTAAAGACAGTGTCCAGGTAAATCTGGGCGCATAGGTTTTTCGCCTATAAACTGATGAGGGGGTTCTAACTAAGGCAATGCTCAAAAGGCAGCGCAAATTGTTCATTCACGGCTGAGAAATCCGGCCCCAAAAACTCCGCGCCTGCGCCGTGACCGTAACCCGAAAACGCTTCTCTCACACATTGACATTACGTTCGCGCTGGGATCCATGCTAAGTGTTACGGTCACGGCGCAGGCACGCGGGGACGGATTTCTCAGCCGTGATTGAATAATTTGCGCTGCCCCTTGGGCAGTGCTTTAGTTAGGACCCCCTCATCAATTTCCAGGCAAAAGAGCTAACCAGATTTGCCTCGACACTGCCTTTAAGAGAAGGACGCTCCTCAAGCACTCCTTGGAGTGATATCCACGAAAGTCCATAATGGAGGAAAATGGACTTTAAAGCCCCATTTTATTCGTTCGCGGTAGAAACTGGTCGAAATCCAATTTTTATCTCATCGCAACCACGAGGCAAAGCGGTGTGATGAAAATGATTCAACCCTACTTGAGCTCTCGCTTGCGAAAGAATCATGCGAAAAGTCCATTTAGAATGGGGCAAAATGGGATTTACCTCCATTTTAAATGGACTTGAAAGCCCATTTTACTTCCAGCAGCAAGATGAGCTGGGACTAAGCCCATTTTTTACCTTTTTGCATATTTTTGATGGCGATTGTTTGAGAATTTGTTCCTTAGCCTATTCTAAGGTAACCAGTGAGTGGAAAACGTTTCATGTCTATTTTGAAGTTCGAAATAAGTGTCTCTTTCTAAACTCATACAAAAGCTATAAAAACCATGGAAGAAGGTCAAAATCACCAAAATATTCGCTAACAAACTCAAACGCTCCCAAATATCAGGTCGATGCGAAAATTCCTATGTAAATCAAATAAACTTTGATAACTCTTCAAATCATCAAGCCATACTAAATTCATGATTTGTATTCAAAAATACAAAAAACTTGCGTTTCAGTATAATTACTCAGAAGCTCTGTAGAATATCCATGTGACTACATAGTAATGTTAGGTTAGCCTAGTCAGATACCGACCACTTGGTGGAAATGGGTCTGCAAGAGTGAGCAAACAGGTTGAGACAAGTTGGAGAAGGGTTTGCTGAAGTAGATAGTTTTGTATGGAATGCATGGATTCGCGAATGCGATATCTTATCGCACCGCATGGACTAAGTCCATTTTATTCGCACGAAAAGCCCATTTCGCGGGGACTTTCGTGGATATCATTCCTGGTGCTCAAGAGACAACGAAAAAGCACTCCGCAAACTTGTTGCACAGAATGGTCATATACTCCACCACTGGAGAGGTAATAATAACCTATTCGGATCTGCTCTTTCAAAATGTGGCATGCGGTCAGTGATCATAACCAGCAAATAATACGAATTGTTGTACTTTTCATTTTCGAATGATCGTAAAGAAGTACGATTTTGAAATCAACTGGTCTTCAAATTTTGAAAAAATATTCAGATTTTTGTAATTACTGATCAGAAAGAAATCATCAAATTTTTATAATTATAGATCTGCATAGATTCAATGATGTGCTTTTAAAAAATTTGCACTGCATCAACAAGAAGGAGCATACAACATTCAAAACAAAAGCTTTGAAGGAGGCTACAGTATTAATTGAACAACTAAAAAACGCAACGGATATGATTGATATAGACTCAATGAAGAAGGTGAGAAACATTATTTGGAGATTCTCGATTTTTTAAGCACTTGCAAGTGAAGTAGCTTCTGTTATGAAAGCCAAACTGCAATTTTCATAGATAAATAAACGTTATGCACCCTCGCGGTTTTCTTTTGTATACCGCAGTTAAGAAATTCTTACTATTGATTGCAAAAAATTCTTTTGGGATTTTCTAAAAATATGCAGCACAAACATAACCCTTGACTTCATCTCAAGAGTTACAATCAAATTTCTGAGCACTCCACAAAGCTGAGGCGAGAAATTATAAAATGTTGGTTGATTTAAGAAAAGTAGTGATCAAATCATTTGTTAGCCTTTGCTGATGGGGCGAAAACTTTTGCTAAAGTAGTACTAAAGTATATTCTGCAGATGAACGCATTTGCATTGCAAATCGCTCCGGACATCTTAGAACTCAGGGATTTATTGAAAAGTGTCATGCCCCAATTCGCTCAATTACATAGTAATTTGGTGATTATTAGGCTCCTCTTGGACTTTCCCTCAGAATACTCATATTTAGTCCTCGGTGGTACCATCGATGCGTGTGATCAGTCAGTGGGTCATTGACGTACTAGACACCTCGCAATTTTTTATGAAGCAGGTTTGATTGGTTTGTAACTTAAAACTTCAGGTGATTCTTATTATTTTTGGGTCTACGATAGCGCTAATCGTACCTTCATAGCAGTATATCAAGCTCATACCGCTATGGTAAAAACTGGGGAATTTCTGAGCGAGGTTCGAGGTCTATGCTTATATTATATTAGACAGTTTTCGAAAAAAATGATTGCATAAAATTGTAGGTACCAGTTTTTATGACGAACGCGACCAATCAGCTCCAAACAGAACTAGCTGACGTTTTCATATTCATGGTGAAAAGCAGAGCTCAATAATCAAGTCAATGAAATCGTTTGAGTCATTAAGGATTATGCACGTCGCGTTGGCGATATGCTGGGCTATACACACATTCTTCCGCTCGCTTTGGTCTGTTTCTCGATTTTTGGGCTCGCAATAATAGCAAGGTAATGTGATATTTTACCATCCACCTAAAGCAGCATTTTCAAGCTTATTCTTCTTCTTTCAGTTGGACATTTTTGTTCTATAACAAAAGATATCATTACAATGCTATATGTGTAAGAGGAGTAATGTTTACCGCTGCTACAAGCGTTGGATATCTTGCTATGGTGGTCGGATCATTAATTTGCATTATGGCTGCGTAAGTAATGCACTTTAGTACATTTTTTCGATCCTTGGCAACCGGCGAACTAAATGAGTTCCATGCATTACGGGGCATTTGATGACGAAAATGAAAATGCAAAAAGATTTTATAACATCAAGCGGAGACAATAATCAAAAAGACTTGCATTTTTCGACGAGAGCTTCTGCATTTTATAAGTCGAAAATTGAAAAGCATAATAGGATCGAAAGGTGTGGCACGCCACAACTGGGAATCGTACTAAGGAGTCAAAAGGAAGGACTTGGTAATCGAGTAATACGTTAATCTTGCTGACATTTTGATTAGTATCAGGTTGAAAAAAAAAAGAATTTCGCTTCTCACGAAAATCTTCCAAGACGTGTATGGGACATCATTCGATAGAGCAAAGCCTTTTTGAAATGGCGTTACCGCTTCCGCACAAGTTTAATCCATGTAGAGTTTGAAGACGGAATCTAAAAAGTTCGAATAATTAACAAAAATTCGTATCTCCGTTCAAAAAATCTACGGTCTTATGAAGATTAATGATCTTAGATCCCGTGTAAGATGTTATTTTTATTCTCTCCAACAAATGCATCCACCGCTCCTTAAATCATCTGGCAGAAGATGATAAGGCTGTACTTTGATTTCCAATCCTTCAAGCTCCTCTTCTCAACAAAAAGTCTGCGCTTAGACACTTGTAAAATATTCAGTGCCTGTTTTCTCCTTGCTTTTGTTGCCATGTCTCTGTGTGCTGGTTTGTTCATGGACAGTGATCTACGACTATTTCAAGTAAGTTGAACACTTACGAATATCACATGAAATTTGTCTTGGACTAAGTGCCGCATAGGCCCTTTCAAACATTGAGTTCATCATTCCTGTTGGTTCACAGAAAGTGCGACACACATATTAGTGAGTACAATTGAAGTTTTTTTGAACTTGACTGAGAGCAAATTTAGTGATATCTTCTATAAGTGTAAAAATGGTTACACATTTTTCGAATCTTTGAATGGCGCTCTTATTATGGCTGAGGATGAATTTAGGGAGGCGAGTTTTACAAATTTTCTTGAATAGGCTTAAAGGCAGCGGCCCGGCAGAATTTCATTCTCTAGTTCTTCACCTTTTCGGATTCTTCTCGTCATGAGGAACCCATGTCTGGGCTTTTCAGCGCATGAAAATAGCAAAAATGCGCTTTTTCCGAAGCTTAAGTCCGCATTCAGTAGATACGCCGGAAAAAGCCGCGGCCCGCCTTTTTCGTTCTAAGCCCCAGTCACTTCTGCACTAAAGGCTGACCTGGAGGGCTTTGGAAAAAGGCATTTTGCCATTTTCATGCGCTGAAAAGCCCAGATATGGGTTTCTCATGGCGAGAAGGCTCCGAAAACGTGAAGAACTGGAAAACGAAATCCTGCCGAGCCGCTGCCTTTAATGTCACATAAACATGTTTGTAAATCTTTCTTTCTTAGAAAGCAGCCTTGACTTTGATTCCGTTTTCAAGGAACTGAAGTGGTGAGAGATTCTGACCGCATACTGTACTCTATAGAACACCTTAAAGGCACCGTCCACCCAAAATGGAGGTTGGCGAGATTATGATGGCATACTAGTGTGGGCCCCCATACTAGACAAACCCCCAAGTTTCGCCGCAAAAGACTGCTTCTGAAGCGAGAAATCCGCTCCGGAAGTAACAAAAGTGGGCGAATTCCGGAGCGGATTTCTCGCTTCAGAAGCAGTCTTTTGCGGCGAAGCTTGGGGGTTTGTCTAGTATGGGGGCCCACACTAGTATGCCATCATAATCTTGCCAACCTCCATTTTGGGTGGACGGTGCCTCTAACGAATACTGACTTACAGCACACAAAGCGTCTAAACGGCAAGAAGTCGTTCATAATTGTCGAACATTCTTTCTGTTCTGTTCATCAGTGGGTTTCTCTTCGGGATCCAAAATGCTTGCAAGTTCTCCGCGATGTCAAATCTCGTAAGACAAATCATGCATTCATTACCATAATCCTGATCACCACGCTGTTTATGCTTGTGGTTCCCGTATGGTGCATTCAAGCTGCCACGTCTTCTATCGATTAGCTCAACTTTGAGTTGAGCTAGTCGATAGAAGACGACTCAAGTGACTCAAGTGGTCTCCCGGCTTTTTCAGAGGCGCAACATGTACTACATCTACTTCGAAACACTCCTAATTATGCGCGGTCTTCAACATTGCGGAATTTATTGAAGTATGACATAAAGCGATTCCTACACGGAAGCTGGGAGACCACATAGCGACAGACTTAGGCCCGTATGCTCTGCGCGGGGAGGGGATGTGCGTTTAACCATGGAAATGATCCCCGCTGGGGCTCCCCTCCCTTCCTTACGCGAACCTCCGTATGCACAACGACAATATCGGGGAAGGGATCCCCTGAGAGTAGGGGAAGGGAGCCCCCCTTCTGCAGAAGGGGAATCGAGCGGGGAAATCATTTCGCTTCAGTCCTTTTAGCGTAATTGTTCCTCTTTTCTCATCTTTTGGTTGCTACTCGGCCCCAGCATGTCATCGGCAATACTTTAGTCATTGCGGAATGCCGTCTGCCGTGATTGCGCTCGGCGCACCAAAAAATATTTCCTATGCCCAAGATATTCCTGCTGTTTTTTATTGGATGTTGCTCACTTTCGCTCATGCAGCTATTAGCGACATACCGCCGTCCATTCCCCCAGGGAAATGATCCCCAGCTGCCTTCCCTGCTATGGGAGGGGAACGCTAGGGAGGGGATTACTCTCCTGGGATTTATACTCAAAAATAGGCAAATCGGCTACTTCCTAGATTTTTTCAAGGCAGCTTATGTTAAAATATCAAAATAAAGCCAAATTGTCAGGAAATATGAAAGTTAACAATGTGTTTGATTAGCCTATATGGCTAAAATTATCATGTTATATGAAAAATGCGCAAATTTCGTGAATTTTCAAGAACTCCTACAAATATTCGAATTTGACAGCAATTATATGCTCGGATTTCTTTTCAAGAAGCGAATATAGAAGGGGGAGATAAGATTGCAAGCCGCAGGTCGCCGAGAAAGGAAACCAGCTTTCGAAGAAAATGCTTTCATCAAGTTGAGCGAAATATTTTGTAACAACTGGTTGCAACCAGAATATTTGCTTCTCTGGGCATGATCTACACCATCAAACTTCTACTCCATTGCAGGGATGTCGATCCCCTCCCCCGCGTCGTCGAGCTACATTCTCGCATACGGGGAGGGGAAGAGAAGGGATCCCCACCACCGGGATTTGTCCGATCGATACCTTTGAAATTAAGTACAGAATGTGAGGCAGCAAAGAGTACCGCACTGGTAAACGTTGGAAGAAACCACAAAAAGCTGCACACTTACGAATTGTTTTATAGGAGTGCAGTCAAACATAAATGCGAGGGAATATAACATGAATTGCTTGACACGCATCACTTTAAAACACTCTCACTACTTACACCACTTAACCTTAGAACCAGTAATGTGGAAATGAAAAAGAGCGAAACAGACAGATATAATGGGAGGGGTGAATGGAGAATGTGAGAAAGGGACAAAGGCACGCAAAATAAGTATTCTTGTATATTTTGTTCCAAAGCCATTCTGGTGCACAAGAACTGACCAAAGTAACTTTTTTGACGAGGTATTAGTAGCCGTGAGGTAGAAGCGACTACCGCAATCACGCCATCCCCGCTATAGGTGCATGGGAGGAGGTCGCTCCCCTCCCCTCTGTCATAGCGGGGTTCACTGAAGGGTATCGTTTTCCTAAGGATCCAGTTCCGCTCCCCTCCCCAGCGGGGTTGTACGTGCATACAGACCTTAGAAAACATTTAGCCAATAGACACGTGATTAAATTCATCACTCGGCGAACGTAAGCAAAACAGCATGGTGATGAAAATGGTGGAACTGATTGCATGACTTTGGACTAAGATTAACACATCTGTGGGGAAAACTCTCAATGCGTGATGCAGTGAAAGCCATCGATGAACAGAAAAGTGTTTGGCTATCGCGAGTGACATCTTGCTCGCTAAGTGAGCCGTAATAGTAGTGTTACGCACCTATGAGTTCTTTAGCTTATTGGTGGTTGGTGTATGTGAGAAGCGATTTTTATTGTTGAGCAAATCAAGGTTTCAAAGAGATATATCAGAGAGGAGCGTTTTTGTTCAATGTTATAATCTTGAAATATATTTGTAACGAAATAGGAAGGTCAAAAACAATAGAATTGTTTGAAGATACAAAAATATTTCGGTATTTTTCAGCAGAAGTTGTCAAACCCAACAAGCGGTAGCTTTGCACAGCTCGTAAGCCAGAGCGCTGTGTTTTTAGAGACATACAGTGACCGTCAAAAAGTTGCGGACAAGCCGCCTTCCTTTTTTCATCGCTCATTTTCGGATGGAAAACAAAGATGATAAAATGATTGGATTGCGTGATTTGATAGAGCTCTTCAAGAGCTACAACCCACACATTGCGCTTTCTGGAAAATGTTTACTATAAAATTTTAAAAATCTTTTCCTAAAAAAAGTCCGGAAATGGCCGCGTCACAATGTCGCGGACATTATTTCTTTGAACGCGAAAATTTTCTTTTAGATCTTTTCTTGGAGCAAAAACAGAAGTTTTCGGACAGATAAGCATACTATGTTGTAGAGCTCACCGAGGACAACAATCGGGTAGTAGTTACTTCCAAAAAAATCCAAGCTTGAACTCTATTTTGCTTTTTTTTCAAAAATAACTTCTAATTCCCCTTCTTAAGCCAAATTTCTTCGCATGGGAATCTTTTCAAGATATCCCAGCAAAGCTAATTTAAAAAAAGGATGCCTTTTGACATCTTCTATGCATCCGACGTGTGCTATCGAGTTTCTTTGCTGAAAATGGCTCTTGACAGTGAGTGCACATGACCCCACCTGCATCTCACCACTGACTTGCACCGCTTTGCGGACCTGTAGCTTGGCCGCCAGTCACTCTACGAGCCTGCAAGTAGGCTCATTCGAAAGAGCGTGAGTTCCTCGGCATGACTGTATGCAAATGAATTGAGTTTGAGAAGAACCGAAAATTTGGCGGATGGGGTGATAAAGCGCAGCTTCAGTTGTAGGTTGAGGATTTTTAACACGTTTCGGACCGGTGCTGCACATGGTGCAGCACGCTGCTTTGGAAGATCTTTTTGACGTTTACAGGAAGTTTCTTTTAGTCCAAGGTTATCAAATCAAAGACCTGAGCTTCTACTTTTCGAATGATTCTTTAGAGTTGCGCCGCCGATACTTGTTTAGGAGATATGAGCGCAAATCAAACAACAGTTGCAACGAAGTGCGGCAACGCGAACGACGTGTGCGACGTCGCAACTTCTCTTTGCTTCGATATCAAAGAGAAAAACCGTACTTTTAATACTGATGTGTACGTCTACAACATAGATACTTTTGGATACTATTAGTAACTGAGTCCTTGTTCCTATCATTCAGGAAAGCACAGAAATCCTTCTCAAGCGACAAAATTTAAACACTTTAAATTCACTCAGAACTTCGGGTATGGAACTTATTTGACAAGCTGGTTGCAGATGTAGCACACAGTCTACGAAATAAGGTCCCTTTGTTGGCTAATGGCTGAAAGTGCACTCTTTTTCGCCGCGCGCGATTTCGCGGTCCTAAACGTGTTAAGCTAAAGTTGAGCAAAGCTCCTTTCGCCATCAGTGCCATCCTGGAAGTTTAATACCGTTAATTTTCTTGCAATAGACCCATTTTGGAGCTCTAAGGCCAGTATGCACGTACATCCCCGCGGGGAGGGGATGTGAGTTTAACCATTGCAATGATCCCCGCTGGGGCTCCCCTCCCTTCCCCACGCGAATCCCCGTATGCAGAAAGGCAATACCGGAGAGGGGATCCCCTGGTACTTAGGGGAGGGGAGCCCCCTTATGCAGAAGGGGAGATCGAGCGGGGAATTCATTTTGCTTCCGCTTTTTTGCAGTAATTATTCCTTTTTTCTTATCTTTTGATAGCTACTCGCCTTTAACGTGTCTAGGCGATATTTAATCGTTGCGGAATGCCGTCTGCCGTGATTGCGATCGGCACACTAAAGAAATATTTCCTACATCCATTATATTCCAGCTGTTTTCATGGATGCTGCTCATTTTCGCCATGCTGCCCATTTCAGCTTGAAGGTGTTCAGTGATAGAAGTCAAGGTGTATGTATATGCAGTGAATGGGTAGAAGACGTTATGCTGCCGAAAAAAAGGGGGGGGGGTGCCGCGGACATTCAAACCAGCATTTCTACACATAACTGAAGCTGCAAATCGTGCCAGCTCTCCATAAACGCTGTAGCTATCAGCTGCATATCGTCCTTTACCCCAGGGGAATGATCCCCATCGGCCTTCCCTGCTATGCACGAGGGGAGCGATGGGGAGGGGATCATTCCCCCGAGGATCTTAACTCAGAAACATGCGAGTCTGCTAATTTTCATTTTATTCAAAGCAGTTTTACGTTAGGATAACAAGATACAATTCATCATATAATGTGATAGTTACAATATGTTGTACCAGCCTTAATGGATAAAACTATCATGTCAACTAAAAAATGCGCAACTCTCGTGAATGGTCACAACGTTCTACAGATATTCGAAACTGGCAGATATATGTCCGGATTTCTTTACAAAAAGCGAATATGGAAGAGAGAGTTAAAACTGCAAGCTACAGGTCGCTGAGAGAGGAACCCGGCTCCCGTAGAAAATCTTTCATCAATTTGAACGAAATGCTTTGTAATGATTGATTGGAATCAGAATACTCGCTTCTCTGGCTTGACCTACACCATCGAACCCCTCCTCCGTTGTAGGGGATGTCGATCCCCTCCCCCGCGTTACTGAGTTAAATTCGCGCATACGGGGTTCGAGTAGAGGAGGGGAAGGGATCCCCTCCTCCAATCCCCTCCTCCATTCGAACCCCGTATGCACTAAGGTTCGCTCGATCAATACCTCTGAAACCATTCACACCATCCCCGCTTAGGTGCAGGGGAGGGGATCGCTCCCTTCCCTCTGTCATGGCGGGGTTCGGCGGAGGGGATCGTTCCCCTGGGGATCCAGCTCCCCTCCCCTCCCCAGCGGGGACGTACGTGCATACGGGCCTAAGACTGTTCTGATGTTGATAAGAGCCTTCACTCCATTCGTTCGCCTTATGGCTGCGCATTTACCCCATCCGCCAAATTTCCGGTTCTTCCCAAACTCAATTCATTTGCATACCCTCATGTCGAGGAGCTCACGCTCTTTCGAATGAGCCTACTTGCAGGCTCGTAGAGTAACTGGCGGCCAGACTACAAGCCTGCAAAGCGGTGCAAGTCAGTGGTGAGACGCAGGTGGGGTCATGTGCACTCACTTTCAAGAGCCATTTTGAACAAAGAAACTCGATAGCACACGTCGGATGCATAGAAGATGTCAAAAGGCATCCTTTTTTTAAATTAGCTTTGTTGGGATATCTTGAAAAAATTCCCATGCGAAGAAATTTGGCTTAAGAAGGGGAATTAGAAGTTATTTTTGAAAAGAAGCAAAATAAACCTCAAGCTTGGTTTTTTTTGGAAGTAACTACTACCCGATTGTTGTCCTCGGTGAGCTCTACAACATAGTATGCTTATCTGTCCGAAAACTTCTGTTTTTGCTCCAAGAAAAGACCTAAAAGAAAATTTTCGCGTTCAAAGAAATAATGTCCGCGACATTGTGACGCGGCCATTTCCGGACTTTTTTTAGGAAAAGATTTTTATAATTTTTATAATAAATATTTCCCAGAAAGCGCAATGTGTGGGTTGTAGCTCTTGAAGAGCTCTATCACCTCATGCAATCCAATCATTTTTTCATCTTTGTTTTCCATTCGAAAATGAGCGATGAAGAAAGGAAGGCGGCTTGTCCGCAACTTTTTGGCGGTCACTGTACATAATACCGTACTGAGGTATATGTTGCTGAACCGGGAGAAATCGCGCCTCTTGACCGCCTCCCGCTCATTGGCGCTTCAAAGTCAAAGGACTGGCGTATAATAACATTAGTGTATTGGCGGTTAAAAATAAGATTGGTTTACTTTCACTTTGCGTATTGCTACTGAAATCAGATAGATTCAGCACTAAGTTGATAATGCATGGCAAAATAGTGCCTAATGTTAGACTTTTACCACTCCAGCCTCCAAAAAAGTCGAAGCGTAAGGCTGCTAAAGAAACTTCACTAGACCTCGTATGACTTGAAGAAACGATTCTGATTACATTTAATACAAAATTATTACAGAGGTATTCTATCTTAGATCAGTACGACATAGCGAGACATATACAAAACTATCATGTGGACCTGAAAAAACTTGAAAAAGTCGATAAACTTTCAGTGCTTCTCGAAGTATGCATACGTTTTTTCTGTCGCATGATCACAGTCAAATTCAGAACTTGATCAGACAAGCAAACGAGTCAGTAACCATTGCTCTCACACAACGAAGGGCACGAAGAAAGTGTAAGAACTCGTGAGATCCATCTTCAATTGGCAATGAACATAATTTTGCAGTGTCGCAAATTAATGAGACCCTCTACAAAACTAGTAGCCACCTACTCAACTTCAGACGAATGCAGAAGCAAGTATTGCAAAAGGTTCGTACGTGGAGAAGGTCCGCCGTGTCAGCATGTGGTTATAAGTGAAGAAACGTTCATACACAACGCTTAGCGGTCAAGGTTGCTGAAATCAAACACTCTAAAAATTTCAGCTTTCAATATCATGTTGTTACAGTCTCAGAATAACTAGAGGCAGCTGATGCCTGATCTTTCGTAAAAGAGCATAACATCAAAGTTATGCAATTCAAATTATACGAAGCTGATTCACTTTTTCGAAATATATCAAAAATGCACTGAGTGCGTACAAGCATAACAAGCTACTTGGCAAAGTTATTGAGTTTCAAAGAAAGTTCTGCCAAGTCTTCTCGTGACCAAAAATGCGATGCAAGGAGCTGGTTTGGGATGTGTTCTTATTTTGCGATGGCTGCAGCTGCTAAACCCGCGATTCAGCCTGGGTTAATAGTGATAAACTGGGAAAAAATAACCAAGGCCTGCGAAAAAGTACATTTTTCAGACTACAGACGCGCAGAAGTTGCAGAAGCATAATTGAAGATAAGTTCTAGACCCTTTGTGTTAGTTAGATGAAGCGATATTCGACTATCAGCTATGCCGGCATTTGGGCCTTTTTTCAAGCAAGAAAGCTAATTAATTACAGGGCTAAAAATCTAATTCTTTAATTGCTTCAAACGCAGCCAGCGCGCTTCTTGAAAAAGAGCATCCATGGTATACCAAGCGGTAGTCTGAGGTTGTCAGTACTGACTAAAATATCGTTGATTGACAGTCACTCATGATGAAGATATACTTACTCACAAGGGAGTGATCAGAGGTCGAAGTGGCCAATCCAAACAAGCTACATACCATTCGATGCAGCATAGAACGCTGACTTTAGATCTGTCTTCCATATGTGCGAGCGCCCTTGTAGGCGACGTTATGAGCAGCTTTACTCGAAAAAGTCGTACACAAGAATTACAAAATTAGGCACATATTGCTCTTTTAGCTCACCTCTAGATACGGGCCATATGAAGTGACCTACTGGCTTGTTTTGGTTCAACGCTGAGCCGAGAATATTTTGTACGGTTAAGTTTGCCCTTTACATGCACAATTTCTTAGCAAAATAATGGCCTCTAACGGCTTATAACATCATCACAAAAGTGCTCTGTACAGACAGACTTAGATTAAGCGTTTTATGCTGCATCTGATGGTATGCAGTTTGTCGAATTGGCCACTTCGATTTCTGACCATTCCCTTATTGAATACTGAAATGGCCCGTATTTATGACGTGCGAGCCTCATCACAATAGTTTCCATTTCTCCCTGCCCATGCTTCAGACATCCACAATCTTCTTGGTTGACGTCGGTAGCTGCATCCACAAGTTCCAGGTGCGAAAATTGTATGCAGCTGATTTCCCAGCTGGTCCATGTATAGTGTGGACCCCAGGTTCTCATATGTACCTCCGCAGAGCATACGCAACGGTTCTTTTTGGTTGACGTCGGTGGCTGCGTCCACGACCCACAAGTTCTAGGTGCTATAATCGTATCCAGCTGATTTCTCAGTTTCCATTTCTGCATCTTCGCATACGGAATCCTTCACAAACTGGGTCTTCTTTCGATTTATTCGCAGTCCTATCTTCTTTTCTACTTCGTTTAGTTCCTTTAGCATTGTCTTAGTTCCTTCAGCATTGTCTCTGCTTCAGTAGCACTGCTCGAGAAGAGAACGATGTCGTCCGCAAAACGAGGGTTCGACAGGAATCTCCCATCAACTCGTATGCCTCTCTCGTCCCAGTCCACTGACTTCATCACCCACTGCAAGGCCGCGGTGAACAGCTTCACCGCGGCCCTGCAGTGGTTGCTTTGCAGTAGTGCGAGTTGTGTCGCCTTGTCGGACCCCCTCGCGATTGGGATGGTTAGGGGGCGATGGAACAGCTGCAACGTCGTTGTACAGACCTTGTAGCAGTCGGCTAACGTCCTCAGGTAAGCTGGATCCACTCCTTGATCGAATGGCGCAAGCAGTATGACGTTGGCTTCGACGCCGTTAAAGGCCTTCTCGCAGTCGACGAAGCTCAGGACGAAAGGCAGTCGATACTCCCGGCAGAATTCTATGACCTTCCAAACCGTCTAAATGTGGTCCAAGCAGCGGAGCTTTTTGCGAAATCAACTTTCTCTTGGGGTTGGGCTTCATCCGATGCGGTATGCGAGCGAGGATACTCCTCTTGAAAGCTCTTGTACAACACACTTAGCAGGCATATTGGACGGTAGTTCTAGAAATCCTCCCGTTCGCCCTTCTCGAACAGAAGGACGGTTTTTGAAGTTCTTGAAGAATGGGAATCTTTTCCTTATAAAGGTAAGCTGTTAAATGCGACGTGAGAATCTCGTGTAGACGTTGTTCTCCAGCTCACAAAGGTGCGACGAAAAGATGGCCTGGTCCTGGAGCCGTGGACGTCTTCATGGTCTAAATCGCCGTGCGCACTTCAGCAGGTAGAACTCGTGGTGGTACTTCTCTAGTGGGAACGACGGGCATCGGCACGGGTGTTGATGAGCGGAAGAGGTTGGTATAGTAGAAGTTCTTCGCGATAGATTCCATCTTGCATAGGGAAGAAGTCGGAGTCCCGTCTTCGTTCAATAGTGCAACGAGCGGTACTTGATATTCACAGAGGTCTCTTCGGCATTTCTTGAGACTTTGTCTTCCTTCAGTTGCTTTTAGAATCTTGGCTTACCTGTACATCCTGAGATCCTCTGCAAAGCTTTCAGCAACTGGCGTTGGCTATCAATCGCTCGAGATGGCCTGCATTCGGACCTCAACGATATTTTTCTTTCGAGTAATTCCTTGTTAGTTTTCGAAATGCGTTTTAAGTTCTTCTCGGAAGTCATTGAGGCGCATTTTTTGCAGGATCGCAATCCTTTCAGAAGCCGGTCATAATCGTACGTTGGTTCCTTCTCGATGGGCCAGTCACAGCTTGATATGAGCTCTTCCAGTCTATTATCGTCAAACTCCTGTCATGAAAAATTTTTGGACAAATTGCATTTCCGAGAGTATGTTACTCCGAAAGTTGAGCAAGACTGGGAACTTCGTTCATGATCCTTCCATAAATCATATTCGTAAGGCACTTGGGATCCGTCGATGTTTTCAAGATTGTGGGTAATGCACGCTGATTCTTCGTCTAACAACCAAGTTCCTTCTCTTCATAAATAGCTTGCACCACGAAGCAAAGCCTTGAAGTTGTGCCGATCAGATTCATTGCTGGCTGTAACGCTTTCGCTTTAATATTCCTCAATAACTCTGCTTGCCTCTCGCCCCTGTACAATTCACGAGCAGAAAATTCATCCAATCAACTGAAGAGCTTAAACCACAACATGTGAGGGCTATACTGGAGGTATGGAATGGGAAATAGCAAACTCAAAGGCAGCGTTCAAGCACTAAACATAGAATCTTACGTGGAAAGTATTTTTGGGACCCACTAGACTATCCAATCGACAGCCACATGATTCACTTACGGCTGAGATATTTGCCTCCAAACTGGACCCCAGCATCCTATTGCATGCTTTCGTGCAAGGACCCGCGCGAAACTGATGCATGTAGTTAAAAACTATGCGAAAATGCTGTAAATCATCCGTTTATACGATATTGGGCCGCAGGTGAGTATCTCAGTCGCAAGTGCACCATCTGGGTTTCGCTCTGGCAGTGTCTTAGATAGTGTAAAAATTCTTCCCACATGAGATCTCCATATGTCCAACCTGCCTGTACGCTGGTTCAAGAAAGAGAACTCACCTTTCAGCGCGATAACTATCCCGCAAAGCTCTCTTCAGCTTTCTGCACTGCCTCTTAGCTCCTTACCCGGTCTCTTTTGTATGCCTTATCTCAGCTTCAATTGATACATCGGTCAGCTGCGCGGGCGGTCGCACGCGTCTATGATGTACGCCTAGGCGCTTGTTCATGCTCAAAACAGACGAACTTCTCTATAGGGATCAGCACCTTTCTCGTTTTTTGGCAGAAGCGCAGTCTTATCTGCACCAAAAATCTTTTGATGGGCTTTTTGCAAGGCGACCCTATCTGTGAGATTCTAGGATAGTTTCGCGAACCATAGATATTCCATGTTTCGGCCCACGATCTTAAACGGACAAAATTACTATTTTTATTTTTGACTTTCTAGAAAAACCAACAAATTTTTGCTGAAAACCAAAAAATGGTGGAAAGAGCGCTTCGCACAATTTAATGGATGTGCAAAAAATCGTTCGACTTCTTTAGGCACTCAAGGGATTTTTGGAGGAAGCCGCAGAAACCAAATCTAAAGGCAAAGATCACTTGCGTAGAAAGCGTATGCGCTGTCACGTACATCATTCATTGAAAGAAAATACGATAAAATGAAAGTGCTCCATTACTTATCGAACACCCAGATTCACAGCACGCTTTGGTATAACAGGCCGACTGATGATTTGCAGATGAATCTTATGCTGTTGCCTACAAGCAGACATAAGCTTACTATGTCTCTAAGGCGTCATCAAAAACATCTACACAACCATGCTGTGATGGCGATCTCAAATTTGTTTGTAAGTCAACCTTTGCGTCCCACAAGGGGCAAAAAGCAACACCGAATAAAGGGCAATCACTTTTGGTTACAGACAGTTCTAGTGGACTTTACTCCCCGATGTGGAAGTCTGATGAGAATTTGGGATGGATTGGGAACATTTGTTTGCAACGGGATTGCTGCACCAGCGCAAGGGTTATGGGTAGCCACAAGTAAGTACTTTGCCAGGTGATGTGTATTATACATATTATCAAAGTGTTTTGTGCTCTCGGATCTGCAGCAATCTATCACGCCTTCTTCAACACTGCAAGATTTTGGAAGGATGCAATGCATGATGAATACGCAAAACGACGCTTAGAGAAGGTGGGCAGCGATAGATGCTCACTTGGAAATAGGCGTAGAGTCTATTTCAATTTGGTGTGGGCGAGAACTTTGCGCTGTCGCGGCGGCAAATCGTATCATGTTAGAAACTGCTCTATCTCTTCATTTGCCTCGATTAAAAGCCGAAACAATCACAACGCAGTACGTTCCTCGACGATTCCTTAGTTATAGCGAAACAGTACTGCCTTTCCATGTTGTAAGCTTTGGCCAGCTCAGTTAGATATCGTTTGAACATTTCTGTCAGAACTCACCCGAGCTCTTCTCTCTTCTCTCATTCTCACAAGCTGTACATCATTGCACTCGCCTTGAAAGGTTGTTCTTCGACATATGTTCATTATCCACCGGATCACTATCTATAGAAGTTAAGCAGGCCTGGGCATGAGGTCAGGCACAGCTCGTTCAGAAATGATCTTTCTTTACATAGTTACGCAAAAGACCCTATTTCCTCTGCCCAAAGAGAGTGTCAGTAAATGTCCGCCCACGCCTTCCCCCTACCTAGGCAAGCCAATTAAACCTCCAGCGAATATTTCTCGGTGCTAAACATGACACAGAAAGTGTTTCACGAATCAAAAGTACAGTGGACGTCATACGTTTAGTCACCTTGATGCGATGTGCGTTGGTGCACACAAATTTGAAATCCCGGATGAGGCGCTGGGGTCGCCGTGCCGTATTTACATCAACTATGCAGTGGCTAAAATTTGACGCCAAACTGCTTGTTTTGCATAATTTTATGTTTTTTTTTCCTTCTTAGCTTCATACACGGTCTAAGTTTTGAAGATTTGTCACCTTCACACGACGTCATGCCGTTTCAACACAAATATCTCAAAATTTATCGTTTTCATTTTCAGATAAGGGAAGAGATAAGCAATCTTGCAAGATTTTGAAGTAAGCCTGCTATATTCGCTACTGTCGTAAGAAAGAGTAGAATATTTCTTAGGCAGCACGGGTTTCTCCTCGAAGCAGTCCACTATCAACTTAGAAGAAGCCTTTGAAAAGGAACTCGGCATAAAACCATTTCCGATATTAGTGAGAAGAAAGCTGAAACTCGTACTGCTCAAAAGGTATTTTACTCTTTCTACAGACGAGAATAAAGAAAACAAAATTTAAAATCCTGCACGATCGCCAATCTGTCTTCTTTACCTGAAAGTAAAGTAATAGTAATGATTCAAGATAATCGTTTTGAAATGGCATGCACGACGTATAAAGGTATTCTGGGACCCACAAAGCTTCATTCACATAGGTCTTCATAAATTTCTGGGCCATTGCTGGAGTTCCCTCACGCGCATGTGCACACCAATCTGGTGTCATATCATTGCGATTCGATTCAAATAAGAGTTTTGTTTGTTTGGGGCACAATTTTGAGTTTGCGATCAGAACTCGGCATCAGCTGGAATCAAGGCGACCCATACACAAGCCATTCGCTCCTCTGTTTTCATTCCCAAGCCTAGTATGGTGACAAGATAACACCAAGGAGTAAATTTCTTTCCCATCATTTTCATTTCAAAACGGCTGTGGTCTACCATTCAGATATGGACGCGAATGACAGCAAGAGAATCAGAATATAAATTATTTCCCCCCCCCCTCTCCCGAACTAATAAAAAAATTTCGACTGAATCTACTCACAAATAAGTCAGCTTTCTTTCTTCAGGATGGAACGAAAAGGTTGCACGCTCACACTGCCTTTTCAGCTTTAGAAATTATCAGAATACTAATTCAACCTTTCCATTTTGTCGCCAAAACCTCCATAGCATCAATATTGTTAAATTGCTAATAGAGACTGTTTTTGTCAACCTTTTGACGATCTTTTGCTTCAAAGATCAAAGGTTTCTTCAAACTGCGCCACTGTAGCTGCACCGTCATTGCGCCACTGCAGTCATCAGGACGTGCACCAAATCTCACTAACGATCTGGGATGAAGTACGTTGTTGGATGCGTATCATGCGGCTGATTCCAGATCTACCCTTTGCATCTACTGAACGATTCTTCAGAAAATTATGAGAGTTTGAGAATGTGAAACTATTGTGTCTTAGGCCTGTATGCACGTACATCCCCGCGGGGAGGGGATGTGAGTTTAACCATTGCAATGATCCCCGCTGGGGCTCCCCTCCCCCACGCGAATCCCCGTATGCAGAAAGGCAATACTGGAGAGTTGATCCCCTGGTGTTTGGGGGGGGGGGGAGCCCCTTATGCACAAGGGGAGATCGAGCGGGGAATTCATTTTGCTTCGGTTTTTTGCAACTTTTTTCTTATCTTTTGATAGCTACTCGCCTTCAATGTGTCTCGGCGATATTTAGTCGTTGCGGAATGCCGTCTGCCGTGATTGCGATCGTCACACTAAAGAAATAGTTCCTACATCCATTATATTCCAGCTGTTTTCATGGATGCTGCTCATTTTCGCCCATGCTGCCCATTTCAGCTTAATGGTGTTCAATGATAGAAGTCAAGGTGTATGTATATGCAGTGAGTGGGTAGAAGACGTTATGCTGCCGAAAAAACCAAACCAGCATTTCTACACATAATTGAAGCTGCAAATCGTGCCAGCTCTCCATAAACGCTGTAGTTATCAGCTGCATATCGTCCTTTACCCCAGGGGAATGATCCCCAGCGGCCATCCCTGCTATGCATGAGGGGAGCGATGGGGAGGGGATCATTCCTCCGAGGATCTTTACTCAGAAACGCGCGAGTCTGCTAATTTTCATTCATTCAAAGCAGTTTTACGTTAGGATAACAAGATAAGAACAATTTATCATATAATGTGATAGTTACAATATGTTGTACCAGCCTTAATAAATAAAACTATCATGTCAAATAAAGAATGCGCAACTCTCGTGAATGGTCACAACCTTCTACAGATATTTGAAACTGGCAGATATATGTGTGGATTTCTTTACAAGAAGCGAATATGGAAGAGAGAGTTGAAACTGCAAGCTACAGGTCGCTGAGAGAGGAACCCGGCTCCCGTAGAAAATCTTTCATCAATTTGAACGAGATGCTTTGTAATAATTGATTGAAATCAGAATACTCGCTTCTCTGGCTTGACCTACATCATCGAACCACTACTCCGTTGTAGGGGATGTCGATCCCCTCCCCAGCGTTATTGAGTTAAATTCGCGCATACGGGGTTCGAATGGGGGAGGGGAAGGGATCCCCTCCCCCATTCGAACCCCGTATGCACTGGGGTTCGCCCGATCAATACCTCTGAAACCATTCACACCATCTCCGCTTAGGTGCAGGGGAGGGAATCGCTCTCCTCCCCTCTGTCATGGCGGGGTTCGGCGGAGGAGATCGTTCTTCTGGGAATCCAGCTCCCCTCCCCTCCCCAGCGGGGACGTACGTGCATACGGGCCTTAGTGCAACATGTGCATTGACGTCCAACTACTCAGACAATCAAATGCTCTCAGCCGGCAGCCACAAAGCCACCGCCTAGACCCACCAAAAGCGCGGTGGCCTCATCGCCTCACTGTCGCTTCCCGTTGAGAGCTTTGTCGGAGTTTTGTCGGGGCTCGTCGGAGCGGGCTCAGCGGGCAGCGAGCCCGCTCCGACAAGCTCCGACAAAGCTCCGACAAAGCTCTCAGCGGGAAGCGACAGTGGCTGCGATAAGGCAACGACGCTTTTGGTGGGGCCCGCTGAGAGCCTGTGATTGTCTGAGTAGGGACAGGTACTTGGCACGGTGTTAAAGGCAGCGTCCAGGCAGATCTGGAACTATGGGGACTTTACGTGGAAAGTACATTTGGGGCCCTAACTAAGCCACTGCCCGACCGGCAGCTCAGGTAGTGCTCTAGCGGCTGAGATACTCCCCTCGAAACTGGACCCCGCGATCGTATTCGCATGGATTCATGGCACTTTCGCGCCAGGATCCACGCTTTGCGCCATGAATCCATGCGAAATACGATCGCGGGGTCCAGTTTCGAGGGGAATATCTCAGCCGTTAGAGCACTACCTGAGCTGCCGGTTGGGCAGTGGCTTAGTTAGGGTCCCAAAATTACTATCCACGTGAGATCCCATATGTCCAGACTTGCCTGGACGCTGCCTTTAAGTGTGCTGACTACGAGAAAAAGACACATTTACAGCCGAGTAGATCTTCTGCTTAATATAATGTGCTTGCGCTGCAGGTAAAATGCGGTAAAATCTGCACTTGCTAATTACGCCGGCAATAGTTATGCCGGCATTTAGCGCGCAGGCCGGCATCACAGGTGCAGCAGTTTATTCACCGGGGTTCGCCACGAGTTGACTTCGAAAAATCGCGAAAAACCAAGTCTCCTTTGACTTTACATAAAAAAAAAACAATATCCCATGAGATATTAGAAGATAAAACATGAAAAAAAGGGAAGAAAGCAAACAAAAAGACACCAAGGAAGCATCAAGCAAACGCGATGATATTCTTCTCCGAATTAACGGCATAATGTATCCAGCGAGTAGCGCTACACGCCTGGAGCAGCGTTGCCGCCCGCCATTGAAAATTTTCAAGGGGCTGTAACTGCGCGGGAAGTAGGGAGTTCGCGGCGATTTAAGAAATAATTTGTAGGGTTTGAGATGTAGATGAGATCTATCTAAAGAAGGTAAAAAAAATGCGTGAAGAGAAGAAACTTTATGACTATTTCTTTATCTAGCCATCTCAGGTAGCTTCCAGATGGCTTGAAAGCCACCTAACTCCAATAAAAGTTGAGCGCAAGTTCAGTTCAGTTCACATAATTTTTTCATAATTTCTTATTCATAGTCCTAACCATAGGTGCGATAGGGGAAGCAGGGTCCACTCCAGGTAAAAGGGGTTTTGGCTATCTGACCCAAAAAAGTAAAGGGTGTAATTGGGCCTAGATGAATGCTGACGCAAGCTTACATGTCTAACGGGATTGGGAGTAGAAGGAAAATAAGTGCTACAGAGATGTATTATAATAATTTTCTCAATGCTTAGGCCTTGGAAGGTCATCCAACAGGAAATTTTTGACTTAGGAAAGCTTATGTTTTGTCAGTCGACATACCATTCGAAGCTTGGAACATACAGAATCGACGTAGACCGTCTCATTTTTTCCAGCTCTCCTGTGAATTCAGATATAAAAAATCATATCTAACTCCAGCATTAGCTGATTTTATGCAATCACTTTGAGCTCCATTTCTGAAAGAAAGAGGAAAGCTAGAAGAAGAGGTGTTTACTGGCGAAGTCCTGCTTTGTAAAAGAATTAAACAACTGGGCATTTTCAGCCACTCTTTGCATAAAAATTTCTTCACAAAAACACATGTTTTTAGCTAAAATGCCATGTATCTCTGAGTGGAGGGAAGCTAGAGAAAAAGAGACAGTCTATGTCGAATCCGTTTCGTGAGCTTTCTAAGGTATATAAGTTGTTGAGTGAAAAAAAACTCGTGGCATTCCAAAAATGAGGTGGAGATATTTAGTATTAACTTGCTTCACCCGCTCTCGCTTTCTATGGTTAGCAAAAACAAGACTTTTTTGGACTGAAAAAGCTTTGTGCACCAACACTTTGTATACTATTCGATGGCTAAGAACAGGAGGCGACGTAGACCGTCCCTTTTTTCCTAGCTTTTCTGTGAAGCGAGATAGGAGCAGTTTTATCTAGCTACAATATCAGCCAAATCTGAGAGATCTCAGAGCAAGAAAATCTTTTTCGAACTTTTACATATAATTCGAAAGCTTGAGAAACGAGTAATTTGAATGCTCTTTTATTTATTATTATTATCTCTAGTGAAAGGAGATATGGTACTACTTTGGTGAGTAACATGCATCCATCACTAGCTAGTTCAGATTTTATACTCTTGCTCAACTCTTTCTTGCGACAGTGTGTATTCATTGATACAATTTGATTACGTTTCGTTATCAACGCCACTTTGAGTGCACAGAAGGTCTCAAGCATTTTTCAACAAAACGCTGTTGCTTCGATACCCTCTTGCAGTCTTGATGCCTGAGGAGAAGAGCAGCTGGCGTTTCTTTTCCAAATAAAAAGTGCGTTGTAGCAGCTGTTTGATTCTGCCATTATGCCTTGATACCTTGCCTTGCTTTGGCTACCGTTATTTTATTATTCGTCACCTGCGGCACGGCAAGACCAGAGCGCTTCTCTTCCATAACATTAGAATAGCGGAACCTCCAACTTAGCCTGGACACTACCTTTCAGCCTCGATTAGCATGTAGCTGAGTGGTGTAGCTATATAGTCAATGCTAGTCAATGCAGTAGCGCCTTTTACAACTAAAAAAATTTCAAATCTTTAGGTAAAGTATGTACAGAAAGCTCTGAAACTAGAAAGGCTGAGCCATTCAAGTTCAAGTAGTGAAACCACCAAACGCGCAGATTCCTACAGTAAACCAACGAGTAGACCGAGCACAAGCGTCACCACGAAGAGCGCGTCAAGATCCCCAAAAGGTCATTATGATGCCGCTACAGTGGAAGCTAAGCAGTCGCTGATTCCAAAATCTAAGGATAAATCGCGAGAAAAGGAAGATATCGAAGAAGGAAAAGAAGACAACGAAGAAGGAAAGAAAGCTACCGCGAACCCACTCTCAACAAATTCGAAAGAGCGAACAATCAATGCGAGTGCTCCTGCGAAAAGCTCAGAAGAGCCAACACAATCAAAAGAAATGCCAACAAATGCTGCAGTCCGGGTCTCTGCCGAAAATGCCGCAAAAAGTCAATCGAGTAATTCCCAAACAGATTTGAGAAAGTCTAAGGAAGAAGTAAGAAGCCGTGAATCAATAGAACAACCTGAGAAAAAGAAAACTTTGAACAGTAGTAAGAAATCGCTTCAAACAGGAATACCCGCATTTGAGAAGGTTGCCGTTCGAACTTCAAAAGAACAAGTGTCAAGCAAAAATTCAAAGGAGAGAGTAGGAAGCGAAAGCAAGTCCAAGGAATTTCTAGATCAAGGAAAAGCAGGCAATGGTAGTCATATCGTTTTTTCCCAACTTCACCAAACCTGAACGAGCAATTCAGGAATCTAATAAGAGAAAATTTCTACAATAACAGTGAAAATAGAAATCAACTTCAAGCTTGTTGCAAGATTATAGTCAAGAATGTTATTAATTGTTTAAGTTGCCTTCACTAGTAAATCTCAATAGTTGTGTGATGCAAGTTCTGTGATATAAGACAATCGATGGGATAGACGGGATCAGACTAAATTTGCGGAAATGAAGGATGTTGCATTTAGGAAAATGTAACTGCTGCTTAGCTCCTTTTTTGCATATGATTATTGTACAGGCAAACATACATTGACACTAAAATGTAGTTATTGTTCAACCTTGTAATTTATCTCGCATCGATAGCTGATAATCGCTTGAGCTTATTGAGCATAGACCAAGATATTAACCACACTTTATTCACGGCCAACGTTTCGGTGGGATCGCCTTCGTCGGAGCCTAGAAAGTCGAAAACATAAAACAGAGAATGTTTATGTTTACTTTCTAGGCTCTGACGAAGGCGATCCCGCCAAAACGTTGGCCGTGAATAAAGTGTGGTTAATGGTCTACGCTCAATAAGCTCAAGCGATTGAGATGTAGTTGTTACATGGTAAATTATCTGCTGGTGTGCATAGTACACATAGTATAAGCAGATTTATTAGTAGACTTCTGCGTTGGACTGATAGTGCACATGATATATTAGGTCAAACCAAAAGTTCTGTCGCACCTTTTCCAAATAATCGTAACTCCTTCCTTTCACTACAACTTTCCATTACAAAAATACTGCCTCTGATTGCATAGATAAAATTGTTAAAAGGGAATAAGTTTGATTTCGGAATTTTGAGGCAAGGCCTTAGAACTTTTGAATCTGTGCAATAGATTTCAAAGGATCCAGTAACCTAAGTTTTTTGTTTCCCTCTTTCTAGCTGAGCAAAATTCGCGCTGATCGATCTCTTTTCAAAAAGTTATGATTTTTGAGAAATAATGCCAAAAAATTGGTTTCTTAAGAAAATTGATTTTTTGCCATTTTTTCTCAAAAGTCATAACTTTTCAAAGAACAGCTCAATCAACACGAGTCTTGCTCAGCTAGAAGGAGGGAGTCGAAAAGTCTAAAATACTTGCTGTTTTGGATTTTATGGCGCAGTTTTGGAACTTTTAACGGGCTTGCCTTAAAATTCCAAAATCAAACTAACTCCCTTTCACAATTTTATCTATGCAATCAAGGCCTGGAAGAGAGACAGCAAGGTGTCATTAGAAAGCACATGAGTTGCTCTTCCTAGCGGTATTTTTGCAATGGAAAATTGTAGTGACAAGATGAAGTTACGATTTTTTGAAAATGGTGTGACAGAACTTTCGGTTCCACCTAGTATGTGGGAATCTGAGCATCCGTTCAAAAGCAGTAAACATACTTAATCAACCTGTTTCGATTGGGAGGGGGTGCAGATTTCGGTGGAATCCAAGCACTAGTCGGATCCCATCGAGGAGAAGACACCGGATCCTTCCGGAAATGTCACCCGGATGGCTCCGAGTGATACTCGGGCATGCTCGCCCATACGCGCATGGAAACTTAAGCAGTTTTTTCTTTCCCGCAAGGAAGAAGTTCGAAGAACTTCTCGCAAGACAGAAGTCATGGAAAACATCACAAAACAATGAAGATAATGTCTTCATACAGACATAAGCAATTGTTGCAGCTGAGATCAAATTGCAAATATGTTTTGCAATGCGAAAAAAAAAACTGAAGAAATCGTATAAGCCCTAAATCACCTCTTTGGACAATCCTTGAACTTTTATTAGAATGGAACCGCATCCCATAAAATTTTACATACATATCACAATTGACTGTGCACATCTCCCACTCAAAAAGCTAAACATACAAGCTATCGATCGTCTATCACAGCTTATAATAATTCTTATTTATGGACTTTTTACTTTCTCCTCGCTGTTGCAAAACATGCCAAATCATAGATCTGAATAGCAGAAACAAATTATTTAGACTTTGTATAACCAGTCTCTTCGACAACAATACAGAATTATCAAAGTGGATAGATACAATCCTAACTAGAATAATTTCTCTGGTCAACAAACAATGCCTACGGCCTCTCCTGAGGTGGCTGAGTCGGTGGATTATAGGACGAATGTTGATGCGTAGGAACATACGCTGACTGATGAGTCTAAAATGGAGTTCTTTAACTTTCCTCTGATACAAATGATAAAAGTCATGCCTACCGAATCAGTCACTTGTGTGAATGCACTATGTGGTGATGTGATCAGTGGCATCGAAGGCATTGGTAAAGGATTAGTCACAGAATACTAAAATTGTGAGGATGTCAACTGAAAAAAACATAAATGTTACTCATACCTGTGAATGGATGGAGGACATTGGCTGAGGATATTGAGGAGGAACTGAAACTTTAATCATTCAAACTGAATCAGCGAAGATGACTGATTTTGTATAAAACTTTCGCTTACACTAAGCGCATAATTTTTTTGAGAAAACTGGATGTAAGCGAAAGCACAATCCTTGCATGGTAAATTTCATGATTTTGTTTATGATAAAGATGAAGCAAGTATTTTTAGACACTGCGAAAAGCGAGGTCTTTTTCAATCAGCCTGATGTCGGATTGCTTTGTTATTGCTATGCTCGTTCCGAAAATCGACACTGCAGAGCGCGAGGACGGCAGCAAAGGGTTCTAATGCATAAGGGATCAGCAGGTGGGCGAGGTCTATAAATATGGGAATATGGTATGCCAACTACCTCATCTACATGAATTGAGTTCCAGGTAATCAGGACTCGCTCTGTCAGTGCAACATAGTGTCACTTGATAATGAGTTTAGTATGAGCGTGGTTTTCTAGTCAATTCCTCCTCCCCGCTACCACCTGAACTATGGCGGTAGCGGGAAGACGGAGGAATTGACGAGGAAAATTAAGTTTTTTTACGTAGTTTTCGTAGCCATCTGTCATGAATTAGGGAGCAGGAGCAATTCTGAATTTGCATGAATTGGGACTTGTTTCTTGTTTTTGATTAATTTCGTTTTTGAGCGTTCTCAGCCCTTTTTCTTTTTCCATTTGCTTCTCTTTTCTTTCTTCTACCCTGCTTCTCCTTGTGATGAGAAAAGCTGCGAACGAACGCTGTTCTGCTCGATGTATCCGGGAAGATGGACTTCGTGCGCTCGTCCATCTTCTCTGCCATTTTTGTGCAGGCCTACTCCATGTGTTCTAGAGATTTGTCTATATCAATTTCAATACATATGCTAGACTACGCAGCGCCTTTCTAGAACACATGAAGTAAGTCTGAGCAAAAATCACGAAGAGAGGATGGACGAGCATAAGAACACACGTTTTGTCGCAAAAGCAGAGCAGAAAAGCGCTCATTCTTCAACCCCGCTTCGAGTTCGAATCTGCTGATCAAGAAGGGAAGCGGGGTGGAGGAATAAGGCCAAAATGAGAGAAATCTGAAAGAAAAACCGTTGAGAACGGCCGTTCAAAACGGTGCAGAGCGGCTGCAGCGCATGTGTGATAAAATAAAAATTTATGTTTGTTAGAACGACTTTGTCCAGTAACGCTTACATATATGACCTCTCTTTAAGCCACTCCTTCTCTCTACAGCACACAAGTAATTACTAAGATTTTATCATTACATAAAAATACAAAAGACATATTGGAATATATCGAGAATGTAAAGGAGACACGGAGATATACCTTACAGATAATATAAGGATGTAAAGAACAATTAAAAGAAAGGGGAAGTAAATGAATAGGGGGGGGAGGCTCACCTCAGCATGATGGTTGTGAGACCGGCCGGAGCTGGCGTGCTGAACTACGAGCGAGCTGGGAAGGGCGGGGCATTTTTTTTTATACCCTCTTCGTGGGCGGCTAAGATGGGGCGGGCGGCCGAACTTGGCCGACTGGCGCTGCGATGAGTTTTGCGCTTTTCCTACACATGCAGCACAGTTCCGGAATTGTTCCCGCACAGTTCCAGCACAGTGCGATAACTGTGCGGGAACAGTTCCAAAACGAATCAGTATGAACCCAGCCTTAGATGATAACAGATAGCGGAAGTCAGAAGACCACCTATATACAAGATTAGGCCTCAGCTCTTTTATATGTGCCGTGATGACCTGACCTCATATTCAGATCCGCATAGGGAGTAATAAGGTGCGAGTTCCTGCGTGATGGCGATACACCCTTCCTTTCTATTCAATTTTGGGTTTTTAGCATTGATCCAAAAGCCTCCAACGTTTTGCGAGCGAGGATCTCGGGTTCATGCGAACAAGATTCTTACTGCAACTTGTACCTTAGAATTGTTATCACCTACTATACGGTGTTTCCCGAGCGGCGTAGCTGTTCTTGACTTTTCCAAACCATCCACATGCTGCTTTACGCGACAACAAAGTGGGCGCCCTGTTTCGCCGATGTATGGTCTCCGCATGAAAGACATGTCATAAGATAAATGGCCCCGGACTGCATACAATCGCCTTCTTTACCAAATGGGCAGACCACACAATTGGGAGTAGGGCAAGTACGATCATAAGCGCGGTTGCGAACAGGTTGCCATTTGAGATTAGCTGGAGGGATATCGACCACTTTATCATGCCTTGCAAATCCGCGTGTTGTACGCATCGCCGCACTGCATTGCTCAGCTCATCGGAGATGAACGGTAAGCAGAAGGGGATCTCAGCGGTACCGCTCGCACTACGAGCTCTACCCCGACGCAATGGCGTACCGAGGGGGGGGGCGCCTCCCCCCCCCCCCCCGAGAATTGGTCGCGAAATTTTTGAAAGTTACTTATTTGGGTTATAAAAATGTGCAAGTGACTTGTTTATTTTTGTAAATAATTAAAATAATTTTTAAAAATTTTTAAAATTTCGAATTAGCCTTGTAAAAAAAATTTTTTCGCGGGCGTGGCTAACGCCACGCCCCCTTTCTCCAGATTTTAGGGGTCGGGGACTCGTAAAAGTTTTGAGAAGCACCCCAAATATTTTTTCGGAGTGCGCGTCTAACGCTACGCACCTTCGTTAGAAAAAAATTTTTGTCGCGCCCCCCCCCCCCCCAAGCCGAAATCCTGGGTACGCCACTGCCCCGACGTGACCCCAGGGCCCCGGATGCGCGCTCACGCACAGCATAGACGTTGACGCCGCAACTTCTTGAGCCAAGGTGATGGAATATGGAATACGAAACGTTAGCCGTCAATAAAGAACTGTAACAATCATAAAATAACGCTCACACACCGTTTCCACAACTAAAAATCTATACTTTTGCGTTCGTTCTTCTGCGAAAAGTTTCATCCAAGCGAAATCACCGCTTTCATATGAAAAAGCTTTCAAAATGAGTTGTTTACATTTTATTCGTGATAATCGGCATTGCGTGGTGAGTTTCAATTGTATAACCAGTGCGAACCTCTGCGAAGCAGAGGTGAATCACTGGTTTCTAAAACCCCCAAGTTTATGGACTAGACCCGATGACCGACTCAAACGGTTAAACATGCCACCATAACACACTAGTTGCCCAATATGACTATAGTCGAAGGGAGACTGAGAAAGTTTGTGAGTGGATGTTAGTGCTGGATGAATCAATCTGTGCAGATGTAAGAACTCAATATCCTTAAGATGCACGTTCCAAGTAAAAATCGTACCTTTTCAGCTGAAACTTCATGCACATATGTTTTCGACCGCAACTCTTCTCAGATTACTTTTTGTGGCGATTTTTGAGGCTTTGTCGATTTGACAGTTTGTTTGCTTGCATTTAGATGAAGAATACTATCTTTTTCGTGTCATTGTGCGACAGTCATGTAAATGGGCGCGGTAATGTCATGAACTTTTCGTGATAACCAGAATATAGGGTTCCAAAGCAAGGTAGCCAGGAAAAACAAGGCTACCGCAAGAGCACTGCGGCGTGCATTTAGACCAGTGGCCGTATTTATCACTGATACCTTGAGGTAAATTCTACCTCCAGGTAGTTTTATCACTCATTATCAGCAAAATTACATTGAGAATTTACCTCAAGGTACTTGTGAAAACGGATACTTGCTGATAATGAGTGATAAAACTACCTGGAGGTAGAATTTACCTCAAGGTATCAATGATGAATACGGCCACAGGAGCAGGGAGGAAGAAGAGGAAAAGTTAAGAAAACTGAGGAGAGACAAAGAGATCATGTCTTTATCGCTCCAACTTAGATTTTTATTTCCACTTTGCCAGCTGATTTGAGCCTGCTTTAAAGACCAAAAGGCAGCTAGAGGATATCCGTCGACATCCCGACTCGTGCAATGACACCGTCGTGTTAGTGCCTTCTTAGCGCATTTTCAGCTTAAGTACTAGAGTACTATAGTACTCTGCAGCGCGCGTGGACGTGGTAGTCGCAGCATCCCTGTCACTTAATCCCTTTTGTTCGCTAAGCAATTTATATAGTTTTTGCTTCTTATTTTTCACTTCAAGCAATTACTCCTAATGTCTATGTGAGACCATCATAACGGGCAAAGTTAGAAGAAAGAATGATTCTTCGTAGTTGCAGTGGTGGATATCATTGTGATTGCGTGTAGGAGGATGATCACTTTAACACTCCTACATCAGGGACACCATGCAGGAGTGCTAAAATAAACATTCGTGTGGTCTAACTCGGAAAATAGCGGTCTCACTAAGAAAATACATGATGGTCACCACTGCTTATGAGCAAAGCATACCCTTTCACCTACGCCTTTGAAAATGAATGTCTCGTAGGAAAAAAGGGAGAGTAATCTAATTATATGCCTACACTAATTTTTTCTTCACCTTTCAGTGTTTATTAAAGTAGAACACAGGATGTCCGAATATCGGGAGAACCTTCCAGAAAGGATCAACGACTGGATCCCTAAAATATAATATCTAAGAAGAAAACAGTGTTGCTGCAGCTACCAAGTCCCCGCGCACTGCAGCGTATTGTCAAGCTGAAAGGCTCCAAAAAGGCACGCCCATGGTAGTGTAATTGCACGCTCATCCTTTGGTAACTTTGAATTAGACACTGTCTAGTACAACCATCGCCAAACGATTTCACTTTTGGATAAACATCATTGATCGATCAGTTCGGCTAGAAGAAAGCAAGTCAGTACGCGATAGCATTGATACTTTTCAAAAACTTTGACAATTTAACGAACTTTCGCAATTCAACGTTATGTGTAAATAATCCTGTCTGGATTGGTTCAAAAATGACATTCTCTATTGCGAGCCTGTATATTCTTCGGAAAGCTAAGGCTCAGAAGTTCTTGTAAGCTCCGCATTTCTTCCATTTGTGTTCACAGGGTTATCTACCTCTCTAATTGAATCTTATCTTATCTTCTTTTAGAGAATAGGAAAAGTGACCAGTGATCCACTCAAAATTGAATATATTATACTCGGCAGCGTATTGGAAAATGTCAGTTTTTCAAAAGTTTTCAATTTTTATGACGGTCTATATTAATTTCCAGCCTGCTGTATTTGCTGTATTTTTGTTGTGGGTTTCACTGTTTATCGCACTACTATTTTTAGCAGTACTGCACTTTATATGGCGAACACTATGTGCTAGAAAGGTACATCTACCGCTCAAACAACTTGATATGTTCAAATAAATTTACAGAGTAAGGAAGTAACTTGCCAGGCAGTAATCTGTGCGGGCATGTCTTTTCTCATATGTGTTTTCACATCTCTCATAAGCATGTATATTTTCCATGAAAGTCTTTCCGAATTTCGTCGCGGTGTAGCACTTTTGCCAACGCAATTGCTTACTTTAAATAGCGGTAAGTAATGCTTAAAAAGCGAAAAAAGTAAAAATTGTTCAACACATTCTCAAGAACACAAACACCTTGATTTCGCAATAGGGGTATGCGATGGCTCAAATCAAAACGAGGTCAATCTGCTTCAGCGGAACTCTTAGCTCCAGAGGGCGCTTGCCTATTATTCCGCGGGACGAAGAAGGAGTAAAGATGTTGTAGGATTAGTTGTACTAAAGCGCGAGAGACAGGAAATGTAAGAAAAGCAATCAAGAAACATATTCTCGAGCCTACTTTTTCATTTACACTTTGCGTACTTTCAGTAGTTTTCCACAATTTCCGTGTCACTTTTATGCGCAAAAGTTGCCAAGTAAGCATTGAGTGAGCAGCCGACCGTTTGGAAATTGATTGTTCAAACGCGGCTTACATAGTTTGCACTCAATGGAGCATGATTGAAATTAAAGACAGTGTCCAGGTAAATCTGGGCGCATAGGTTTTTCGCCTATAAACTGATGAGGGGGTTCTAACTAAGGCAATGCTCAAAGGGCAGCGCAAATTGTTCATTCACGGCTGAGAAATCCGGCCCCAAAAACTCCGCGCCTGCGCCGTGACCGTAACCCGAAAACGCTTCTCTCACACATTGACATTACGTTCGCGCTGGGATCCATGCTAAGTGTTACGGTCACGGCGCAGGCACGCGGGGACGGATTTCTCAGCCGTGATTGAATAATTTGCGCTGCCCCTTGGGCAGTGCTTTAGTTAGGACCCCCTCATCAATTTCCAGGCAAAAGAGCTAACCAGATTTGCCTCGACACTGCCTTTAAGAGAAGGACGCTCCTCAAGCACTCCTTGGAGTGATATCCACGAAAGTCCATAATGGAGGAAAATGGACTTTAAAGCCCCATTTTATTCGTTCGCGGTAGAAACTGGTCGAAATCCAATTTTTATCTCATCGCAACCACGAGGCAAAGCGGTGTGATGAAAATGATTCAACCCTACTTGAGCTCTCGCTTGCGAAAGAATCATGCGAAAAGTCCATTTAGAATGGGGCAAAATGGGATTTACCTCCATTTTAAATGGACTTGAAAGCCCATTTTACTTCCAGCAGCAAGATGAGCTGGGACTAAGCCCATTTTTTACCTTTTTGCATATTTTTGATGGCGATTGTTTGAGAATTTGTTCCTTAGCCTATTCTAAGGTAACCAGTGAGTGGAAAACGTTTCATGTCTATTTTGAAGTTCGAAATAAGTGTCTCTTTCTAAACTCATACAAAAGCTATAAAAACCATGGAAGAAGGTCAAAATCACCAAAATATTCGCTAACAAACTCAAACGCTCCCAAATATCAGGTCGATGCGAAAATTCCTATGTAAATCAAATAAACTTTGATAACTCTTCAAATCATCAAGCCATACTAAATTCATGATTTGTATTCAAAAATACAAAAAACTTGCGTTTCAGTATAATTACTCAGAAGCTCTGTAGAATATCCATGTGACTACATAGTAATGTTAGGTTAGCCTAGTCAGATACCGACCACTTGGTGGAAATGGGTCTGCAAGAGTGAGCAAACAGGTTGAGACAAGTTGGAGAAGGGTTTGCTGAAGTAGATAGTTTTGTATGGAATGCATGGATTCGCGAATGCGATATCTTATCGCACCGCATGGACTAAGTCCATTTTATTCGCACGAAAAGCCCATTTCGCGGGGACTTTCGTGGATATCATTCCTGGTGCTCAAGAGACAACGAAAAAGCACTCCGCAAACTTGTTGCACAGAATGGTCATATACTCCACCACTGGAGAGGTAATAATAACCTATTCGGATCTGCTCTTTCAAAATGTGGCATGCGGTCAGTGATCATAACCAGCAAATAATACGAATTGTTGTACTTTTCATTTTCGAATGATCGTAAAGAAGTACGATTTTGAAATCAACTGGTCTTCAAATTTTGAAAAAATATTCAGATTTTTGTAATTACTGATCAGAAAGAAATCATCAAATTTTTATAATTATAGATCTGCATAGATTCAATGATGTGCTTTTAAAAAATTTGCACTGCATCAACAAGAAGGAGCATACAACATTCAAAACAAAAGCTTTGAAGGAGGCTACAGTATTAATTGAACAACTAAAAAACGCAACGGATATGATTGATATAGACTCAATGAAGAAGGTGAGAAACATTATTTGGAGATTCTCGATTTTTTAAGCACTTGCAAGTGAAGTAGCTTCTGTTATGAAAGCCAAACTGCAATTTTCATAGATAAATAAACGTTATGCACCCTCGCGGTTTTCTTTTGTATACCGCAGTTAAGAAATTCTTACTATTGATTGCAAAAAATTCTTTTGGGATTTTCTAAAAATATGCAGCACAAACATAACCCTTGACTTCATCTCAAGAGTTACAATCAAATTTCTGAGCACTCCACAAAGCTGAGGCGAGAAATTATAAAATGTTGGTTGATTTAAGAAAAGTAGTGATCAAATCATTTGTTAGCCTTTGCTGATGGGGCGAAAACTTTTGCTAAAGTAGTACTAAAGTATATTCTGCAGATGAACGCATTTGCATTGCAAATCGCTCCGGACATCTTAGAACTCAGGGATTTATTGAAAAGTGTCATGCCCCAATTCGCTCAATTACATAGTAATTTGGTGATTATTAGGCTCCTCTTGGACTTTCCCTCAGAATACTCATATTTAGTCCTCGGTGGTACCATCGATGCGTGTGATCAGTCAGTGGGTCATTGACGTACTAGACACCTCGCAATTTTTTATGAAGCAGGTTTGATTGGTTTGTAACTTAAAACTTCAGGTGATTCTTATTATTTTTGGGTCTACGATAGCGCTAATCGTACCTTCATAGCAGTATATCAAGCTCATACCGCTATGGTAAAAACTGGGGAATTTCTGAGCGAGGTTCGAGGTCTATGCTTATATTATATTAGACAGTTTTCGAAAAAAATGATTGCATAAAATTGTAGGTACCAGTTTTTATGACGAACGCGACCAATCAGCTCCAAACAGAACTAGCTGACGTTTTCATATTCATGGTGAAAAGCAGAGCTCAATAATCAAGTCAATGAAATCGTTTGAGTCATTAAGGATTATGCACGTCGCGTTGGCGATATGCTGGGCTATACACACATTCTTCCGCTCGCTTTGGTCTGTTTCTCGATTTTTGGGCTCGCAATAATAGCAAGGTAATGTGATATTTTACCATCCACCTAAAGCAGCATTTTCAAGCTTATTCTTCTTCTTTCAGTTGGACATTTTTGTTCTATAACAAAAGATATCATTACAATGCTATATGTGTAAGAGGAGTAATGTTTACCGCTGCTACAAGCGTTGGATATCTTGCTATGGTGGTCGGATCATTAATTTGCATTATGGCTGCGTAAGTAATGCACTTTAGTACATTTTTTCGATCCTTGGCAACCGGCGAACTAAATGAGTTCCATGCATTACGGGGCATTTGATGACGAAAATGAAAATGCAAAAAGATTTTATAACATCAAGCGGAGACAATAATCAAAAAGACTTGCATTTTTCGACGAGAGCTTCTGCATTTTATAAGTCGAAAATTGAAAAGCATAATAGGATCGAAAGGTGTGGCACGCCACAACTGGGAATCGTACTAAGGAGTCAAAAGGAAGGACTTGGTAATCGAGTAATACGTTAATCTTGCTGACATTTTGATTAGTATCAGGTTGAAAAAAAAAAGAATTTCGCTTCTCACGAAAATCTTCCAAGACGTGTATGGGACATCATTCGATAGAGCAAAGCCTTTTTGAAATGGCGTTACCGCTTCCGCACAAGTTTAATCCATGTAGAGTTTGAAGACGGAATCTAAAAAGTTCGAATAATTAACAAAAATTCGTATCTCCGTTCAAAAAATCTACGGTCTTATGAAGATTAATGATCTTAGATCCCGTGTAAGATGTTATTTTTATTCTCTCCAACAAATGCATCCACCGCTCCTTAAATCATCTGGCAGAAGATGATAAGGCTGTACTTTGATTTCCAATCCTTCAAGCTCCTCTTCTCAACAAAAAGTCTGCGCTTAGACACTTGTAAAATATTCAGTGCCTGTTTTCTCCTTGCTTTTGTTGCCATGTCTCTGTGTGCTGGTTTGTTCATGGACAGTGATCTACGACTATTTCAAGTAAGTTGAACACTTACGAATATCACATGAAATTTGTCTTGGACTAAGTGCCGCATAGGCCCTTTCAAACATTGAGTTCATCATTCCTGTTGGTTCACAGAAAGTGCGACACACATATTAGTGAGTACAATTGAAGTTTTTTTGAACTTGACTGAGAGCAAATTTAGTGATATCTTCTATAAGTGTAAAAATGGTTACACATTTTTCGAATCTTTGAATGGCGCTCTTATTATGGCTGAGGATGAATTTAGGGAGGCGAGTTTTACAAATTTTCTTGAATAGGCTTAAAGGCAGCGGCCCGGCAGAATTTCATTCTCTAGTTCTTCACCTTTTCGGATTCTTCTCGTCATGAGGAACCCATGTCTGGGCTTTTCAGCGCATGAAAATAGCAAAAATGCGCTTTTTCCGAAGCTTTAGTCCGCATTCAGTAGATACGCCGGAAAAAGCCGCGGCCCGCCTTTTTCGTTCTAAGCCCCAGTCACTTCTGCACTAAAGGCTGACCTGGAGGGCTTTGGAAAAAGGCATTTTGCCATTTTCATGCGCTGAAAAGCCCAGATATGGGTTTCTCATGGCGAGAAGGCTCCGAAAACGTGAAGAACTGGAAAACGAAATCCTGCCGAGCCGCTGCCTTTAATGTCACATAAACATGTTTGTAAATCTTTCTTTCTTAGAAAGCAGCCTTGACTTTGATTCCGTTTTCAAGGAACTGAAGTGGTGAGAGATTCTGACCGCATACTGTACTCTATAGAACACCTTAAAGGCACCGTCCACCCAAAATGGAGGTTGGCGAGATTATGATGGCATACTAGTGTGGGCCCCCATACTAGACAAACCCCCAAGTTTCGCCGCAAAAGACTGCTTCTGAAGCGAGAAATCCGCTCCGGAAGTAACAAAAGTGGGCGAATTCCGGAGCGGATTTCTCGCTTCAGAAGCAGTCTTTTGCGGCGAAGCTTGGGGGTTTGTCTAGTATGGGGGCCCACACTAGTATGCCATCATAATCTTGCCAACCTCCATTTTGGGTGGACGGTGCCTCTAACGAATACTGACTTACAGCACACAAAGCGTCTAAACGGCAAGAAGTCGTTCATAATTGTCGAACATTCTTTCTGTTCTGTTCATCAGTGGGTTTCTCTTCGGGATCCAAAATGCTTGCAAGTTCTCCGCGATGTCAAATCTCGTAAGACAAATCATGCATTCATTACCATAATCCTGATCACCACGCTGTTTATGCTTGTGGTTCCCGTATGGTGCATTCAAGCTGCCACGTCTTCTATCGATTAGCTCAACTTTGAGTTGAGCTAGTCGATAGAAGACGACTCAAGTGACTCAAGTGGTCTCCCGGCTTTTTCAGAGGCGCAACATGTACTACATCTACTTCGAAACACTCCTAATTATGCGCGGTCTTCAACATTGCGGAATTTATTGAAGTATGACATAAAGCGATTCCTACACGGAAGCTGGGAGACCACATAGCGACAGACTTAGGCCCGTATGCTCTGCGCGGGGAGGGGATGTGCGTTTAACCATGGAAATGATCCCCGCTGGGGCTCCCCTCCCTTCCTTACGCGAACCTCCGTATGCACAACGACAATATCGGGGAAGGGATCCCCTGAGAGTAGGGGAAGGGAGCCCCCCTTCTGCAGAAGGGGAATCGAGCGGGGAAATCATTTCGCTTCAGTCCTTTTAGCGTAATTGTTCCTCTTTTCTCATCTTTTGGTTGCTACTCGGCCCCAGCATGTCATCGGCAATACTTTAGTCATTGCGGAATGCCGTCTGCCGTGATTGCGCTCGGCGCACCAAAAAATATTTCCTATGCCCAAGATATTCCTGCTGTTTTTTATTGGATGTTGCTCACTTTCGCTCATGCAGCTATTAGCGACATACCGCCGTCCATTCCCCCAGGGAAATGATCCCCAGCTGCCTTCCCTGCTATGGGAGGGGAACGCTAGGGAGGGGATTACTCTCCTGGGATTTGTACTCAAAAATAGGCAAATCGGCTACTTCCTAGATTTTTTCAAGGCAGCTTATGTTAAAATATCAAAATAAAGCCAAATTGTCAGGAAATATGAAAGTTAACAATGTGTTTGATTAGCCTATATGGCTAAAATTATCATGTTATATGAAAAATGCGCAAATTTCGTGAATTTTCAAGAACTCCTACAAATATTCGAATTTGACAGCAATTATATGCTCGGATTTCTTTTCAAGAAGCGAATATAGAAGGGGGAGATAAGATTGCAAGCCGCAGGTCGCCGAGAAAGGAAACCAGCTTTCGAAGAAAATGCTTTCATCAAGTTGAGCGAAATATTTTGTAACAACTGGTTGCAACCAGAATATTTGCTTCTCTGGGCATGATCTACACCATCAAACTTCTACTCCATTGCAGGGATGTCGATCCCCTCCCCCGCGTCGTCGAGCTACATTCTCGCATACGGGGAGGGGAAGAGAAGGGATCCCCACCACCGGGATTTGTCCGATCGATACCTTTGAAATTAAGTACAGAATGTGAGGCAGCAAAGAGTACCGCACTGGTAAACGTTGGAAGAAACCACAAAAAGCTGCACACTTACGAATTGTTTTATAGGAGTGCAGTCAAACATAAATGCGAGGGAATATAACATGAATTGCTTGACACGCATCACTTCAAAACACTCTCACTACTTACACCACTTAACCTTAGAACCAGTAATGTGGAAATGAAAAAGAGCGAAACAGACAGATATAATGGGAGGGGTGAATGGAGAATGTGAGAAAGGGACAAAGGCACGCAAAATAAGTATTCTTGTATATTTTGTTCCAAAGCCATTCTGGTGCACAAGAACTGACCAAAGTAACTTTTTTGACGAGGTATTAGTAGCCGTGAGGTAGAAGCGACTACCGCAATCACGCCATCCCCGCTATAGGTGCATGGGAGGAGGTCGCTCCCCTCCCCTCTGTCATAGCGGGGTTCACTGAAGGGTATCGTTTTCCTAAGGATCCAGTTCCGCTCCCCTCCCCAGCGGGGTTGTACGTGCATACAGACCTTAGAAAACATTTAGCCAATAGACACGTGATTAAATTCATCACTCGGCGAACGTAAGCAAAACAGCATGGTGATGAAAATGGTGGAACTGATTGCATGACTTTGGACTAAGATTAACACATCTGTGGGGAAAACTCTCAATGCGTGATGCAGTGAAAGCCATCGATGAACAGAAAAGTGTTTGGCTATCGCGAGTGACATCTTGCTCGCTAAGTGAGCCGTAATAGTAGTGTTACGCACCTATGAGTTCTTTAGCTTATTGGTGGTTGGTGTATGTGAGAAGCGATTTTTATTGTTGAGCAAATCAAGGTTTCAAAGAGATATATCAGAGAGGAGCGTTTTTGTTCAATGTTATAATCTTGAAATATATTTGTAACGAAATAGGAAGGTCAAAAACAATAGAATTGTTTGAAGATACAAAAATATTTCGGTATTTTTCAGCAGAAGTTGTCAAACCCAACAAGCGGTAGCTTTGCACAGCTCGTAAGCCAGAGCGCTGTGTTTTTAGAGACATACAGTGACCGTCAAAAAGTTGCGGACAAGCCGCCTTCCTTTTTTCATCGCTCATTTTCGGATGGAAAACAAAGATGATAAAATGATTGGATTGCGTGATTTGATAGAGCTCTTCAAGAGCTACAACCCACACATTGCGCTTTCTGGAAAATGTTTACTATAAAATTTTAAAAATCTTTTCCTAAAAAAAGTCCGGAAATGGCCGCGTCACAATGTCGCGGACATTATTTCTTTGAACGCGAAAATTTTCTTTTAGATCTTTTCTTGGAGCAAAAACAGAAGTTTTCGGACAGATAAGCATACTATGTTGTAGAGCTCACCGAGGACAACAATCGGGTAGTAGTTACTTCCAAAAAAATCCAAGCTTGAACTCTATTTTGCTTTTTTTTCAAAAATAACTTCTAATTCCCCTTCTTAAGCCAAATTTCTTCGCATGGGAATCTTTTCAAGATATCCCAGCAAAGCTAATTTAAAAAAAGGATGCCTTTTGACATCTTCTATGCATCCGACGTGTGCTATCGAGTTTCTTTGCTGAAAATGGCTCTTGACAGTGAGTGCACATGACCCCACCTGCATCTCACCACTGACTTGCACCGCTTTGCGGACCTGTAGCTTGGCCGCCAGTCACTCTACGAGCCTGCAAGTAGGCTCATTCGAAAGAGCGTGAGTTCCTCGGCATGACTGTATGCAAATGAATTGAGTTTGAGAAGAACCGAAAATTTGGCGGATGGGGTGATAAAGCGCAGCTTCAGTTGTAGGTTGAGGATTTTTAACACGTTTCGGACCGGTGCTGCACATGGTGCAGCACGCTGCTTTGGAAGATCTTTTTGACGTTTACAGGAAGTTTCTTTTAGTCCAAGGTTATCAAATCAAAGACCTGAGCTTCTACTTTTCGAATGATTCTTTAGAGTTGCGCCGCCGATACTTGTTTAGGAGATATGAGCGCAAATCAAACAACAGTTGCAACGAAGTGCGGCAACGCGAACGACGTGTGCGACGTCGCAACTTCTCTTTGCTTCGATATCAAAGAGAAAAACCGTACTTTTAATACTGATGTGTACGTCTACAACATAGATACTTTTGGATACTATTAGTAACTGAGTCCTTGTTCCTATCATTCAGGAAAGCACAGAAATCCTTCTCAAGCGACAAAATTTAAACACTTTAAATTCACTCAGAACTTCGGGTATGGAACTTATTTGACAAGCTGGTTGCAGATGTAGCACACAGTCTACGAAATAAGGTCCCTTTGTTGGCTAATGGCTGAAAGTGCACTCTTTTTCGCCGCGCGCGATTTCGCGGTCCTAAACGTGTTAAGCTAAAGTTGAGCAAAGCTCCTTTCGCCATCAGTGCCATCCTGGAAGTTTAATACCGTTAATTTTCTTGCAATAGACCCATTTTGGAGCTCTAAGGCCAGTATGCACGTACATCCCCGCGGGGAGGGGATGTGAGTTTAACCATTGCAATGATCCCCGCTGGGGCTCCCCTCCCTTCCCCACGCGAATCCCCGTATGCAGAAAGGCAATACCGGAGAGGGGATCCCCTGGTACTTAGGGGAGGGGAGCCCCCTTATGCAGAAGGGGAGATCGAGCGGGGAATTCATTTTGCTTCCGCTTTTTTGCAGTAATTATTCCTTTTTTCTTATCTTTTGATAGCTACTCGCCTTTAACGTGTCTAGGCGATATTTAATCGTTGCGGAATGCCGTCTGCCGTGATTGCGATCGGCACACTAAAGAAATATTTCCTACATCCATTATATTCCAGCTGTTTTCATGGATGCTGCTCATTTTCGCCATGCTGCCCATTTCAGCTTGAAGGTGTTCAGTGATAGAAGTCAAGGTGTATGTATATGCAGTGAATGGGTAGAAGACGTTATGCTGCCGAAAAAAAGGGGGGGGTGCCGCGGACATTCAAACCAGCATTTCTACACATAACTGAAGCTGCAAATCGTGCCAGCTCTCCATAAACGCTGTAGCTATCAGCTGCATATCGTCCTTTACCCCAGGGGAATGATCCCCATCGGCCTTCCCTGCTATGCACGAGGGGAGCGATGGGGAGGGGATCATTCCCCCGAGGATCTTAACTCAGAAACATGCGAGTCTGCTAATTTTCATTTTATTCAAAGCAGTTTTACGTTAGGATAACAAGATACAATTCATCATATAATGTGATAGTTACAATATGTTGTACCAGCCTTAATGGATAAAACTATCATGTCAACTAAAAAATGCGCAACTCTCGTGAATGGTCACAACGTTCTACAGATATTCGAAACTGGCAGATATATGTCCGGATTTCTTTACAAAAAGCGAATATGGAAGAGAGAGTTAAAACTGCAAGCTACAGGTCGCTGAGAGAGGAACCCGGCTCCCGTAGAAAATCTTTCATCAATTTGAACGAAATGCTTTGTAATGATTGATTGGAATCAGAATACTCGCTTCTCTGGCTTGACCTACACCATCGAACCCCTCCTCCGTTGTAGGGGATGTCGATCCCCTCCCCCGCGTTACTGAGTTAAATTCGCGCATACGGGGTTCGAGTAGAGGAGGGGAAGGGATCCCCTCCTCCAATCCCCTCCTCCATTCGAACCCCGTATGCACTAAGGTTCGCTCGATCAATACCTCTGAAACCATTCACACCATCCCCGCTTAGGTGCAGGGGAGGGGATCGCTCCCTTCCCTCTGTCATGGCGGGGTTCGGCGGAGGGGATCGTTCCCCTGGGGATCCAGCTCCCCTCCCCTCCCCAGCGGGGACGTACGTGCATACGGGCCTAAGACTGTTCTGATGTTGATAAGAGCCTTCACTCCATTCGTTCGCCTTATGGCTGCGCATTTACCCCATCCGCCAAATTTCCGGTTCTTCCCAAACTCAATTCATTTGCATACCCTCATGTCGAGGAGCTCACGCTCTTTCGAATGAGCCTACTTGCAGGCTCGTAGAGTAACTGGCGGCCAGACTACAAGCCTGCAAAGCGGTGCAAGTCAGTGGTGAGACGCAGGTGGGGTCATGTGCACTCACTTTCAAGAGCCATTTTGAACAAAGAAACTCGATAGCACACGTCGGATGCATAGAAGATGTCAAAAGGCATCCTTTTTTTAAATTAGCTTTGTTGGGATATCTTGAAAAAATTCCCATGCGAAGAAATTTGGCTTAAGAAGGGGAATTAGAAGTTATTTTTGAAAAGAAGCAAAATAAAACTCAAGCTTGGTTTTTTTTGGAAGTAACTACTACCCGATTGTTGTCCTCGGTGAGCTCTACAACATAGTATGCTTATCTGTCCGAAAACTTCTGTTTTTGCTCCAAGAAAAGACCTAAAAGAAAATTTTCGCGTTCAAAGAAATAATGTCCGCGACATTGTGACGCGGCCATTTCCGGACTTTTTTTAGGAAAAGATTTTTATAATTTTTATAATAAATATTTCCCAGAAAGCGCAATGTGTGGGTTGTAGCTCTTGAAGAGCTCTATCACCTCATGCAATCCAATCATTTTTTCATCTTTGTTTTCCATTCGAAAATGAGCGATGAAGAAAGGAAGGCGGCTTGTCCGCAACTTTTTGGCGGTCACTGTACATAATACCGTACTGAGGTATATGTTGCTGAACCGGGAGAAATCGCGCCTCTTGACCGCCTCCCGCTCATTGGCGCTTCAAAGTCAAAGGACTGGCGTATAATAACATTAGTGTATTGGCGGTTAAAAATAAGATTGGTTTACTTTCACTTTGCGTATTGCTACTGAAATCAGATAGATTCAGCACTAAGTTGATAATGCATGGCAAAATAGTGCCTAATGTTAGACTTTTACCACTCCAGCCTCCAAAAAAGTCGAAGCGTAAGGCTGCTAAAGAAACTTCACTAGACCTCGTATGACTTGAAGAAACGATTCTGATTACATTTAATACAAAATTATTACAGAGGTATTCTATCTTAGATCAGTACGACATAGCGAGACATATACAAAACTATCATGTGGACCTGAAAAAACTTGAAAAAGTCGATAAACTTTCAGTGCTTCTCGAAGTATGCATACGTTTTTTCTGTCGCATGATCACAGTCAAATTCAGAACTTGATCAGACAAGCAAACGAGTCAGTAACCATTGCTCTCACACAACGAAGGGCACGAAGAAAGTGTAAGAACTCGTGAGATCCATCTTCAATTGGCAATGAACATAATTTTGCAGTGTCGCAAATTAATGAGACCCTCTACAAAACTAGTAGCCACCTACTCAACTTCAGACGAATGCAGAAGCAAGTATTGCAAAAGGTTCGTACGTGGAGAAGGTCCGCCGTGTCAGCATGTGGTTATAAGTGAAGAAACGTTCATACACAACGCTTAGCGGTCAAGGTTGCTGAAATCAAACACTCTAAAAATTTCAGCTTTCAATATCATGTTGTTACAGTCTCAGAATAACTAGAGGCAGCTGATGCCTGATCTTTCGTAAAAGAGCATAACATCAAAGTTATGCAATTCAAATTATACGAAGCTGATTCACTTTTTCGAAATATATCAAAAATGCACTGAGTGCGTACAAGCATAACAAGCTACTTGGCAAAGTTATTGAGTTTCAAAGAAAGTTCTGCCAAGTCTTCTCGTGACCAAAAATGCGATGCAAGGAGCTGGTTTGGGATGTGTTCTTATTTTGCGATGGCTGCAGCTGCTAAACCCGCGATTCAGCCTGGGTTAATAGTGATAAACTGGGAAAAAATAACCAAGGCCTGCGAAAAAGTACATTTTTCAGACTACAGACGCGCAGAAGTTGCAGAAGCATAATTGAAGATAAGTTCTAGACCCTTTGTGTTAGTTAGATGAAGCGATATTCGACTATCAGCTATGCCGGCATTTGGGCCTTTTTTCAAGCAAGAAAGCTAATTAATTACAGGGCTAAAAATCTAATTCTTTAATTGCTTCAAACGCAGCCAGCGCGCTTCTTGAAAAAGAGCATCCATGGTATACCAAGCGGTAGTCTGAGGTTGTCAGTACTGACTAAAATATCGTTGATTGACAGTCACTCATGATGAAGATATACTTACTCACAAGGGAGTGATCAGAGGTCGAAGTGGCCAATCCAAACAAGCTACATACCATTCGATGCAGCATAGAACGCTGATTTTAGATCTGTCTTCCATATGTGCGAGCGCCCTTGTAGGCGACGTTATGAGCAGCTTTACTCGAAAAAGTCGTACACAAGAATTACAAAATTAGGCACATATTGCTCTTTTAGCTCACCTCTAGATACGGGCCATATGAAGTGACCTACTGGCTTGTTTTGGTTCAACGCTGAGCCGAGAATATTTTGTACGGTTAAGTTTGCCCTTTACATGCACAATTTCTTAGCAAAATAATGGCCTCTAACGGCTTATAACATCATCACAAAAGTGCTCTGTACAGACAGACTTAGATTAAGCGTTTTATGCTGCATCTGATGGTATGCAGTTTGTCGAATTGGCCACTTCGATTTCTGACCATTCCCTTATTGAATACTGAAATGGCCCGTATTTATGACGTGCGAGCCTCATCACAATAGTTTCCATTTCTCCCTGCCCATGCTTCAGACATCCACAATCTTCTTGGTTGACGTCGGTAGCTGCATCCACAAGTTCCAGGTGCGAAAATTGTATGCAGCTGATTTCCCAGCTGGTCCATGTATAGTGTGGACCCCAGGTTCTCATATGTACCTCCGCAGAGCATACGCAACGGTTCTTTTTGGTTGACGTCGGTGGCTGCGTCCACGACCCACAAGTTCTAGGTGCTATAATCGTATCCAGCTGATTTCTCAGTTTCCATTTCTGCATCTTCGCATACGGAATCCTTCACAAACTGGGTCTTCTTTCGATTTATTCGCAGTCCTATCTTCTTTTCTACTTCGTTTAGTTCCTTTAGCATTGTCTTAGTTCCTTCAGCATTGTCTCTGCTTCAGTAGCACTGCTCGAGAAGAGAACGATGTCGTCCGCAAAACGAGGGTTCGACAGGAATCTCCCATCAACTCGTATGCCTCTCTCGTCCCAGTCCACTGACTTCATCACCCACTGCAAGGCCGCGGTGAACAGCTTCACCGCGGCCCTGCAGTGGTTGCTTTGCAGTAGTGCGAGTTGTGTCGCCTTGTCGGACCCCCTCGCGATTGGGATGGTTAGGGGGCGATGGAACAGCTGCAACGTCGTTGTACAGACCTTGTAGCAGTCGGCTAACGTCCTCAGGTAAGCTGGATCCACTCCTTGATCGAATGGCGCAAGCAGTATGACGTTGGCTTCGACGCCGTTAAAGGCCTTCTCGCAGTCGACGAAGCTCAGGACGAAAGGCAGTCGATACTCCCGGCAGAATTCTATGACCTTCCAAACCGTCTAAATGTGGTCCAAGCAGCGGAGCTTTTTGCGAAATCAACTTTCTCTTGGGGTTGGGCTTCATCCGATGCGGTATGCGAGCGAGGATACTCCTCTTGAAAGCTCTTGTACAACACACTTAGCAGGCATATTGGACGGTAGTTCTAGAAATCCTCCCGTTCGCCCTTCTCGAACAGAAGGACGGTTTTTGAAGTTCTTGAAGAATGGGAATCTTTTCCTTATAAAGGTAAGCTGTTAAATGCGACGTGAGAATCTCGTGTAGACGTTGTTCTCCAGCTCACAAAGGTGCGACGAAAAGATGGCCTGGTCCTGGAGCCGTGGACGTCTTCATGGTCTAAATCGCCGTGCGCACTTCAGCAGGTAGAACTCGTGGTGGTACTTCTCTAGTGGGAACGACGGGCATCGGCACGGGTGTTGATGAGCGGAAGAGGTTGGTATAGTAGAAGTTCTTCGCGATAGATTCCATCTTGCATAGGGAAGAAGTCGGAGTCCCGTCTTCGTTCAATAGTGCAACGAGCGGTACTTGATATTCACAGAGGTCTCTTCGGCATTTCTTGAGACTTTGTCTTCCTTCAGTTGCTTTTAGAATCTTGGCTTACCTGTACATCCTGAGATCCTCTGCAAAGCTTTCAGCAACTGGCGTTGGCTATCAATCGCTCGAGATGGCCTGCATTCGGACCTCAACGATATTTTTCTTTCGAGTAATTCCTTGTTAGTTTTCGAAATGCGTTTCTAAGTTCTTCTCGGAAGTCATTGAGGCGCATTTTTTGCAGGATCGCAATCCTTTCAGAAGCCGGTCATAATCGTACGTTGGTTCCTTCTCGATGGGCCAGTCACAGCTTGATATGAGCTCTTCCAGTCTATTATCGTCAAACTCCTGTCATGAAAACTTTTTGGACAAATTGCATTTCCGAGAGTATGTTACTCCGAAAGTTGAGCAAGACTGGGAACTTCGTTCATGATCCTTCCATAAATCATATTCGTAAGGCACTTGGGATCCGTCGATGTTTTCAAGATTGTGGGTAATGCACGCTGATTCTTCGTCTAACAACCAAGTTCCTTCTCTTCATAAATAGCTTGCACCACGAAGCAAAGCCTTGAAGTTGTGCCGATCAGATTCATTGCTGGCTGTAACGCTTTCGCTTTAATATTCCTCAATAACTCTGCTTGCCTCTCGCCCCTGTACAATTCACGAGCAGAAAATTCATCCAATCAACTGAAGAGCTTAAACCACAACATGTGAGGGCTATACTGGAGGTATGGAATGGGAAATAGCAAACTCAAAGGCAGCGTTCAAGCACTAAACATAGAATCTTACGTGGAAAGTATTTTTGGGACCCACTAGACTATCCAATCGACAGCCACATGATTCACTTACGGCTGAGATATTTGCCTCCAAACTGGACCCCAGCATCCTATTGCATGCTTTCGTGCAAGGACCCGCGCGAAACTGATGCATGTAGTTAAAAACTATGCGAAAATGCTGTAAATCATCCGTTTATACGATATTGGGCCGCAGGTGAGTATCTCAGTCGCAAGTGCACCATCTGGGTTTCGCTCTGGCAGTGTCTTAGATAGTGTAAAAATTCTTCCCACATGAGATCTCCATATGTCCAACCTGCCTGTACGCTGGTTCAAGAAAGAGAACTCACCTTTCAGCGCGATAACTATCCCGCAAAGCTCTCTTCAGCTTTCTGCACTGCCTCTTAGCTCCTTACCCGGTCTCTTTTGTATGCCTTATCTCAGCTTCAATTGATACATCGGTCAGCTGCGCGGGCGGTCGCACGCGTCTATGATGTACGCCTAGGCGCTTGTTCATGCTCAAAACAGACGAACTTCTCTATAGGGATCAGCACCTTTCTCGTTTTTTGGCAGAAGCGCAGTCTTATCTGCACCAAAAATCTTTTGATGGGCTTTTTGCAAGGCGACCCTATCTGTGAGATTCTAGGATAGTTTCGCGAACCATAGATATTCCATGTTTCGGCCCACGATCTTAAACGGACAAAATTACTATTTTTATTTTTGACTTTCTAGAAAAACCAACAAATTTTTGCTGAAAACCAAAAAATGGTGGAAAGAGCGCTTCGCACAATTTAATGGATGTGCAAAAAATCGTTCGACTTCTTTAGGCACTCAAGGGATTTTTGGAGGAAGCCGCAGAAACCAAATCTAAAGGCAAAGATCACTTGCGTAGAAAGCGTATGCGCTGTCACGTACATCATTCATTGAAAGAAAATACGATAAAATGAAAGTGCTCCATTACTTATCGAACACCCAGATTCACAGCACGCTTTGGTATAACAGGCCGACTGATGATTTGCAGATGAATCTTATGCTGTTGCCTACAAGCAGACATAAGCTTACTATGTCTCTAAGGCGTCATCAAAAACATCTACACAACCATGCTGTGATGGCGATCTCAAATTTGTTTGTAAGTCAACCTTTGCGTCCCACAAGGGGCAAAAAGCAACACCGAATAAAGGGCAATCACTTTTGGTTACAGACAGTTCTAGTGGACTTTACTCCCCGATGTGGAAGTCTGATGAGAATTTGGGATGGATTGGGAACATTTGTTTGCAACGGGATTGCTGCACCAGCGCAAGGGTTATGGGTAGCCACAAGTAAGTACTTTGCCAGGTGATGTGTATTATACATATTATCAAAGTGTTTTGTGCTCTCGGATCTGCAGCAATCTATCACGCCTTCTTCAACACTGCAAGATTTTGGAAGGATGCAATGCATGATGAATACGCAAAACGACGCTTAGAGAAGGTGGGCAGCGATAGATGCTCACTTGGAAATAGGCGTAGAGTCTATTTCAATTTGGTGTGGGCGAGAACTTTGCGCTGTCGCGGCGGCAAATCGTATCATGTTAGAAACTGCTCTATCTCTTCATTTGCCTCGATTAAAAGCCGAAACAATCACAACGCAGTACGTTCCTCGACGATTCCTTAGTTATAGCGAAACAGTACTGCCTTTCCATGTTGTAAGCTTTGGCCAGCTCAGTTAGATATCGTTTGAACATTTCTGTCAGAACTCACCCGAGCTCTTCTCTCTTCTCTCATTCTCACAAGCTGTACATCATTGCACTCGCCTTGAAAGGTTGTTCTTCGACATATGTTCATTATCCACCGGATCACTATCTATAGAAGTTAAGCAGGCCTGGGCATGAGGTCAGGCACAGCTCGTTCAGAAATGATCTTTCTTTACATAGTTACGCAAAAGACCCTATTTCCTCTGCCCAAAGAGAGTGTCAGTAAATGTCCGCCCACGCCTTCCCCCTACCTAGGCAAGCCAATTAAACCTCCAGCGAATATTTCTCGGTGCTAAACATGACACAGAAAGTGTTTCACGAATCAAAAGTACAGTGGACGTCATACGTTTAGTCACCTTGATGCGATGTGCGTTGGTGCACACAAATTTGAAATCCCGGATGAGGCGCTGGGGTCGCCGTGCCGTATTTACATCAACTATGCAGTGGCTAAAATTTGACGCCAAACTGCTTGTTTTGCATAATTTTATGTTTTTTTTCCTTCTTAGCTTCATACACGGTCTAAGTTTTGAAGATTTGTCACCTTCACACGACGTCATGCCGTTTCAACACAAATATCTCAAAATTTATCGTTTTCATTTTCAGATAAGGGAAGAGATAAGCAATCTTGCAAGATTTTGAAGTAAGCCTGCTATATTCGCTACTGTCGTAAGAAAGAGTAGAATATTTCTTAGGCAGCACGGGTTTCTCCTCGAAGCAGTCCACTATCAACTTAGAAGAAGCCTTTGAAAAGGAACTCGGCATAAAACCATTTCCGATATTAGTGAGAAGAAAGCTGAAACTCGTACTGCTCAAAAGGTATTTTACTCTTTCTACAGACGAGAATAAAGAAAACAAAATTTAAAATCCTGCACGATCGCCAATCTGTCTTCTTTACCTGAAAGTAAAGTAATAGTAATGATTCAAGATAATCGTTTTGAAATGGCATGCACGACGTATAAAGGTATTCTGGGACCCACAAAGCTTCATTCACATAGGTCTTCATAAATTTCTGGGCCATTGCTGGAGTTCCCTCACGCGCATGTGCACACCAATCTGGTGTCATATCATTGCGATTCGATTCAAATAAGAGTTTTGTTTGTTTGGGGCACAATTTTGAGTTTGCGATCAGAACTCGGCATCAGCTGGAATCAAGGCGACCCATACACAAGCCATTCGCTCCTCTGTTTTCATTCCCAAGCCTAGTATGGTGACAAGATAACACCAAGGAGTAAATTTCTTTCCCATCATTTTCATTTCAAAACGGCTGTGGTCTACCATTCAGATATGGACGCGAATGACAGCAAGAGAATCAGAATATAAATTATTTCCCCCCCCCCCTCTCCCGAACTAATAAAAAAATTTCGACTGAATCTACTCACAAATAAGTCAGCTTTCTTTCTTCAGGATGGAACGAAAAGGTTGCACGCTCACACTGCCTTTTCAGCTTTAGAAATTATCAGAATACTAATTCAACCTTTCCATTTTGTCGCCAAAACCTCCATAGCATCAATATTGTTAAATTGCTAATAGAGACTGTTTTTGTCAACCTTTTGACGATCTTTTGCTTCAAAGATCAAAGGTTTCTTCAAACTGCGCCACTGTAGCTGCACCGTCATTGCGCCACTGCAGTCATCAGGACGTGCACCAAATCTCACTAACGATCTGGGATGAAGTACGTTGTTGGATGCGTATCATGCGGCTGATTCCAGATCTACCCTTTGCATCTACTGAACGATTCTTCAGAAAATTATGAGAGTTTGAGAATGTGAAACTATTGTGTCTTAGGCCTGTATGCACGTACATCCCCGCGGGGAGGGGATGTGAGTTTAACCATTGCAATGATCCCCGCTGGGGCTCCCCTCCCCCACGCGAATCCCCGTATGCAGAAAGGCAATACTGGAGAGTTGATCCCCTGGTGTTTGGGGGGGGGGGGGAGCCCCTTATGCACAAGGGGAGATCGAGCGGGGAATTCATTTTGCTTCGGTTTTTTGCAACTTTTTTCTTATCTTTTGATAGCTACTCGCCTTCAATGTGTCTCGGCGATATTTAGTCGTTGCGGAATGCCGTCTGCCGTGATTGCGATCGTCACACTAAAGAAATAGTTCCTACATCCATTATATTCCAGCTGTTTTCATGGATGCTGCTCATTTTCGCCCATGCTGCCCATTTCAGCTTAATGGTGTTCAATGATAGAAGTCAAGGTGTATGTATATGCAGTGAGTGGGTAGAAGACGTTATGCTGCCGAAAAAACCAAACCAGCATTTCTACACATAATTGAAGCTGCAAATCGTGCCAGCTCTCCATAAACGCTGTAGTTATCAGCTGCATATCGTCCTTTACCCCAGGGGAATGATCCCCAGCGGCCATCCCTGCTATGCATGAGGGGAGCGATGGGGAGGGGATCATTCCTCCGAGGATCTTTACTCAGAAACGCGCGAGTCTGCTAATTTTCATTCATTCAAAGCAGTTTTACGTTAGGATAACAAGATAAGAACAATTTATCATATAATGTGATAGTTACAATATGTTGTACCAGCCTTAATAAATAAAACTATCATGTCAAATAAAGAATGCGCAACTCTCGTGAATGGTCACAACCTTCTACAGATATTCGAAACTGGCAGATATATGTGTGGATTTCTTTACAAGAAGCGAATATGGAAGAGAGAGTTGAAACTGCAAGCTACAGGTCGCTGAGAGAGGAACCCGGCTCCCGTAGAAAATCTTTCATCAATTTGAACGAGATGCTTTGTAATAATTGATTGAAATCAGAATACTCGCTTCTCTGGCTTGACCTACATCATCGAACCACTACTCCGTTGTAGGGGATGTCGATCCCCTCCCCAGCGTTATTGAGTTAAATTCGCGCATACGGGGTTCGAATGGGGGAGGGGAAGGGATCCCCTCCCCCATTCGAACCCCGTATGCACTGGGGTTCGCCCGATCAATACCTCTGAAACCATTCACACCATCTCCGCTTAGGTGCAGGGGAGGGAATCGCTCTCCTCCCCTCTGTCATGGCGGGGTTCGGCGGAGGAGATCGTTCTTCTGGGAATCCAGCTCCCCTCCCCTCCCCAGCGGGGACGTACGTGCATACGGGCCTTAGTGCAACATGTGCATTGACGTCCAACTACTCAGACAATCAAATGCTCTCAGCCGGCAGCCACAAAGCCACCGCCTAGACCCACCAAAAGCGCGGTGGCCTCATCGCCTCACTGTCGCTTCCCGTTGAGAGCTTTGTCGGAGTTTTGTCGGGGCTCGTCGGAGCGGGCTCAGCGGGCAGCGAGCCCGCTCCGACAAGCTCCGACAAAGCTCCGACAAAGCTCTCAGCGGGAAGCGACAGTGGCTGCGATAAGGCAACGACGCTTTTGGTGGGGCCCGCTGAGAGCCTGTGATTGTCTGAGTAGGGACAGGTACTTGACACGGTGTTAAAGGCAGCGTCCAGGCAGATCTGGAACTATGGGGACTTTACGTGGAAAGTACATTTGGGGCCCTAACTAAGCCACTGCCCGACCGGCAGCTCAGGTAGTGCTCTAGCGGCTGAGATACTCCCCTCGAAACTGGACCCCGCGATCGTATTCGCATGGATTCATGGCACTTTCGCGCCAGGATCCACGCTTTGCGCCATGAATCCATGCGAAATACGATCGCGGGGTCCAGTTTCGAGGGGAATATCTCAGCCGTTAGAGCACTACCTGAGCTGCCGGTTGGGCAGTGGCTTAGTTAGGGTCCCAAAATTACTATCCACGTGAGATCCCATATGTCCAGACTTGCCTGGACGCTGCCTTTAAGTGTGCTGACTACGAGAAAAAGACACATTTACAGCCGAGTAGATCTTCTGCTTAATATAATGTGCTTGCGCTGCAGGTAAAATGCGGTAAAATCTGCACTTGCTAATTACGCCGGCAATAGTTATGCCGGCATTTAGCGCGCAGGCCGGCATCACAGGTGCAGCAGTTTATTCACCGGGGTTCGCCACGAGTTGACTTCGAAAAATCGCGAAAAACCAAGTCTCCTTTGACTTTACATAAAAAAAAAACAATATCCCATGAGATATTAGAAGATAAAACATGAAAAAAAGGGAAGAAAGCAAACAAAAAGACACCAAGGAAGCATCAAGCAAACGCGATGATATTCTTCTCCGAATTAACGGCATAATGTATCCAGCGAGTAGCGCTACACGCCTGGAGCAGCGTTGCCGCCCGCCATTGAAAATTTTCAAGGGGCTGTAACTGCGCGGGAAGTAGGGAGTTCGCGGCGATTTAAGAAATAATTTGTAGGGTTTGAGATGTAGATGAGATCTATCTAAAGAAGGTAAAAAAAATGCGTGAAGAGAAGAAACTTTATGACTATTTCTTTATCTAGCCATCTCAGGTAGCTTCCAGATGGCTTGAAAGCCACCTAACTCCAATAAAAGTTGAGCGCAAGTTCAGTTCAGTTCACATAATTTTTTCATAATTTCTTATTCATAGTCCTAACCATAGGTGCGATAGGGGAAGCAGGGTCCACTCCAGGTAAAAGGGGTTTTGGCTATCTGACCCAAAAAAGTAAAGGGTGTAATTGGGCCTAGATGAATGCTGACGCAAGCTTACATGTCTAACGGGATTGGGAGTAGAAGGAAAATAAGTGCTACAGAGATGTATTATAATAATTTTCTCAATGCTTAGGCCTTGGAAGGTCATCCAACAGGAAATTTTTGACTTAGGAAAGCTTATGTTTTGTCAGTCGACATACCATTCGAAGCTTGGAACATACAGAATCGACGTAGACCGTCTCATTTTTTCCAGCTCTCCTGTGAATTCAGATATAAAAAATCATATCTAACTCCAGCATTAGCTGATTTTATGCAATCACTTTGAGCTCCATTTCTGAAAGAAAGAGGAAAGCTAGAAGAAGAGGTGTTTACTGGCGAAGTCCTGCTTTGTAAAAGAATTAAACAACTGGGCATTTTCAGCCACTCTTTGCATAAAAATTTCTTCACAAAAACACATGTTTTTAGCTAAAATGCCATGTATCTCTGAGTGGAGGGAAGCTAGAGAAAAAGAGACAGTCTATGTCGAATCCGTTTCGTGAGCTTTCTAAGGTATATAAGTTGTTGAGTGAAAAAAAACTCGTGGCATTCCAAAAATGAGGTGGAGATATTTAGTATTAACTTGCTTCACCCGCTCTCGCTTTCTATGGTTAGCAAAAACAAGACTTTTTTGGACTGAAAAAGCTTTGTGCACCAACACTTTGTATACTATTCGATGGCTAAGAACAGGAGGCGACGTAGACCGTCCCTTTTTTCCTAGCTTTTCTGTGAAGCGAGATAGGAGCAGTTTTATCTAGCTACAATATCAGCCAAATCTGAGAGATCTCAGAGCAAGAAAATCTTTTTCGAACTTTTACATATAATTCGAAAGCTTGAGAAACGAGTAATTTGAATGCTCTTTTATTTATTATTATTATCTCTAGTGAAAGGAGATATGGTACGACTTTGGTGAGTAACATGCATCCATCACTAGCTAGTTCAGATTTTATACTCTTGCTCAACTCTTTCTTGCGACAGTGTGTATTCATTGATACAATTTGATTACGTTTCGTTATCAACGCCACTTTGAGTGCACAGAAGGTCTCAAGCATTTTTCAACAAAACGCTGTTGCTTCGATACCCTCTTGCAGTCTTGATGCCTGAGGAGAAGAGCAGCTGGCGTTTCTTTTCCAAATAAAAAGTGCGTTGTAGCAGCTGTTTGATTCTGCCATTATGCCTTGATACCTTGCCTTGCTTTGGCTACCGTTATTTTATTATTCGTCACCTGCGGCACGGCAAGACCAGAGCGCTTCTCTTCCATAACATTAGAATAGCGGAACCTCCAACTTAGCCTGGACACTACCTTTCAGCCTCGATTAGCATGTAGCTGAGTGATGTAGCTATATAGTCAATGCTAGTCAATGCAGTAGCGCCTTTTACAACTAAAAAAATTTCAAATCTTTAGGTAAAGTATGTACAGAAAGCTCTGAAACTAGAAAGGCTGAGCCATTCAAGTTCAAGTAGTGAAACCACCAAACGCGCAGATTCCTACAGTAAACCAACGAGTAGACCGAGCACAAGCGTCACCACGAAGAGCGCGTCAAGATCCCCAAAAGGTCATTATGATGCCGCTACAGTGGAAGCTAAGCAGTCGCTGATTCCAAAATCTAAGGATAAATCGCGAGAAAAGGAAGATATCGAAGAAGGAAAAGAAGACAACGAAGAAGGAAAGAAAGCTACCGCGAACCCACTCTCAACAAATTCGAAAGAGCGAACAATCAATGCGAGTGCTCCTGCGAAAAGCTCAGAAGAGCCAACACAATCAAAAGAAATGCCAACAAATGCTGCAGTCCGGGTCTCTGCCGAAAATGCCGCAAAAAGTCAATCGAGTAATTCCCAAACAGATTTGAGAAAGTCTAAGGAAGAAGTAAGAAGCCGTGAATCAATAGAACAACCTGAGAAAAAGAAAACTTTGAACAGTAGTAAGAAATCGCTTCAAACAGGAATACCCGCATTTGAGAAGGTTGCCGTTCGAACTTCAAAAGAACAAGTGTCAAGCAAAAATTCAAAGGAGAGAGTAGGAAGCGAAAGCAAGTCCAAGGAATTTCTAGATCAAGGAAAAGCAGGCAATGGTAGTCATATCGTTTTTTCCCAACTTCACCAAACCTGAACGAGCAATTCAGGAATCTAATAAGAGAAAATTTCTACAATAACAGTGAAAATAGAAATCAACTTCAAGCTTGTTGCAAGATTATAGTCAAGAATGTTATTAATTGTTTAAGTTGCCTTCACTAGTAAATCTCAATAGTTGGGTGATGCAAGTTCTGTGATATAAGACAATCGATGGGATAGACGGGATCAGACTAAATTTGCGGAAATGAAGGATGTTGCATTTAGGAAAATGTAACTGCTGCTTAGCTCCTTTTTTGCATATGATTATTGTACAGGCAAACATACATTGACACTAAAATGTAGTTATTGTTCAACCTTGTAATTTATCTCGCATCGATAGCTGATAATCGCTTGAGCTTATTGAGCATAGACCAAGATATTAACCACACTTTATTCACGGCCAACGTTTCGGTGGGATCGCCTTCGTCGGAGCCTAGAAAGTCGAAAACATAAAACAGAGAATGTTTATGTTTACTTTCTAGGCTCTGACGAAGGCGATCCCGCCAAAACGTTGGCCGTGAATAAAGTGTGGTTAATGGTCTACGCTCAATAAGCTCAAGCGATTGAGATGTAGTTGTTACATGGTAAATTATCTGCTGGTGTGCATAGTACACATAGTATAAGCAGATTTATTAGTAGACTTCTGCGTTGGACTGATAGTGCACATGATATATTAGGTCAAACCAAAAGTTCTGTCGCACCTTTTCCAAATAATCGTAACTCCTTCCTTTCACTACAACTTTCCATTACAAAAGTACTGCCTCTGATTGCATAGATAAAATTGTTAAAAGGGAATAAGTTTGATTTCGGAATTTTGAGGCAAGGCCTTAGAACTTTTGAATCTGTGCAATAGATTTCAAAGGATCCAGTAACCTAAGTTTTTTGTTTCCCTCTTTCTAGCTGAGCAAAATTCGCGCTGATCGATCTCTTTTCAAAAAGTTATGATTTTTGAGAAATAATGCCAAAAAATTGGTTTCTTAAGAAAATTGATTTTTTGCCATTTTTTCTCAAAAGTCATAACTTTTCAAAGAACAGCTCAATCAACACGAGTCTTGCTCAGCTAGAAGGAGGGAGTCGAAAAGTCTAAAATACTTGCTGTTTTGGATTTTATGGCGCAGTTTTGGAACTTTTAACGGGCTTGCCTTAAAATTCCAAAATCAAACTAACTCCCTTTCACAATTTTATCTATGCAATCAAGGCCTGGAAGAGAGACAGCAAGGTGTCATTAGAAAGCACATGAGTTGCTCTTCCTAGCGGTATTTTTGCAATGGAAAATTGTAGTGACAAGATGAAGTTACGATTTTTTGAAAATGGTGTGACAGAACTTTCGGTTCCACCTAGTATGTGGGAATCTGAGCATCCGTTCAAAAGCAGTAAACATACTTAATCAACCTGTTTCGATTGGGAGGGGGTGCAGATTTCGGTGGAATCCAAGCACTAGTCGGATCCCATCGAGGAGAAGACACCGGATCCTTCCGGAAATGTCACCCGGATGGCTCCGAGTGATACTCGGGCATGCTCGCCCATACGCGCATGGAAACTTAAGCAGTTTTTTCTTTCCCGCAAGGAAGAAGTTCGAAGAACTTCTCGCAAGACAGAAGTCATGGAAAACATCACAAAACAATGAAGATAATGTCTTCATACAGACATAAGCAATTGTTGCAGCTGAGATCAAATTGCAAATATGTTTTGCAATGCGAAAAAAAAACTGAAGAAATCGTATAAGCCCTAAATCACCTCTTTGGACAATCCTTGAACTTTTATTAGAATGGAACCGCATCCCATAAAATTTTACATACATATCACAATTGACTGTGCACATCTCCCACTCAAAAAGCTAAACATACAAGCTATCGATCGTCTATCACAGCTTATAATAATTCTTATTTATGGACTTTTTACTTTCTCCTCGCTGTTGCAAAACATGCCAAATCATAGATCTGAATAGCAGAAACAAATTATTTAGACTTTGTATAACCAGTCTCTTCGACAACAATACAGAATTATCAAAGTGGATAGATACAATCCTAACTAGAATAATTTCTCTGGTCAACAAACAATGCCTACGGCCTCTCCTGAGGTGGCTGAGTCGGTGGATTATAGGACGAATGTTGATGCGTAGGAACATACGCTGACTGATGAGTCTAAAATGGAGTTCTTTAACTTTCCTCTGATACAAATGATAAAAGTCATGCCTACCGAATCAGTCACTTGTGTGAATGCACTATGTGGTGATGTGATCAGTGGCATCGAAGGCATTGGTAAAGGATTAGTCACAGAATACTAAAATTGTGAGGATGTCAACTGAAAAAAACATAAATGTTACTCATACCTGTGAATGGATGGAGGACATTGGCTGAGGATATTGAGGAGGAACTGAAACTTTAATCATTCAAACTGAATCAGCGAAGATGACTGATTTTGTATAAAACTTTCGCTTACACTAAGCGCATAATTTTTTTGAGAAAACTGGATGTAAGCGAAAGCACAATCCTTGCATGGTAAATTTCATGATTTTGTTTATGATAAAGATGAAGCAAGTATTTTTAGACACTGCGAAAAGCGAGGTCTTTTTCAATCAGCCTGATGTCGGATTGCTTTGTTATTGCTATGCTCGTTCCGAAAATCGACACTGCAGAGCGCGAGGACGGCAGCAAAGGGTTCTAATGCATAAGGGATCAGCAGGTGGGCGAGGTCTATAAATATGGGAATATGGTATGCCAACTACCTCATCTACATGAATTGAGTTCCAGGTAATCAGGACTCGCTCTGTCAGTGCAACATAGTGTCACTTGATAATGAGTTTAGTATGAGCGTGGTTTTCTAGTCAATTCCTCCTCCCCGCTACCACCTGAACTATGGCGGTAGCGGGAAGACGGAGGAATTGACGAGGAAAATTAAGCTTCTGAACTCGATATTAGTGAACTCTATGTTAGGGTGACAGAGCGACCTGATTAAAGGCAGTTCCAGATAGAAAGTCGATTTTGAAATTTTGTGCTTACCCGGGGCCTATTCGCCATGCTGAATCCGAAAATCGAACTGGAGAGGGCCAAAACGGCGAAAACGGGCTTTAACGCATGAGGGAAAATCAGCAGGTGGACGGGGTCTTCCCCGCTGTGAATTCACTCTCCCAGCTTGTGGAACAATCTTCTCGATTCTGCTAGCGCCCTTACATGGCCAACGGCCAAGTGCTAACTGTCAAGTGCTGTGACTAAAAATCGGAACTGAGAAGATCGCTTCGAAAGCTGGGAGTGTGAATCCACAGTGGGTAAGACCCGCCCGCCCGCCGTATTTCCCTCTTGCGTTAGAGCACTTTTTCGTTGTTTGCGCGATCTACAATGTGGGTTTTCGGATACAGCATAGCAGACACAGCGCAAAATCTCAAAATCAAGTAGGCACAGCACGTAAGCACTAAATCTCAAAATCGACTTCTTGCCCAGACACTGCTTTTCAAAACTCATCACCTAGATGAAGGGGATAGCGATTACCATATTCATCGAGCAAAAACGAGCCGACATCAGGCAATCAAAAACTCAATCAAATGAAGAACAACCCAGAAATATTTGGCATTAGACCGAACAAATTACCATGAGTAGCGAATGCCTTCGTCAAATCTGCTTGCGGCATGTACTGTTGATGTTGTTGTTGTAGAAACTGCTGGTGATGGGCATAAGCTGCAGTAGCAGCCGGATTATAATTCACGGCATAGTTTGCGTACTGCTGATATTGTTGCTGTTGGTATTGAGGTTGAGACGATGGATAAGGAGGTGTTGGGGTCATTGTCGACGATGGTTCTTGGTGATATTGTTGACAAGAATATTGTGATGATGTTTGCTGCACAGGATGGTATTGCGTTTGTTGTATTTGTACTGGTTCCGACGGAGTTCTTGATGGGGTTTGCATAGTTAGATGTTGTTGCTGCTGTTGTTGCTGCTGCTGTTGCTGTTGTTGTTGCTGGTGTAGCTGTTGCTGTTGTTGCTGCTGCAGTGGTGTTTCCTGTGTCCGTTGTTGTGAATGTACTTGTTGTACGTGTTGTTCTTGAATCTGCGCTTGTTGATGTGAATGTTGCTGAGTTACCGTCTGTTGCATGGCTTGCAGAGGGTTGTGAGGTTGGTACGTCGGTGGAGCCTAAAAATTATTCAAGTATTTTCATGAAACAAGCAGTGAGCAGAGATCACAAATAAATAAATTGGCTTGTTAGAATTAGCAACTCACAGGCGCCTGCGCTTGAGGAAGTGAACCAATGTCACCTGACGATGCCAAACTGTATTGTGAGGCGGTGCTGTATGGCGGTGATTCGGCGAGCGGAGAAGGTGCTGAAGCTGGTGATGTAGCTCCAGAATACACAACAACCTCGGTCTGAAATTCTCGAGTATTACATGAAAGACATAAAGAGGACGTTAGCGGCAAAGACTGCTCAAAAATCCTTGGAATGATCAAGAACTAGATTTTCATAGGCCACAAAAAAGTATGCCTTGAAATAGATAGTGGTGGAAACAACGAAAAGAACAGAAAGATTGAAACTTGTTACACCCAGCTTGAATTGGTTGATTACGTCTTTTCTGAATCGCCTCTCGGAAGAAATTGAATTTGTGGATTACATATAACATACTGCGAAACGCCACCAACTGCGACTAACAATAATCGCTAACAGTTAGCAACATTCGCTAACAGTCCCAAGGTGGAATGTGTCAGAATATCAGCAATGTGTAACCAAAATCATAGCTAATTTGACGGCGATTTTTCCGGTAAAAAGACGCTCTCACCAATGGTATATTCACCGGAGCTGTTGCTGGGACTGCAGATTGGTCACCAGCGTGAACAGGATCATTAGGATGATGAGGCTGTACGGTCGATGATGGCGTCGCTTCCACGCTAGCGGCAGCTACTGGTTTCGGAGCAGATGTTGCTGACGCCACAGATTCCTACAGGTGAAGCATACTAGCTGATGTACTATTAGTTATAATGTTTTCACCAGCTCAGAAGGAGAAGGGATAGCTGGCGCGATCTGGACTCGGGATCCCCCAACCCGACTTGCAGATGCTACCGAGGTCAAGGACGTAGGTTCAGGTTGCAGCCTAAATCAAAAGTCTATATATTGTAAAAGGAGCATCCCCCTTGATTCACAGATTTGATGAGATAACCTTTGATACTGATGACTAGGCAGCTGGAAGGAGGGGCTTTGTGACCTGATTAAGGCCGCTCATACCCGCGACGCAGTCTGCGCCTCTCCCATGTGCGTGCTCTCTAATCATTACCTAGCCTTAATCAGCCGAAGCCCCGCCTTCCAGTCGTCAGCCAGTTGAATCAAAGGGATATGCTACATGACTATTCAGAATTAAAGCTGCAAGAGCTCAAATTACCATTTGTATTAGCTAGAAAATTACCATCTCAGTGTTACGCTGACCATTCAAAGTTTATGGAAAGATAATCAAAACCAAGATTCAAGTATGAAGAACTCACGGCTGCATAGGAGGTGGAGTCGCAGGCAACGTGTCACGAATCAACTGCGGAAGCACATTTCCCATTCGACTGACGGTCATTTGATGCAAGCCGGGAACAGATGCAAAAAGACCAGTGCTTGCCATTACAAGCAGCATGTTTTTCAGTGATTCTGGTACAGCCTGCAAGGATAGCAAACATGAAGCATGACAGAGAAAAGTCTTTGAGAAATCTCACCTCATTTAGATTTCCACAGCTATCTATTCGCAGATAGCTCTCCATGAAATCCAATAAACGCAGCCACAGACTTGGGAATGAAGGCAGGGTTGAAAGAGCACTAAAAGACGAAAAAATTAATTTGTTGTTAGACTCAGCAGTCATCAAGTATTACGTGAGGTGGTTCAGCAAGGTTTTCGCTACTATTTGCATAGCCCGCACTCGCGTATCTTCCATTCCAATGGGATCCATGGCTGAGAAGACGTCTAACAGCTTACCCAGTAAGGGGAAGAGTACCTGAGTAAGTAAAAATAAACAAGGACCACAAGAAAATGTAAGACTCCTGAAAAGTTGATTTACCTCTCCAAAGCAGGATTCCCATTCTGATGCACCAAGATTAACCATATTCGTAGGAAGGAAAGCTCGCTAAAGTTACAAATATAGAAAAAGTGCGGTTGAGGTTGGAAAAGGTGAGAAATTATTATGCAAGTTCAAGCAACAATTCTGATATAGTGAACCTGTAAGTGTGTCAGTGCGGCTGCTCTCACTAAACGTCTACAATCACAGCCGAGCCTAGCCATCGCCTGCAGTAGCGGTCGCCAAACCGTACACCAAATATGGGGTATCGATGCGTCCACCTAAAAACAGAGATAGTATAACGACTGTTGAAAGCTCGATATAGAAAATTACGTCATTCTGCGTTTTCGCCCATTGCGCAAGTATACCCGGAGCAAGTGTGTGAAGAGTTGAGCAAAGATCCAAAAGTTGCAATGACACCTTGAAGTTCATCTTATCAAAAGCTGGGATGCAGATCAATTTGAAAGTACCTGCTGATAACTGGCACTTAGTTGTTGCTCTTCGCGTCTGAGGTCACTTTCTTCACCACCCACATCAGTAGATAGTTCTTTCTGCAATAAGGGAAAATGACTATCGGAAACGAAAATGACCATGAAGCCATGACGAATACCAAACATCCTAACCTTTCCACTTTTCGGTTTCGCACGCTTCACTCGATCATCTGTATGGCTTCGCAGACGATTTTGAGCATCACCACTCAGAGGGCCAGCAGCATATCTGGGAAATGCGATTCACTCCAGAAAACAAACGAGCTGTTGGTCAAGTACAAGTTCCAAGGAGCTGATTTGCAGTACACATTGGCATACCAACCTTCCCCCATCCAAACTCGCTTCAACCATCGTTCTCAAGCACTGTACACAAGAATCGAAGTTATCCGGTGTGACATGAATAGCATCTCGCAGAAGGAACGAAAGCGTATCGCACACCTAACATGAACAAAATGAGCAGAAAATTGTAAACAAAAAAAAACTAAAAGAACTGTAAACTATGCGACGCGTAGACTGCAAACCTTCAAAAACGCCGCAGGTTCATGTCTGCCGAGGTTTGACTTCAGTACCAGCGACCCTCGAGAGAAGCCACAAGCCCTGGCCGCATTACCTCCCAATGATCTCAAAGCGTCTTCCGTCGCCTTCCGAGCATCTCTGTGATCCAGGTGGATCCATTCTCGGCTTTGATTTAGCGAAACAGCACTATCAGCGTCTACACTGGACAATTTGTTATCACCTGCAACAAGCGCCTTTTTCAAAGAGAAAAACCGTTAGAAAAAACACCAATGGGTTAGTCTATAAGCTACCAGATATCCGGTTAGGATCATCAGACGTGTAACCTCTGTCATCGGTGGTTGAGCGCGCTGTCATCGCTTCACCATCTGAGAAAGCTTGACGGTCAACTGCGGCTGAGCTTTCAGGCTGTAGAAAAAAAGATGTCACGTACCAAATAAAATTTCATTACGAAAACAACCTGCGGGGCATCATCTGGAAGCGCTGCGGCTCCGGCTGCTTCGAGCAAAGACAATAAGACAGCCCAATGCTCTCGTCTATGCACATTCGCAGCATTCGTTCGTAGCAGTTCATGCAGACCAAATGAGATTTGGCGAGAGAACACATACATAGCTTTCGGAGACAAACGCTGGAATAAAAAGGTATCAAAAGACAAAAGTCATAAATTCATACATACAAGTCCCACCAAAAGCAGTGATAACGACTGCAAAACGTCATCGGCTACTGTATTGTCACGGAAAAGATTCCTATTGGCTATACGTAACAAACCAACGACTGCTCGTTCAACAAGTAACTAAAAATAGTTGTTAATTGTAGAACAACCATAAATGAAAAGTGTACTTACGGGACTCCTTCCAAATCTAGCCGATAATAACCACTCCAGATGTCGCCGCACGGTCACCCAAATAAGGGATAAACGGTCCTGTATAAGACACTTTTGAATGCGACAACAGCAACGAAAACAGCTCAAGATCAGGAAACTTACTTTGTTCTCCAAACAGATAGTAACAATCAATTCGAGATAGAAAACAAGTGCGTCCTCGTCGTCATCGTTCAGTGGTGAGCCCCAAAGCAAAGTCTTTATGATTACAAAATAAATAAAGCATAAAAAATCATCTAGAAACTAACTAACCGGTTTCAGAGAATCAGCCTTTTCTACAACCGCTTGGCTGGCATGAATAAGAGCGCTAAGTAACTCCGACAGCGCCGTGCTTGTCAGATATTTGCTATCATTGAAAAGCTGTGCTGGTCGACATTCAGCTATGACTATCTCAGCCATCTGTAAGGGGAAAAATATACGAAATGGCGCGACAACGGAAATAACGCCTACCTTCACGTAATTCTGCTGCTCTGGTGTCAGTTTCTTCCTCTCGGATTCACTTGCTCCTCCTCCCAGACCAAACCAAGACAGCAAACCTGATTCACTCCGGACGGGCTGCTGATCACTAAACAATCACTTATAACCATCAAGGTTCTAATTAGGTCGTCCTTAAAATGATATTGCAAAAACTCTAAAAGGGTGGAAAAGAAGAACAGATTGACTACTACTCACGCTGTATGATCCCTTATCAGCGACACCCATCCCTTCTCATCCACAAAATCGTCTACTTCGGTCAATTCTGCTGGCAAAAGTCTTGCACGGAACAATTGGAGCAAACAATCCAGCATGTTGCGCCAGCCTTCTCTCAGTATATCGCCATTTTCGTGCACCAGTTGGAACATCGTTCGTGTAGCCATTTGTGCCTTTTTGTTCTCTCCAAAAGCAAGCGAGATTCTCTCATGTTGATATCCAGGAATACCATCATTGAGGCTGCGCTGACGTTGCAGTTCTAGATTCTCCTCGCCATGTCCTATAAATCGACAATAAGCTGATGAGATTGAAAAAGCAACAAGCCTACCTTCCGAATTACTCATCAATGTGCTGAATTTGCATAGATGAATTACCAGATTGTCGAAAACGTCCTTCATGCCATAATGCGCGGCTATGGAAGCACATTTTCGGAATCCATTGAGAGCTTTCTAAAATACTATGATCTTATCTTCTAGGGATCCTCCACAGGTGCAGCGTACGTTGCGCACACTCCAAAGTTCTTTCAACGGGTAACAAGAATCAAACTGCTTGAAATAAGAATGAAGAAAGTTGCGCGTAAAATACCTGCAGGATGACGTCATTTTCCGACTTGTCGAAGACGTAAGTTAAAGCTGCCACAGCTGGTCCCCACGTAATCGAAAACAGGTCATGATCATTCCACCCAGTCGGTGCATGTTCGAAATGTCCTTCATAGGATTCACCTCGTCTCAAGAGCACCTGAATAAAAGAAAAAAACAATCACGTTGGTTGAAAAGAGGTTTCTAAAAATGTGTTCAGAGGAGAAAATAAGACAGAATCCGACGCTCACCTTCCACAAGTAGTTCTCCTTGACGAGGCCAGTTTGCTCCGCTGGCATTACAATCTCTTCAGATTTTATTGCGTTGTACATTTGTTCCAACATGTTTGGGTCAAAATCTGAGCCGCCGTTAGTACCGGAAAGGTTCCTCTTGAAGCAATCTACGGTCATTGGTGGTTGGTTTCGTTTCACCTGGAAGAATAAACGTATGGCGATGAATTGAAACGGCAAGAAAATGCTTCAATTTGTTCTTAATGTTTTAAATGAAACTCGTGTTACGCAAAATAATGACATAGGAAGAAATGTGAGAGACACAAAACGGAGCTGGCGCTTAGCGCTCACAACCAAAGCAAAGAAAGAAACCTCACCTGCGGATTATGTTGATCAGTGTTGAGCATAATTATGGCATATGACAAAGTGAAAGCTGCATCCACGTGATTGAAAGGTTCATGGTTGGCCTTGTACCACTGTTCTAAACAAGAAAAAACGCCGATAAATCAGATATGACTCTTTATCTGTTACCTGAGAAATGTTGCATGACCATGCTAATCTCAGCTGCTTCACCAGGAAGACGGAAAGTCTCCAAAAACATTCTGAGCGCATCATCCAAGCGGGTGTTTTCGAATGGGAATGAACTCACAAATGCTTGCAGCACCTAGAGTATAAATTCAAAAGTGAGGACCAACATGAAACGAAAAAAATGCAGAGAACTGGTAATAAGCGCCAGTTAAAAGACACTTACATCAGCATGTTTTCTGCTGCAGATATAATCTGCTATTTTCTTTTTGTCCAATTGTGGATTGGCTCTTAACCAGTTGACAACGCTGGTGGCATCAGCACCTAATAACCCCTTTTCACGCAGGAACTCGATTCCTGTAATATATAACGCTATGAAAACATCTCAACTTGGAGAACACAAAGGCTACGGTAAGTTGGAATGCAGACATATAAAGCTTTAAAAAATAAGTAAAACCCACCTTTCTTGGGGCTTTGATTGAAAAGTTCTGTACCATCAGCGATAATCTTCTTTCTCTTCTTTTGTTCGATAACCTACTGATGGCAGTCATCAGAAGCAGTTATCAATGAAACAAATCAACTCCTTACCTGCTCCATAGACGGCATATTATTTGATGGCGCATGACGATTAGCACAGGGCATCAAAGCTTTGGCTGGTAAATGCTCAGGGATATCTAAAGGAGGTATGAAGGTTTGAAAGAAACTTCAAACAAGAAAGGTTTAAGGTCTGTTTACGAAAGGACAAAACAACAACAAACCAACATGAAAAGCAAAATCCACAAAGCTCCGAGCTTACCTCGTTCTGGAGAACTGCTAACATCGTTTTCGCCTGCCAGTATTCGCTGTCCGATTTCAAAACCGCTAAGAATTGGCAGATGCAAAGCGGCAGCAACTTTTGGACTGAAAATCAAGATGAGAGAAAGAGAAAAATAGTTTTGAGCAAGTTGTTGATTCAAATAACAGGAATAACACTTGACAGGCTTATTACAGAAGCTGATATCACTCAAAGCCTATCACTTTGTAACATTTCTCAAAAAGAAAGATGGCAAAAACATAACACAATGTTGTGGGGAGAGACAAAAGAGATACGACACTTACTCCGCTTCCGCCGTTGGTGCTATGGACGCTGCTTGGCGGCAAACGCAATTCTGGTCTATCATATCGATAACAACAAGAAGCGCATCCAGAGATATGAGAGAATGAGCATGTAATCCAGAGAGAGGAAATGCGTTTTCAACAAGAAGTTTTGTGAGTTCTTCAAATACGTTGCTGAAATGAAGAAAAATTTGATCAGAGGTTAACACAAATGACGTGACTGAAACAGAATATCCGATTACTCTGTGCTGAAAAGGGGTAGAAGACAAACCTGCAATATAAGTCGCAATCGTAATTCAAATATAGCTCAGTGACTAGTCCAGGTATCCGCCACAGTTGTACGATCGACTCCAATGCCATTTCTTTCTGTTCATAACTGGTTGTACGCTGAATATCTCCATTTTCCTATACAAGTAAACTTTACATATTACTGCTGTAGATAAACATCGCTACCTGTTCATTTAGCACGATGGCTTTCAATTTGTGAAAATAGGCCTCTAACTGAAATTTCAGCTGACTGCGCATGGATTCGAAGAGAAGGAAGCAAGCTCTGTTAGTAGCAGCTAGCACTGGAAGCTTCTCTGTGTCCAGGAGCTGGAAAGAAGTCAACAGTAGTACTAACGAAAAACAAAAGCGACTATTGAAAAAACATATTTGCAAAACCTATGGCAGACAGATCTATCGAAAATAATTTCAAATCGAGTATTGCATATGTAGGCTGTAAAAAAGGATACTTGCCTGAAGCAAAGCTCTGCACAGATTATCTTTGATGAGAGGCATGAGAAACGAATAGCTAACAAGGTGATCAGCTGCAGCCTGAACCGAAAAAGATTAAAAATTGAGCGAGAAAGGAAAAAGAAACAAATATTCTCAGATCAACACTCTGCTCACCTCTAAAGCTACCGTCAACAAATTCAAGCCCAGCACCACCATTGACTCTGTGTTTTGTCGATCAAGAGGATTTGCCAACGCAATAAGAAACCTGCAAACGAAAACCATTCACAAATCAGTTTGAAAAACCGAATGGAATCTAGTGCAAACGGTGAACGAAACAAGTCAAGTCAAATCATGTACCTCAATAGTTCCCTGCAGCATGGCAATCCATATGGCATTTGTACAGCATTACCTACTGGTTCGACATCCTCTTCCTCGATTGTATTGTGCGAGTTTTTCTCATCCTCAATATGTGGATGTTCTTTAGGAGTGATACTTTGCTGCCTCGACGCACTCGTCTGGAATAAAAAATGCAAAAGAACGTTTGTATATACTGTTAAGAAATGCTATAACCTCTTTCGTTATCGACGCATCGTCTTCTCCTTCGCTGTCGGCTTCTACAGCTTTTTCTTCAGCTGCATCTATGGCTTCCTGGATTTTGGTTTCAGGTGGTGGTATGTCAGGTGAAGTTACGGTGTCGATGGGAGTGTTGAGAGTAAGAACAACATCATAGCCTGAAACCTCATAAACCTTGTAACCACCGTTTTCAGCCAAGAAAGAAGAGAGAAAAAGGCGATAAAACCGCTGTCGTGAAATTTGAAAGTCACAACAACGACAGTAGGATAACGTAGCTTTCTGGACTTGAAAGTAGGACAAAAACAGACTTAAAATGGTAACGAAAAAGGCAAAGACAAATCAGAAAAGCAAACTGACCAAGACTAGCCGCGTCTCCCTCATTCTTTACCAGTGGCGTCTTTTCCGTCACTTCCAGATTCTCCGCCGACGCTACGGAAGGAATATCACTAGGTACATGCGGAATTTTTGGCACTGCTGTCGGTTGTACAACCTCAAGATCATCCTTAAATATAATCTTCTCTATAAGCTAATCTACAATCTACTAAATTCGCTATAATCGCAACGCACCTTTTCGCTTTCGGCCACAGAGTCCGTCCTTCTCCGCCGCCGTCGACGTTTTTCGCCTTTTGCGTTCATTACCTGGTATAGGTCGAGATAATTTCTAGCACGCAAGACTAACATTGCTCACTCACCAATTTCCTGATGTATGGATGTCTCGCATCCTCATGAAAAGTTGGTAACCGCGTGAATATAAGTTGTGTCATGTCACTAAGGGTTGCTTCGGCAGCTTTTCTCAGTAGCGGTGACAAGTGTTGCTCAAATACTATCCGAAAGCAAGACTGCATCATATCACATACTGCTTCATTGGATAGCAGTGCACCGGGAGGTGAGAGTAATAAAGATCGCAGAACCTAAATAACATTTGATGAATGGAAATGCAAAAACTCAATAAAGAAAACACATACCAGTAAGATTTTGTAAAGCACACATTCATCACTGCCACTGCTTTTGCCTCCGATAAATTTTGTGTGAACTACAGCATAAGCCACGGATTCCACTGCATTTGCCGCTTTTATACTGAAAAAAAAGTTATTATTTCTCCCATACTCGTGATTGCTCAGGACCCACCTATTTGCATCTATCATTCCATAACTCAGAAACTTGGCCACAGACGATAGCGCGGCTTCGGTTATAGGTCCATTAGTATTCTGTGCTTTGATGACATCCAGAAATGGAGACAAATATGTAAGCGGATTCATATCACCCAGATCAGCGACCTAAGACCAAGAGCATTGACATAAATTATGAAGAAACGATCTGCTTACTTCATTGAGAACTTCTTTGAGATCTGCGAAGTTCCTCAAAAGTGGTTCAGTGTCCTCAAGAGTGGGTGGCTGATGAGAAAGTTGATACTGTCTGTAATAATGAGTTCTTCCAAGCAAACTCAACGAAAAATCCGCATAAACCTAGTTTTTTTCCCTGGGACTAGAAAATTTTTGTTTACTTATACGAAAAGCTAATTGGCTTGAAATTAGATCTAGCACATTCGGATGTCCAAAAATGATTAACCTAAGCTGCTTAACCTTCTGAATTGCCTAGAACTTCTCTCCCTCCCGGGTGAGCCTCGAGGCAGTAATTGTTTCAGAAAAATCTTTATTCAGTCACTACTAACACTGAACCTGATTTGGAAGCTAGCAAAAACTGGGCTCGCGGATTGGAACATGAGTCAATGTTACGAAATTTTACCCGTGACACTAGAAGCTCACAGACATTTTAAAAAAAGACAGAAAAACAAAAACCATCTTGCTATGAAAAATGAAACCCAATCTTCGCGCATATTTCTAAATAAACGAGACAAATTCGTACAAACAATAACCCTTAAATAATATGAGCTTACCTCCTAGCTTTGTTCAACAACGCAACCACAGTGTTTGCCTCGCCCAACACGATATAAACGCCATTCACGGCCATCGTGTCAGGCAAAATGTAGTCGCTTGGTCTCCTCTAGATACTTCCTTAAACAGAAAAGTGAGAGCTGGAAACGAAGAGAATTCGATCAGACGACTTCATAAAACAACATGCGCCAGACAGAGATCTAGGTCATGGCTACTGCCAGATTCGAAAACGAGATCCAAGAACAAGAACAGTGCAGAATAAGATAAGATCTCGATTAAACGAGAAAGTCGATGGATTATAGATAGAATTTGCATATTTATTGAGAAATGATCGACTACACTGCAAGTGATACTACATGAAACCCAGATAAAGCTGACAATAAGTAGCTTTGATCATAGTGAGATGCTACAATTCAAACTAGTAAAGTACCCGTATAAAAATGGCAAAGCTATTAATACAAGTTAGGATCACAACATATTCGACGCAAAATTGAGACTTCAGTATCAGCTCCTTGGATAGAACTTTGATGATGAGAGGCTGTCTTTATGTTTCACATCTTCTTCTGATTCCCAGAACCAATGATTTGATAACCATCCAAACCTCAAAAGCACTATGTCAAAAAAAACGCTTTTGAAAATAATTTGATGGAATAATCAAAACCCTAACTACTGTTACTATAAACTCAAGAATCACCTCGAAACAGGCCATATCCGCAAGCAAAGGCGAATCTGAACAAGCCCAGCTGGAACTGGGCCAAAATGACGAGAGTCGGTTGATGCCACGTAGTTATCGCCTTGCAGGAACACATGTCCACGTGGAACTCGTTTGTTTGGAAGTAACTCACTATTGACGGGATCTGATTCCTGAAACATAAACAATACAACCCGCCTAAAGATGACATCAAAGTATGTTAAAGCATCTCTATCTACGAGAAAAAGGAGAAATGGTTTCACAAAAAAAACCCAAATACTCCGAAAATGTAAAAGGTTTGAAGTCAGCGGCCTCCAGAGACACCTCTCCATGTCTTTGCCTTTTGCTGCTTAACTTTAGATTTAGCATTAGAGACAACAATGATAACATCAAAAAAGATCCTTTTGTTGCAATAAGTCCCCTTCCGTAGGTTCTCCGACCTTATTCAGCTTCAGTTTTGAACAATAGAGAAAAACACAATAAGTAAATCAGAGAGAGGAAAGCGGAGAAGTCGTCCACAAAAAAAAACACCACTTCGCGACAGCTGACTGCCCTCCCAGTCAGCTCGAAAAAACCTGTTTGACAATAGTTTTCAAACGAAGACGGTGTGAAAAAATATGAAAAATAACAGTAGAACACTTACCTTGGCGATGACCCGTTTGCATAATAGCTGTTCCGGCTCATAAGGACTCAAACAGCCAACAATATCGCCACGATGAATATTGCCAGACGTTACACCTCAATTTCCATAATAAGAAGATGCCAAACAACTAAAAGAATGTATTCACGAAGACTACAGCTTGGAGAGATGGTTCCTCATAAAAACAAAGTTTTACTGCCGCACTCAGTCGGGACCGCTGCTATACACTCATTTATCTTTCCCATACTTAGCCTTTTACGACCATAAAAGTTCTACGAAGGTGATGGCGAAGTGATTAATACGGGCACTGCACTTTTAGTAAGAGTACAGATCTTATGTAAGCAGACAACTGAACAAGCTCTAAAAGACGGATCTTGCACAAAATGGCCGCGTGGTGGAACAGGAGAGTGGGAAGGCGCAAAGCTTTCGAAGGTGTTAGATGACCTACAAAATTAAACTTGATTTCCTTTCCCCCGACAATCATAAACTTTGACTTCAAAAACCCGAGTTAGCCTAATAAGAATAATTATTAGGGGCTTGACTTCTGCCGCGCTTTCTTCGAATCTAAAATTGAAGCTCAACGATCGGAAATGCTTCCAAAAAATCGGATATGTTAAAGCCACGCCCCTTTATTCGAAAAAAAAAAATACTGTCGCACCTCCCTCCCACTTTCCAAAAAAAAAAAACTCCCAACACTGCTACAGGAACTGAGGCAAAAGAAATGCAAGTTCGCTTTATTTTTTTAAAACAAAAAAACGACGTGACTCGGGCAAACGATCTTTTTTAGGTCTGGCCTGAAATTGTTGAAATTATTCGATGGCTTTGAGGATCAGTAAAAACAAGCTGGCTTTTCTCCACATTTGCTAGCACAAATTTGAAAAATTGCATAGAAACCAAAGTTAAGCTTGGTAAGATGATATCCCACCCACAGCACTGGATAATTCGGCAACAGCGTCAGCGTGCTAGAGCATTTTTCTTCCACAATGACGCAAAACGTCATGAATAGAAACATATGCGGAAATCCAGCATTCATTCGAAGTAAGGACACACTTGTGACAAAAGTACTTACGAAAGAGAGAGGCAAAAAAAACTAAGTCGAAAAAGAATGAAGATGTAAGAAACTTACTCAGCCTTTCAGCAAGCACTAGATCGCCATCGTGTATCGTTGGTAGCATTGATGGCCCAGAACAGATTACAAGTTCCCCTACATGCCGAGCGAAAGTATGCGCAACACAGTAGAATACTCCTGCGCCGGCTACGTAGCGAAACACACTTTTCTTCTGGAAAAGTCGCTTGGCCTGCATTCTGCAAGAATGAGTAAATGATCAAACAAACGTGATGAAAATTACGTACTAATGTTGAACAGTGAACTTCGGATGTTTGGCAGGATAGACAAATGAACAGATAATTGATGAACGTATAAATGAGAAAATGAATAGATAAATTAATAAACAAATAAATAAACGTGAATATAAACGAATAAATGAATAAATGGATAAATAAATAAATAAATAAATAGGATAAATCAATAGACAAATAAATAAATAAAAGATCATTCCAAAAGCAATTTTGATTTCTTCAAAGGGACACCATGTTTGATGGAACAAACATTTCTGAGAGATCTTGGAAGCATTAGATGCGACATTTCATCCTCTTTCTAATGGTTCTAAAGTCATTGCAGCATAGTCAATGAGCGCTTGAAAATTTATCACTAAATATGCGACCCATGCTTTTTGAGATGCTCAGGTTTCGAAATTTCTTAAAATTTGTATATGAACCCTCCGAAGGAGCCCAAGTAACGTGTCTATAGTGCAAACCCTACAGAATGCAAAAACAATTTTTTTATCCTTTCCACAACTTGTCATACATTTCTGAAAGAATTCTAAATGATAGTACCAATTTGCATACTTGGTCAGCTAAAATCTCGTAAGCCCCGGCCAGACTTTGCTCAAAACCGCCCAAAAGCGTCCAAATTTCTCTAACCTCTGTTCACTCCCTCTATCTCTCCTCACACGAGAAAGTGAGGAAAAATTAGAGGAATATTGGCGCTTCTGAACGCTTTTGAGCGAAGTCCGGCGGGGCCGTAGAAATCAAGCGGTCGGCAACTCGGGAGTCATCGAGCAGCTTTTCTCCTCTTTCTGATGAGTGCTTTTGTATCCGCTTCGTAGAGTCTTTGCGGATAAAATAACCATGATTCACGTTTTCGCATGCGCCCCGGGCCGTACCAGAAAAATTCGAAATCAGATATTTAGACTCCGCAAACTCTCATTTGCCTTGTAAAATTAGTTTTGAAGTTTCAAACCCCGAAGATTTATTGGTGTTTGATGCGTTCGTGGACGTAGGCCTGCCAATACCCGGTAACTCTAGTAAGAAAAATTCAGAAAAATCATGACGAGATATGGAAAGGAGAAAAATTGCGCTGTTTCCTGCGGGGTTTGCTCATTCACCTGTGATTTGGACTTCTTCGCGGGTTTATATACAAATTTAAGGAAGTCTTGAAACCTGAGCATCTCAAAAACATGGGTCGCAAATTTAGTGATAAATTTCCAAGAGCACTGACTGTGCTGCAATGACTTTGGGACCACTAGAGGACGAAATGCCGCATGGAATGCTACCAAGATCTCTCAGAAATCTCTGCTCTATCAAATGTGGTGCCCCTATGATAAAAGCGAAATTACTTTCGGAATGACCTAATAAATAAACAAATAAATATATAAGTTGAAAAACAATTTCATTAATTTAGTTGAATAAATAAATAGAATGAACTAAAACCGTGAATTTTGTGAACAAGATGTAAGATTTGTAAAAAGTTCATTCAGCTATAATGACTATGAGCTTAAATCACATTAGCAGATGTGCGCCACGAATACAAGAAAGATACGAGGACTTACAGGCGCAAAGGACTCGGCAGCACGCTGTATGTGTACACGAACGAGGGGGAAAGCTAAACCATAATTATGTATGCAAAAAACGCATTGTTTGCGGATCGTTCCTATCGAATGATGTTTCTCTACGTACGCCATCAGATCCAAAAATGGATGAAGGAAACAGTTTATAGACATCGTGAAAGTAGGACAGCGCTCTCGTAACAAAAATGTGGTACAAAAGCTGCAGTTGCAAAACTCCCAGACTTTAAACTTTTTGTTTATTTATTCAATTATTTATATAAAATACATTGTAAAAAGATGTACTATTAAGATTTTACATTGTATACAGGGTGTCCCAAAAAAATGTATCGAAGTTTGATCGTTAATATCTCTCTTCCCAAGAAGTCTTTTGCCTTGCTTCAGGTACCGTTTTGTAGAGCTGGCTCCAACTTAAATTTGCTTTATAGAACGAATCACCCATCTCTCTTATTACTGTAGGATTGCGGTAGAAACTTGAAACATATGGCGTTAATGTGGAAAAAGCTGCCATTTCAAAATTTTTCAGAAAATTGTGAAAACTTGTGTATTGGGATTTTTATGGACGCTGAGTACAATACTCAACTATTCTCATGATTGCGAAGCTTTCTAAACGGTGTAACCGCACTTTTTAGGAACATTGAAAAAATGGCCGCTACCTCTTACGTGGCATAACTCTTCAATAAAACATCATAATAAGTTGGGAACTTTACGGTTAGAATCAACAACTCTAATTAGCCTAGTGTAAAAACTTTCAGGCTGTTTTGTTTTCTTTCTGAGGCAAAATATGGCCTTTCATTGCTTAAAACCCTCTTTGAAGTTTCTACCGTAATCCTACAGTAATGAAGAGAAATGAGTGATTCGTTCTATAATGCAAATCTAAGATGAAGCCAGCTCTATAGATTGGTACCTGAAGCAAGAGAAAAGACTTCTTGGGAAGAGAGATATTAACGATCAAACGTTCGATACATTTTTTTGGGACACCCTGTATATTTATTATTCATTCTTTGTTGTGTATTTTCCTTTCCAACTGATTTCTTAGGGATATAATATTGTTTTTAATGCAGTGATCAGAATACGTGTCGCTTCCTTTAACGAATGCACTGACGAATAGCAAAGAATCTCTGCCTAGGAGATTGGTGTAAATCGCATGAGAGAACTCAGCAATCAAGCCAAAGTCATTTCTTATGCAAATTATTGAAAACCTGCATGAACAAGAAGAATTTTGACAATATTGAAGAATTAACTCAAGGATAGAAAGTGAAACACGAGGGGAGGAAAATGTCATAATTTTGATCGAATAATTATGATCTATCCATAAAACAAAAGCTAGTTTTGACAAGCATTTTTGTACATATCTAGATGACAATCCAGTTAAAATAAGATTGAAATGAATGAATGGAACAGAGGAAAAACCTGCCATAGAATCGAATTGGAATGTTCATAATGGGCCTCATTGAATTTCATCAAAACAAGCAAACACATGACCAAACGGTCTAAATCTGGATGTTTAGAAAGCGCTAAATTGAAGGTGACATACAGTGACCTCCAAAAAGTTGCGAACAAGCCACCTTCCTTTTTTCATCGCTCATTTTCAGATGGAAAACGAAGATGAAAGAAAGATTGGATTGCATTATGGTGATAGGCCAAGAGCTACAACCCACACATTGCGCTTTCTGGAAAACATGTATTATAAAAGTTTTAAAAATCTTCTTCTAAAAAAAGTCCGAAAATGGCCGCGTCACAATGTCGCGGACAATAATTCTTCGAACGCAAAAATTTTCTTTTGAGTCCTATTTTAAAGCGGAAACACAAGTTATCCGGACGGGTAAACACACTACTATACAGAGCTCGTCAAGAACTACACACTGGTTATGGTTGCTTCTCCAGAAAACGCAAGCTTGAGTTTTATTTTAGTTTTTTCAAAAAACAACTTCTAATTTTCTTTATCAAGCCAAATTTCTTCACACGGAAACCTGTTCAAGACATCCTAACAAAGCCGTCTGGATAAAACAGATGCTCTTTGCCATCCTCTATGCATCGGACGTGTACTGGTGAGCTTCTTTGCTGAAAATGGCTCTTGACAGTGCGTGCACATGACCCCACCTGCACCTCACCGCTGACTTGCACCGCTTTGCAGGCTTGTATCTCAGCCGGCAGTCATTCCACAAGCCTGCAAGTAGGCTCATTCGAAAGAGCGTGACTTCCTGGACACGATGGTATGCAAAAGAGTTGGGTATGAGAAACAGCAGAGTTTTGGCGGATGGGGTGACAAAGCGCAGCTTCCGTGGTAGGCTAAGGATTTTTCAGTTAAAGTTGAGCAAAGCCTCTTTCGCCACCAGTTTCATCCTGGAAGTTCAAAACCGTCAATTTTCTTGTAATGGATCCATTTCGGAGCTCTAAAACCGTTCTAGTATTGATAGGAGCCTTCACTCCATTTACCTCTAAGGCTGCGCTTTGTCACCCCATCCAATCTCTGCTGTTTCTCATACCCAACTCTTTTGCATACCATCGTGTCCAGGAAGTCACGCTCTTTCGAATGAGCCTATTTGCAGGCTCGTGGAATTACTGCCGGCTGAGATACAAGCCTGCAAAGCGGTGCAAGTTAGCGGTGAGGTGCAGGTGGGGTCATGTGCACGCACTGTCAAAAGCCATTTTCAACAAAGAAGCTCACCAGTACACGTCCGATGCATAGAGGATGGCAAAGAGCATCCATTTTATCCGAATGGCCTTGTTGGAATGCCTTGAATAGATTTCTGTGAAGAAATTTGGCTTGAAGAAGGGAATTAAAAGTTATTTTTTGAAAGAAAGCAAAACAAAACTCAAGCTTGGGTTTTTTTGGAAGGAACCATTACCCGATTATTGCCCTCGATGAGCTCTACCATATAGTATGCTTACCTGTCCGGATAACTTCTGCTTTTGCTCCAAGAAAAGACTTAACAGAAAATTTTCGCGTTCGAAGAATTATTGTCCGCGACATTGTGACGCGGCCATTTTCGGACTTTTTTTTAGAAAAAGATTTTTGAAACTTTTATAATACATGTTTTTCAGAAAGCGCAATGTGTGGGTTGTAGCTCTTGGCGAGCTCTATCACCACATGCAATCCAATTTTTCTTTCATCTTCGTTTTCCTTCTGAAAATGAGCGATGAAAAAACGAAGGCGGCTTGTCAGCAACTTCTTAGCGGTCACTGTATGTAGGTGGAAAGGAACGAGCTGAAAGTTCCTCCTTTTCCAAGATCTATTTTCCCCTGTCTTTTGTTTCTTATTGATTGCCTTGAAAGAAAGTATTGGTTCCAAACATCAACTTCCTAGTCTCCAAAACCACCTTAGACGAACTATCTACCGAGTACATTTTTCGCTTGATACAGCGTGCTTGAAGTGCCGAAATGTCGCGGGAACATTTGCGCGTGAACAAATAGCTACGCCTGCAATGCCGGCCAATTGCGTGCACAACTGCCGGCATTGGTGGCACTTAGGTAGGTGCCAGAGTACCCTCGACGTCAATCCCTAAGTTACATTTGCAAAGTGGAGTGTTGTGGTGCGGCCGCCTCGCTTTGGGCTCGCGCCACCTTGCGAGCGCATGAGTTGGCATGGCGTGGCAACAGGAGCAACGAAGAAAAGTTGTTCTTGTTGCCACGTTTGAACATGTTGTGGCGCCACGTTGTCTAGCGCCACATCACGTCTAAACGATGCCCCAGCAACGTGGGCGAGCGCAAAGCGAGGCGGCTGCACCACACCACTCCACTTTGCAAATGTAACTTAGGGATTGACGTCGAGGGTAAGCGAATATTTTGTTCAGCTTCGTTCAGCTGCAGAAGGCGCGCAGAATCAATGTCTGCTGCATAATCTCTACTGTTGCACCTGCTTCAGCTGCAGGTCCCGCGCAGAATCAACGTTAATTCTATGCGCCTTTTGCAGCTGAACGAGCTGAACAACTCAGACACTCACTGCGGCGGCGCGCGCGCCTTATGCGTGCGGCCCCTCATGTCCCCCGCCGCTGGCCGTCAAATGGCGCGCGTGCCGCGAGTGATTGGAACGCGCGCCGCGGGTAGATGGCACGCGCGCCGTGAGTAGATGGGGACGCGCGTCATACGATAATGGCGCGCCGCTCGCACGGTATGAAAACTGCCATTCGCATTTGAAGCACTGCGAATCACGGTGAATCTGTAATAGATCTGTTGACAACCTTCAATTTCAAGCATTTCAAGCAAACAATGGCTTCAATTTCAAATATGAACTTGGAGGTTTCCAAATCTTGAATCTGAAAACTCAAATTTCAAAAATTCAAGAATTCAAATTTTCAAATTTGAATTCAGGCTCGGCACTTACTCGCAGTGCTTATGAAGACTGCCTATCGGTGGAAGAACTAGAAGAACCCCACTTGTGTTAATGCGACAACTCCATTGCGAAACAGCGATACCCTCAATGAATTAGCGATAAAGCACCCAAAACATTGCGTCGCACTTCACGCGGGTATCGTTTGTGCTTACAGCGTATGGGAATGCGGAAAATATCATGGCACGCGGCTCACTGATAAATTGCGCGCTGCTCGCACTCTCAACTAGGGCGCGCCGTTCGCAATACAGTGCTGTAATGGCGCGCGCGCCGCCGCGCCGAGTGTCGAGTAGGTGCGCCGGCGGCCGTAATAAGGCGCGCCGCTCGCTGGCTGCGAATGATGGCGCGCCGCTCGCACTGCAGCCTCAACTATGGCGCGCCGCTCGCACTGCTGCTTCAATTAAAGCGCGCCGCTCGCACGGCAGCCTCAAATAGGGCGCGCCGCTCGCACTATAGCGCTATTATGGCGCGCCCGCCGCCGCAGCGAGTGTCTGAGAAGATGGTAGGTGCCAGAGTAAGCGAATATTTTGTTCAGGTTGGGGTGCCGCGCAGAATTAACGTCACTTGTGACGCCAGCATGGTGAGTGACGTGAATTCTGCGCGGGACCCCAACCTGAACAAAATATTCGCTTACTCTGGCACCTACCGATATTCGCTTAGGCACCTATCATCGGCTCCCAGATTCGTGTGGAGGTGAAGTCTTGCCAACTCACTGCGTGGCGGTTTTTGCTAGTGAGAGAGTACGAAAAGCAATGCTAAGACATGGAGGTTTAGTAAGTATACTTGTGTTATCAGGTAAAGTCTGCGTACACCTCCACACGAATCTGGGAGCCGATCATACCTTACCGCATCATCTCGGCACCGCAATATACTATATTATTCAGAAAATCTCGACTGTAGAATTCAGGACGATCAAGAAAGTTTAGAAGGCATCCGGACTCTAGGAAAGTTGTCCAATCATACTAAATGGAAGGAGGAAGGGACACCGCCAACAGGCGCGCCCTGGACCATCAGTCCCCACATGGAATGTGTAAAAGGTCCACAAGTTCGCTAAGGCGGCTCCCTATTGGGAGTAATCGTTTCTCGAATTGCTCGCATTTTAGCTGTTTAGACTTAAGCTGAATTAGATTACAACACAAAAACTTTGCGCTATAACACCCCTAATGAACACACGTCAGTAGTGTAGATAGGTAGTGTATGGGTGGATAGATAGGTAGTGTATGGGTGGATGTGAGTTAGTCAAGACTTTCACTTCGCAAGACTGTGCTCTACAGATAAACAATGTACAAATTCGCTATTGTACAAGTCGTTCTCGCGACAATTTAGCCGCGCCGCGCGTGGTCCGCAGAGTTTGAGCAACCCGTGCGGTAAACGTTGACAATACGCATTCGCAAGGCATGGGCATTGCGCAGCGATGCGCGATCGATGCGGCAATTTAAACGCGCGCCGTATGCCCGCGAACGCGGCTCTAGCGTTGCGCGCGAGTTGATCGGAATGGAGCACTTCGTTGGCACAGACTGTACCCAGATTTCGGCGCACAGCGTTCTAATGCTTCCAGACTCAGCCGGGTCTTCGCACTTCCCAGCCACTAAACGAACCGCACGCTGACTACGAGGAACGAGTACTGATAATCGCCGCTTCTCACAAGGGAAGGGTACTTGGTCGAAGTAGGTTTACATATGAAATGTATACTCTCTTGCAGAGCACGGAAAGCTGATTTCAAATCTGTTTTCGATACCTGCAAAGCGCTTCTGGAAGGGAGGTTATGTGGTTTTCTAAAGCAAAAAATTGGAACGCTGGTCACAATAAAATCATTGAGAACTGCATTCTGTGAGCTCAAATGGAGCCATGACTACCGCCGGCGCTTTATACAGTCGATACCCTAAGTGTAATAAAATTATGCTAGCCATTACTGCTTTCAAGCGCCCGGAAGACCTCAACACATGTTTCTACCATACCAAACCCTTGAATTTTTGTCTCAAAGAAATTCAGCCGGACGCTTGAATTTTTGCCTCAAAAATTCTTGTAGACTCCCAGAAGCGTCTTGCAGATATTGAAAACAAATTTGGAAGAAGCGTTCCATGCTCTACAAGATATTTCGTCCCACTTCGACCAAGTATAAAAGGAGCAATAGCGCGCGGACGCGCCTACCTATGGCAGGTGCCATACTTGATCCACTTCATCCACTTCGCTAATGGTCAAACCAGTGAAAGGGGTTGGTAGTTTGCCCGGATACCCCTCCTTTAAAGCACTTTGCTTCTGCGCAATCGATTTGCGAGATAAATCATTCCGAATGCTACTCAACTAACAACCAATTCGATCGACTCTTTCTCGAAAGACTAGTAATCAGACCCTACGTTCGTCATCAGCAAACTGACTAACCTCGGAGGAGATTGAGAAGTTCTCAACTGGTTTACCAAGAACATAAACGCATGAAAAACAACCCATCCACAGCCCAAAGTTCCTTCACAAATTCAGAGAATGAAGAAAGCTGATAACAATTGATAATCTCTTGCGCAGGAGAATGCTTCACAATTCTAAGATAATAAATACTGCCATCAAGAAATCTGGAATTAGTTCTAACAATGAAACCGAACACTTGTTTTTTCGTCCAAAAATGGAGCTGGAGCCAAGACTTGTATTTTATGACGTCATTTTCAAAGCTAAACGGGTCAAACACAAAGTCCAATACGGTCCATAAAACTAAGCGCTTTCGGATGATACGGAATTAGTTGAATTCAAGAAGAAAGCTGCTGCTATCCGTAAAATTCCAACAAAAACAAGCGGCGACACGACAAGACACGTCACGAACGTGTTCGTGCTCCGATCAATCTTGGGCGAACTCGTCTGAATGCCGCACGCGGGACCGCACGCAAACATTTGAGTTCCGTCGTCAGATCCGATTTCCACTTGATTTGGTTCAGTTTTGTTTCCCTCTCATGCTCTCAATAGATTGCTGTGGCTTGCTCAAATTAGCAAAGCGCTTCTTGTCTTCAAAATAGAGGAGACCGTTCCACCTCCTACGAGGCGCTGAAGTTCCCAGAACGATCCAGGTGTTTTCGTCCTGGGAGCGTTCAGGGACCCAAGAAGTTTGTGGCCAGTATAAATGCTAAACTGCGGTGAAGCGCTCATAAAAGCGCGAAATGGCCGGTGCTGAAAATGGTGCAAAATATTCTGGATCTACTCAAAGCAGCCGAAATTTCCCCCAGCGAGCAGAATTTTTCGTTAATGCTCGTCATCTCTTCACTTTCTTTATGCGCACAACATCTGCACATTCAAAGTAATTATTTTTATAGGCACATGCATCACTTGATCCACTTCACTGACTGTCAAATTACTGACTGTCAATGAATGCTCAGACACTCGGTGCGTGCAGCGCGCGCGCCTTTATGCTCAAGCCGGCAAAGCGCGTGCCATATTTTGGGGGCGTGTCCGGCACGGCGCCAAACGCGCGCCATACTAGACGCACGCGCGCCATACTTGACGTGAATGCAGAATTATCTGCGACACGCGTGCCTTTTTATATGAGAATACGCGGCGCGCGTGCTTTTCCGTTGTTATGCAGCAGCGCGAGTGCGATTTAGCTTTTAGCGCAGCGGTGCGCGTGCCCAAAAGGACGCCGAGTTGCTTTTTTGAAAATAACCTCGTCCCCTGCCCCTGTTTTTTGAAGTTTTACTGTTATTTTTTACGAGTATTTGTCTTTATTTGTATCTAAATGTATTTTTTGTGAACTTACTTTAATTGATTGTCGTTATTATTAGCCTTTCTTCCTTACTGACGAGTTCCGGGAAAGGCTTATTCTTTTTTGCATTTGTCCGTCTAAAGGTAGGAACGAAACGGACGAAGTCGTTCTTATCATACAAATGCCTTCACATCAGCATGCAAATTTGCAATGCTGTCATTTATCACGTCAAATACGCATATGCCTCTAGCAATGTAGGTTGAGGCCTGTTAAAATTATCGTTCGGCTCGAGGCGTATTGGCACCAAACATTTGAAAGTAGGCCAGGTCAATTAAGAACTTATAAACAATCCCTTACTAGTCAGTGCTTTATCTAGGCGAGGAAGTGGAGGTATGCCATTCAGCACGCAGTTCCCGGCCCCACATCATGTTGGAATAAGGGCTTTCGGAGGTAAGTGAAGCCAATTTTCATAAGTAATGCCATATAATTTTAGAAAGTTTGGAGGAGAACTTGAACGAGGCATATCTGGACTTCCTGCATATTAGACGACTACAAATGCCTACGGAGGAGCGAGTCGTCTTGCATTCAGTACCAGGAGAACCGGAAGGCATAGTTTTAGTAGTAAAATATTTCTCTTGCTTTATAATGCCACCGCTATAGATCATCCGAACATCTTGAACAACGTGTGGCTGCACGAGCGGTCTCGCGCTACGATGGATTGGACGGTTTCGAGGATCCACATATAGTAGGCTGCAATTTCATGGCGATGAGACTCTTAGTAAGTTCCAAAAACATAGTTTGATGTATAAACAAGCAGAATAACATGTTAGGTCGACATCGGGAAAGCCCAAATGATGAAGATAGCGCGTCAGAATGAACTAGCCGAAAAGACGGACGATTCAGTGATGCGCAGGGCCCAATTATGCTTGAGAAACTGTCAGAAGCCCTGGAAAATCTCCGTTAACCCTCCCTTCGTGGAAGTATATCTACAATAGTTCGGTGTTCTGCTACTATCTGACTTTTTGCTAGTTGGATATTATGAACCTTGTGATGGGGAAGTGGAATCCGAGAAGAAAGGACAACACCACCCAGAGCCTCACATCTCTGTATCGTTTCCTTTTACAGCAGGTAACTGTCGTAATTGTAGTATATGGTTATATGAAACGCAATTTACATATTTTTTAGATCACCAGCCCCCCTCAGCGAATTCAAGAATATTCGCTGAGGCTGAATGGAAGAAGCGGCGGGGACACCAAACTCAAAAACCTCCCCGATGAGATTGAAACCACCTTAATCGGTATGCGGTTTTTCGGATAAGGAAGTCTTCTACTTTTTTGTTCAGATTTTGCTGACGATATGATGGGATACGGGTACGACGAACTACTACCAGGCGCGGTTGTGGATTTTGAAAACTCGGAGTAAGTAGCGTATCATTTCGTCCATGTTGTCTTTCCATCAAGTTTTATTCATTGCAGATTTTACGCTAGTCTTGGCGCCACAGCTCTTCAAGGCTCTGCAATTCGCACTGTGCGTAGTCAATTCTTACAGGTTATAACGCAGCCTTAGTTGCTAATATATCAGTTTCAGACGAGATATTAGGTCCTATACGTACAAGGAAAGCGAGTCGAAATGGATACCGCATAAGGTAAAATTGCTTGCTGTTTGATGAGTATTTCAAAGATTCATTACAGCGCCAGTCGAAGAAAGTCGCGGACGAAATGACGACGATGGGGCAGTAACAGGAGACGACGACGACCTATTCATTGTTGATGAGTGAAGTTCCGTGATAGCAATATTTTTGACTTATATATGTTTATTGCATGTACATGATGCCATTCCGTTACATATGTATTTGACTGTACACATTTGATCCACATTCTCATCATAAAGTGTCTTTTAAAGCTTTAATTACATAATTAATAAAGCTTTGTTAAAGTTGTCCAGTCATTTTTCTGCAGAAATAAAGTTTTAAAAGGTTTAGTCCGCTGGAAGTTTAGCCGTTCAAATTTGGCGCGCGGGTCAATGATTAAAACGAAGCTGCGAAAATGCTGACCATTCGCGTGCCAAAATAGCAGCCATCCGCGTGCAAGAAATCGCAGCCGCTCGCGCGCTTAAAATCGCAGCCATCCGCGGACGATCATGCAGCGGCGCGGGAGTCAATAGCGCGCCATCCGCAGACTGGGTGTCGCGCCACCCTGCAATTGCGCGCGCGCTGCACGCACCGAGTGTCTGAGCAGTATCCGGGCCCCAAAATTTTTTTGCCGTGGATTTCGCTAAAACTTCGCCCATGGGGGTTATTTGGCCCGCTGATGCCGAATATCACATTGGTTTTGTACGGTAGCGTCATTTTCTGGGGTTACGGTGGGTGTACGGTAAGGGGTCAAAATCACAGAATTCGCTGAAACTTGGCCTAGGGGGGTTACTCGGCCCGCTGATGCCAAATATCACATTGGTTTTAAACCGTAGCGTCATTTTCTCGGGTTACTGTAGCTATATGGTAACGGGTGTAAAACATAGTTCTGCCTGAAACGGGTGTACGGCGATTCGGACGATCGTGAAGCTTTGCACACACGACCACCGCCACGCGATACACTCTCTGCTGCGGCTTTTGCCTAAGCAAAGCACAGGGGAAAAAAACATTTGCCGATTTGCGTTTTCGACCCTTACCATAAACCTACCGTAACCATGCAGGGAAGCGTTTTTGTGCGGAGAAAGTGTGACATTTCTGATCAGGATGTCTAATGATCCCTCTGTGCAAAGCTGCAACGGATTTTGAGGTTTTGACCCCCTACCGTTTACCCACCGTAACCCGAGAAAATGACGTCACGGTTCAAAACTAATGTGATATTTGGCATCAGCGGGCCGAATAACCCCTCTGGGCCAAGTTTCGGGCAAATCCGTGATTTTGACCCCCTACCGTAATCTTACCGTAACTCCACCGGATGGCGCTATTGCATGAAATAAACATCATATTTGTGTTCAGCCTACCAAATAAACCCCCTGGGCGAAGTTTCAGCGAAATCCACGACAAAAAAATTTTGGGGCCCGGATACTGGAATAGCGCCGATCAAGTGATATGGCTTGTGCCTATACTCTTGGGAACATAAAGTGCAAAATTTCAAACTCCGCGAAACTTTGCACGTTCGGTATTCTTGCAGCTATGGTAGGTGCCAGAGTAAGCGAATATTTTGTTCAGGTTAGGGTCCCGCAGAATTGACGTCACTTGGATTGACGCCAGCATGGTGAGTGACGTCTAATCTGCGCGGGACCCCAACCTGAACTATTCGCTTACTCTGGCACCTACCTAAGGCACGATAACGTGCCATTCCACATGTGGGGCTTGTTTGTGGGGTTACGGGTGATGCACGGTATAGGTACCATTTGATTCAACTGGCTTGGCATCGGCAAAGGCGGGGCTTCGTGACCTAATTAAGGCTAGGTAATAATCAGAGACCACTCGCGCGAGAGAGATGCAGGTGCGTCGCGAGCGCGAGCGGCCTCAATTAGATCACAAAACCCCGCCGTAATGGTGCCAAGCCCGTTGAATCAAAGGTTAGGTGCCAGAGTAAGCGAATATTTTATTCAGGTTGGGGGCGCAGAACTGACGAATTGAGAATCACTCACCATGCTGGCGTTAATCCAAGTGACCTCAATTCTGCGCGGTTCCCAACCTGAACAAAATATTCGCTTGCTCTGGCACCTACCATAGATCCGAAATCCCAGAATGTGCCGTAACTTTGCGTAGATGCTTGACAAGCTGGACAGACGCTAGAGTTAACTTTGGCACCCGCCCTTTGTACCGGATAAGTATGGCGCTTAGAATAACATGGCGGGCGGAGAGGGAGGCGGCTCCAGTATTATGCAAGTGTTTTTTCGTTCCCTCCCCCCCCCCCGCGTAGGTCAAATCTTTTCAAATTCCATATTTCCACTATGATGATATCTAGAAAATTGGAAAAAACACTAGAAGCTCTATATGCGCCCTAATTCTTACTGTTCGACACCATTTTCAATCCAGTTTAGGACATACAGCTTCAAAAATTAAGACTTAATGTGAGACATATTGACAACCGTTGGAGTACAGTATGCTTATTGCCAGCTATCGTTCATCTTGGCATACACCCGTTCAGTAACGCAACAAGCGCTCTAAAAATCCTTCAGAAGTTCAAAAGGATGTTAAAAACGGACAAATCCGAGCAAAATCAGCGCTAGCAGCGTGAAGCAGCTGAGAGAAGCTCACCAAAAGTGAGCTTCATATCGCGTAGCAGCGAGGAGCAGCTACGAGCAGCAAGCAGCAGCGCAGAGCAGCGCAGCATCGCCAGCTATAGCGGGTCTGTATCGCGTTCGCTGCAGCAGCCAGAAGCAGCAGCGTTGCATGGCGTCAATCGATACGCATAAAAGGCGTTGCTGCTCGCAGCGTCTTATCGTCAGCTATAGCCACCCATCGTCAAGTATATCTCAAGCCTTAGAGAATTTTCGGGGGACCGCCACACTTACAGAGATGATCTCTGCCACTGCTTCACCATAGCACTTTATGATGACAACTTATCAGAACCCACACTGAACGAAAATCACATCGTAAATCTCTCTTGTAGTCGTGAAAAGTCCCTGGGTATTATCTTCCATTTCACAGATGGCTTACCGTGGCAATTATCAGTCAAGATTTGTGTCAGCATCTTCGAGCAGTTCTGCGACCTCAAATGTTCGTAATGATGACCACAAATGGAGTAGCTCAGGTTGGTCCTTCGCTTCACTTTTATTACATTAGTACCAAGCTGCTGCTCACTCAATTTGATTTCCTTCATTTACACATCCCACATAACAACAAAAAAAACCTTACATAACAAGCGATTATTTATTAACTGTAGGGTCTCAAATATGTTCCTAAGTGCGAGGAGAGAAGAGCTTGTCACCTAATAAACTTACAGGTAGCATGAATTCTGTGCCGCCACCACAGTCCCTTACTACACCCAGCGTTCCCGCATTTGCAGCTGGGTCTTATATGTCTGTGCGAGAGAGGGAAAAGAAAAAAGAAGAAGAGGCATGTCTAGGTTTTCACAGATAAGTCAAGAATTTGATTGCACGTTTGTTTTAGTACGCAAATCTCATGTTTTACGGTGCTAAGACCGAGAAGGAAGGTCGAAAGAAACGGCTGTACGACGACGAGTCAGTTACATTTCCATTACAATCCTCTATCATTCGTTCTCGAGTGTAAATGTCGAACTCCTCCTTACATGCAACGAAATGCTTTTTCAGATGACTATGCAGTCCGTCCAGTTCCATATGTTAACCTACCTATATTAGATACCTCGAGGGCGAGGATTCAGATGACGAGCAGTCCTCATCGTCTCATCGTCGACGCTGGGATGATGATCGATCATCATCGAATCGTGATCGTGGTCGTGATCGTGACGATAAAAGTGGGCGAAAAAGAAGCAAAGAAGAGGATAAGAAACCCGAGGAAGAAGAAGAGGATGAACTGGATGCATTTATGGCCGAAATCGATGCGCAGGTGAATCTGAGAATTTTTTTTAGCTCTGAAAGTACATCAGCTGTTTTAGGCCTCCAAGGATAAAGCCATCTCAGTTCAAAAAGAAAAAGATCGTGCAAGCGGAAAGGATGCGGATGCAGATAAGAAGGGCATTGGCAGAGCGGACATTGATGAGGAAGATATGCAGGAGTCATATTTCAAGTGAGATTTAGCTGTTTTTTCTACATATTGAGCTTTTATCGTCCATTGTTATATACTTTCCTTTGTGCGTGTTTTCCTTCACGAACTCTTTGTAACTTCTGCAGGTATTTGGAAGAACACAAAGACAAGATTGCTAATGATGAAGAAGAGTACGAATACGACGAAGATGGTAACGTCATATGGTCATGGAAGAAGGTAGTTGAATTTGTAAATTGTTCAATTATTGTTGTAGTACATCTGAATTTAGGTTATCGATCCGCTTCCGGTGATAGATCATTCGACTATAACTTACCCAGATTTTACAAAAAATTTCTATGTGGAACATGAAGAAATCAAGTAAGTAATTTTTGCAGTATCGTTAGTCTGTCTACCATGACTTGATCGCATGTCAAAGTTAGCTCATTTGCTCATTATCTCTTTTCTTTTACTTTTTTTCCGTAACGCTTACACGCGCTTTACAGAAAGCTGAACCATGTCGAAGTTGTGAAACTTCGCGAGCAGCTTGGGATTCGCGTCGGCGGATTTCATCCACCAAAACCTGTGTGCTCGTTTGCACATTTTGGCTTCGATAAACAGATCATGGATGCAATTCGCAAAAGCGAATATGAACACCCAACGCCAATCCAGGCTCAGGTTTGACATTTTAATTGTTTCTCATTGAAGATTCTGATAAACTCATTTTTCTAGGCTATCCCTGCTGCTTTGAGCGGGCGCGATGTACTTGGAATAGCGAAGACTGGTAGCGGTAAAACAGCTGCTTACTTGTGGCCTGCTATCGTGCACATTATGGATCAGCCTGATTTGGATGTTGGTGAAGGGCCAATCGCGCTTATTGTGGTGCCAACAAGAGAACTGGCGATACAGGTAGATTTTCATGTTCATTTTTAATTGTATTGTGCCTTTCGTGTTGATTATGGAACTCTTATCTAGGTATACCAAGAAGCCAAGAAGTTTTGTAAAATCTACAATATCAATGTTGTTTGCGCTTATGGAGGTGGAAGTAAATGGGAGCAATCAAATGAGCTCAAGAATGAAGGAGCTGAGTTGGTCGTGTGCACACCGGTATGTTCCCCTCTCATCGCTCGTTTTAGAACTTTTCTTGTTGATTCTGTTTCTGCTGTAAGTTGTCATCATATTTAGGGTAGAATAATTGATTTGGTAAAAATGGATGCCACAAATTTTCTGAGAACTACATTCTTGGTTTTTGACGAAGCTGACAGGATGTTCGATATGGGATTCGGTATGTCGTTTATATTGTTTATTTGTAAATTTGTGGAGTAACAAGTAATTCTATGAGCCATTGCATTACAGAAGCACAAGTGAAATCTATCTCCGATCATATTCGACCGGACCGTCAATGCCTCATGTTTAGTGCTACATTCAAGCATAAGGTAAGATTAAAAATTATGGGGTGGTCTGTTCTTTAGTTTAGTATGTCTAGTGGTATGTATGGAATTCAGCAAAGAGATAGTTGTCTACGTTTTTTTTTCACAATGCATCTAAGCACAACTTTACAGGTGGAAAGACTGGCGCGAGATGCATTGCGTGATCCTGTTCGGATTGTGCAGGGAGAAGTGGGAGAGGTCAGCTTGGATATATTCAGTTTCTGTTTCTCAAAAGTTGAAAACAAGGCCTACCTCAGTATTTCTTTGAGTTGATTCTATCAATTCACTGTAACTTTCAGGCTAATGCTGACGTCATACAAACTGTTGAAGTTCTGCCACGACAGGATTCGAAATGGGTATGGCTTACGCAAAGACTGGTCAACTTTGGCACCAGTAAGTTTTTGTACTTGTTTCCATTACGGTACTCTTACGTAGCCAATGCAAATAAATTTTAGTGGGTAAAGTTCTTATATTTGTAACCAAGAAGATCAACGCTGAGGATCTTGCGAAAAAGCTTAGGGTGTGTTCTCTTTAATGCCAGCTATCTACCATTCATATGATTTTACTTTGATGTAGGGTCGAGATTTCGAGTTGGTTTTACTTCACGGAGATATGTTACAACACGAGAGGAATGAACATTTGCAAGCGTTCCGAAAGAAGGTCAATATCATGGTAGCCACCGATGTCGCAGGTGAAGTCGTCCAGAGTTTTTACGTGAGCGCGGTTAGCTGCATGGCAACGTGATAGCATCTTTCGTCTATTGCGAAATCATTTACTTGTTTTAGCGCGTGGTTTGGATATCCCTGAAATTCGGACTGTGATCAACTATGACCTTGCAAGGGACATTGACACACATGTGCACAGGATCGGACGTACTGGTAGAGCAGGTGGGATTTTTTTTTCGCAACGGTCTTGTTCCACTTTTTTCGTTTGTTGGTATGTCTCTTTCTCTATAGTACTTTGTTTGCTTTGTCAACAACGTCACGCTGCCGTAGATGAGTCCATAGATAATTCGCATGTTTGATCCCATTCTTCATAAGCCTATGATTTGACCTGGAATCAAAAATTACTGCTGAAAGAAACACGCTGGAAGCTTCTATGCTGAATTTCCCTGGATAGTTGTTTTGCTCTATTGCTGTTTCTTGTGTGAAGCCCATCTCGATAGATCTAAATTAGTGTGGCTAAATCCATTCCATCCTCTGACCATACTGAATATACTTTTGGAAGCACCTACGGGACATACTGTACGTAAAACTAGTTTTGCAGGACAGAAGGGAGCCGCATATACATTAGTCACCGACAAGGACATGGAAATGGCTGGACATTTGGTTCGAAATCTCGAAAGTGTCAACCAAGAAGTGAGCCGCCATATTATACTGGCTTACCTGCAAAATACTATAGTAAATTTACTACAGGTCCCACAAGCCTTGTTGAACCTTGCCATGAAATCAGCTTGGTTCCGCTCACAGCGACAGGGTGGCCAGGGCGGTGCACCCAAGGCGAAAGCACGACTTGGGCTCGGTTACAAGCCAAAAACTCGTCCCGCACCGGGTAGTGGAGGTAAGTCCAGTTTTGATAATTTTAAGAATTTCTGATTTCATGTTGTAGGGTCCCAGCTCGATCCACTGAAAGAGACTAAGCCGCGCGGAACTACCAATCTTTCTGTTCGTGATACGATTAGAGCGGCGACATCTTCAGAGTTAGTTTTTTATCATTTGAAATAATAAAGGCAACGTCGGTGTCAGGCTGCGGTCACTGAATCACCTGGCACTGACATTCTCGAACATTTGCTTTTGCTCTTTTTTCTCTTGGTACGACAGAGAAGGGCAAGCGTCAGTGGCTTGTCTTTCACCGTTAAACAAGACTTTCATCAGCTACCATGGTTTTTATTCGCCTCAAACAAGACTTCCATCAGCTGCTATGGTTTTTATAACGGTTTGGTAATGCTTTAGAGGTGTTGGTCCAGTGGGAGCGGCACCAAATAGTCGATTAATGGCAATGAAAAACGCTTTCAAGGTGAGCCTTTGCGTCACTTAACACTTTCATTCTTGTTTTCTTCCTTTCTCCATTTTTTATTTTGACCTAGTGATGTCATTGCTGATGTTTGAAACTTCCTTCTTTCTTTTCAGCAGTCTTTTGCGGCAACCTTCAAGCCATCCGAATTTGAGTCGTCTAAAATCAGACCACAGGTGAGCGCTTTTCAAATGTCTAATGAGACGTTTGGCTAGCGAACTGGTTTTGTTCCCTCTGTGTTTATCTTAGAGATCACCTCTATTTTCAGATTGTTTCGGACCCGCGACCCGAATGGAAAAGGAAAATTGACGAAATCAACGCCCGCTTGATGGCTCAGAATCCCCAAGCTCAACAGTCTCCATCTCCGGCCGCTCCTTCCCAGACGAGTGATGACACGGGGTCGTCGGCAAGGAAAAAAAGCAGATGGCAATAGATTACTGTACTGTTGGTTTGTGCAATAAATCGGAATTTAAAAAGAATTGTTGACATTGTAACCTCCGGTTTCTATCCATGTAATCGCCATCTTTGTGTACAATGAATCAGCAAGGTACAAAGCGGTCGTTATTTTTTATCGGTTGTTTGCAAATGTCGTCGCAGAGGTTGGCTCTGCAAGCATCAAAGATTGTACATTTGGTGTTTTGTTCAGGTTTTAAGTGCATTGTGAGGGAAGTGACTGCATTTCAATGACATAGATCAAATCAAGTTATAGTATCTATAAACATTTTCCCATTAGTCCTTGCAGATTTTTGTCAACGCCCTTCTTTGCTCGTTCTCTGTAATCCTTATCTTTTTTTTCTCTCTATTTGCATTGCGGTAGTGTGTTGCACGGATCTCTCATCACACTATGTTCAGATGTTATAAAAATATTCTGATTTATTTTAGCTTTGATCAGTTGTCAGTTGTTTTCTAGCAAAGCATATTGCTGTTTTTCCAGCGCAATCTCTTGCAGAACTTGGATCTGGTAAAGGCAATCACATGGTTTTTACTCCAAAACGCGTCTTGCAGAGGAAAACTGGATTTGTAATCTGAAAGGTGTGAATGTATGACAAAAACTTGTACGTATAGGGCTTCAATCAGCATAAGACTCCTATCGACGAGCTCCGTTATTACATTTTCTCGCTTCTTCCTGCACATATTCTGACATTTCTGAAGTTAAAAAAACACTGTGACTTCACAGTAGAACTTCTTGTTGTGTTGCATGTTGCGACTTTTGCATTGCTATTACCTCCTTTTTTATGTGGATACTGATCGGAAGGCCTTGACTAGCCCAATGCCCAAAAAAGCTTGTGAAATCCGTTTGTGGCGGAAAAATCGCCTATGAGTTTGCACCCACACTGCACTCAAGGGCGCGGGCTGGTCCACGCGAAAAGGGTACGGTATTGGGCGAGAGTCCATAGTCGAATTTTGCCGCGACTGAATAATACCAGTCGCGGTTGGGGCATGGCTGAGGCTTCGGGCAGAGTTCAGGCGATTTCATCGTCGCTTGATCGCGACAAGACAACTGTAACAATACATTGCATGCCGATCTTCTTGCATTTCGGTTGTGATAGTTTTCCAAAACGACTAATCGCGACTAACTATCACAAACGAAATAAAAGAAGATCGGCATGCAATGATATTGTTATAGTCGTCTTGTCGCGACGAAGCGACGATGAAATCGCGTGAACTCTGCCCGTGGCTTTAGGTAGCTTCCCCCCCCCCTCCCTCTCCAAGTGGGGGGGGGGGGCATGGGAACTCAGCTTTGCAAAATGAGCAAACCACAGTGACTATGGAATCGCGACTGGGTTTCATTCAATTACTTTTTCATGGTCATTTCTTCCAACGCTTTTTGCGCTTTCATAGAAAAAACAGAGAGATGGCTAGTTTCTTTCAGCCATCATGCTGAATAGTCTTGCAAATATGGACCTGACTTCGAACCGAAAGCAAACAAACGTAATTGCTAGAGGGCAAAAGAAGCCCAGTCACCCCGAATAGTGTACAAATTGAGGAGGATCAGAGATCGAGGAGGAATGTGTAATTCGACGATGGCGGGCCGCCCTTTTCTACCAAATAACTGGTGCTGTTGCTGCGCATGTATCTCTGGTATTGTTTTTGCAATCAAGAATGACAACTAGTCATATGATCGCGTAAAATCGACTTTTTACACACTCACTTTTCATTCTTTCGGCATCTTTCGGAAATGATCGATTTATTGCTTCGTTACTGCAATTATATTTTTTGGTCAAAAGCATAAAACTACTTACAAAACAAACAACATGGCAACAGCATCTTGACCAAAGGAAGACTGAGTGAATAGCCTGCTCTGACTTCCGCCTCGACATCTCTGTATACAGAGAGTATACTGCTAATTTCATCAAAGTTTGCAGTCACGATGTCATCAATTCATTTGCTCCCATCATTTTTCTTTTCACACATCTTCCCAAAATGAGTTGATTCTATTCTAGCATAAGGTAATGCTATTTGTCAGCCTTTTCGTATACATTTTATCCTTTCTGCGAATCCTCCTTCCCTGAGATTTTCTTGTTTGCGCATAATTTTGCGATATTATGCACATTCATTATTCAGGCTAGGCTCAAATATTAATATGTTGTTGTCATTGAGTTTACCGTTTCAATTTTTACTCTACAAGACCAAGTTTTGACGTGATTTTTTGCCTTACCTTATTTTCGCACTCTATATAATATGAATGAACTTTTTGAAAATTCTTTTTTTTTTCAATTCCAGGAATTTCTGTCGAACATCACACAAAGCATTCTGTATTGTTGTGTTGGCAATCCAATCGTTTCTCCCCGTTTACTGCTATTTTCTGCCTCTCCAAACGTTGAATTGGAATCGTATCCGATGACTATGACAGAAGAAGAAGGTGAGCCGGTTTTTGTACTCATTCCATAAACGTCTGTCTAGTTTATCCAGTCGCAAGGCTGCGTTTTTTTGTGCGCCTAGCGTTATAGTAACGCTCACTACCAGGAGATGTTGCTCTTTTACGAGTTTTGATATGATTTATGCTAGTAACTGAGGAAGGGCTGCAAGAATGTGGAACTGAACTGCATGCTCTTGTTATATAAGCTAGGAGTAGTCTTATTCTTAGTAACAATGTCTGCTGCCTTCATTCTTTGGACTTTCACTTTTTGCTCCATTCTTATCTTAGTTATTGATCTCACCGAACAGCTGCTTTTACAAGTCCATTTTGCCGCTAGCCTGCAAAGCTTCCTGCTCTGTTGTTCAGGAATGTTTACCTTGCGCTTGCTATCGTTGCTCTGCTGCGTTTTCTGCATGAACATGCACTTGTCATTTTTTTAATGCTCTTGAGTCATTGATTTTACTTGTGACATTGGTCGATAAGGATGCCTACACAAGTGGACTCTTCTCATCGCTCTTCGCTAAACTGTTATGACAGTCAAGTTTTGCTGCACTGTTTGTCATTTTTGTCTGTGATAACTTTCTGCCTGAAAATGATGATCGCTGGAAACGTATGTATCCAAACTACTTGCTATCTTTTATTTTTATTCGGTGGCTTTGAGTTTGAAAGATTCTTTGTCAAAAACTCTGTCATTGAGCCGCTTTCTAATATTGTCGAGGTGTGAATAAGTCCTACCAACATGAAGGGCAAAGCGCTTCATTTATCTTATGCGTGCGTTTTCTGAATTTTTGAGAACGTGCTATAACGTGATTTGCAGTATTTCCGCAAGGGGAGAGGGGGCAGTACGCATACAAAAGAGGGCGTGGCATGTCGCATCCCAACGGTTTTCTCCCATCAGGCGTTTTCGCGGAAAATATATAGCTTTTGTTTTTTTCTTCTTATTCATTTTTGCTCATGCGACACTGATTTTAGAGTTTTGTGATTGATCATCTATGGCTATTTTTTCTTCCTACTCCTTTTTCTCGTTTCACTTTATGTAGGCATTTATACTCACTGCCAAGACGGTATCGATAAGACTAAGACTGTGTGCTTCGCTATGTGTGGAATGTGAGTAAACACCACACAGCTGCATTGAAGAATTGCAGCAAAAAAAGTTCGTGACATTTTTTATTGCTCCCGTTATCGCTTTTGCAAATTTCTGCAAATGTTTCCCTTGAGACGATCTCTTGGTTACACAACATTTAAATGATTCTCTTTTGAAGTTAATTGATTCTGCCAGCAGCGTCTATCTCTTCGGCTATGATGTGTTATTTTCACACTGCTTGCGTGAGCAGCACAGAAGAATATCATTTGATGTTTTGATTTGTCACATTGGAGAACGTTATGTAATGTCTAGTCAGCCATAATCTTTCCCATGTGTTGCTAGGCTTTGCTCAATTTTGCGATCCCTTTTCAGCTTTGATATTAACATTTTTTTTCTTTTCCCACAGTAAAATTCTACTCATTTATGTAGTTCTGCATTGCTTGAAGAGAATGAAAGTAATGCTGTTGAGTATGTGATTTTGTTCAACTAAAATTACAGCTGGTCTTCTGACTTGCACTCATTTTATTATCATTTGTCACGACTATCTTACCGCGCCATCGTTTATGAGGATTTTTGTTCTCCATCTAGACTATCTGTTCATTGTTCTTGGCAATAAAAAAGCCGAACACTTTTATTTTGAATGATCTATAATTTTCAAATTGCGTGACTTTATTTGCTTGCCGCTATTTGTGCGCTCTTACTGTTCGCAGAATATTTGCAGAGTGTGCGAGGTAATGATTTGTGATCTTCAGTTGTATGGGCTTTCAAACAGGTCATACGAATGTGGTGTATGTAAATATAAATTTGCAAGATGGAAAATAGGGGGGGAGACGCTGTGTAACCGTTTTTATCACTAATGCTTTTGATCCCTCAACAGCTAGTGGCTGTCTAAACAGTTTCTTCGGTATGAGAGGGGAGGATGTGAGCGGCGCACAGCTTTTTTTTTTCAGAAGCTTCTTAGATTTTTTGCTTGCGTTAAGACTTGAATTTTCGAATTTATTACCTTTTTGCGGCATCCATCAAAAGCCCTTGTTATCGCACTTCTTTTGAAGAATTTCTCGCAAGCTAGCTGGATATCGTTTTTGGGACAAAAATCGAAGATGGTTACGTTTTTAAGACCGAAAAGACACAAAAATTGCGACGTTTTTTTAGTCGACTTTTCGTTTTTGGAGATTTTTTAGGGATTATGCTTAGGATCAAAGGGGACTTCGCAAATTTGCAAAAGTCAAGGAAGACTTCGTTTTTTTGCATTTTCAACTAGCCACGTCGTACCGAGCCCTGGCTCAAATTTGAATACATGGAATTCCAAACATTGTTACGAAGAGATTTGATACACTCCGCAGTCATCGCCCTCTTGTATCAAGTTCCTGCTTGCTTTGGTTTGGGAAGGCACTGTATGCAGAAAAATGTGCCTTGGGGAGACTGACCAAAGCTATGCAGTTGAGGCCACAAATGGGGCCTGTAAACAAAACAGATGGTTAGCTTTGTAAATACTGCTGTTCATGCGATCACTGAGTGCGTTTTGTCGTGTTCGGATATTCTCAATTATTCGCGTTCATTTATCTGTTTTTTTTGGTTGTAGAGCTTGAAAAAGAAGCAAACAGGGCTACTTAAACGAACGCATTCCCTTTCATTTGTCTGATTTCTTATCCTTTTGGAAATCGATTTTGAAGAAAAAACGATATTATCCTGCTTCATTTCTTCATCTCGCTGTCACACCTCTTCACTTCGAGAAGGCGTTTTTTTCCAATGTTTTTATTCCAGCGGAACTTGATGGTAATCGAGTGGCTGTAACGTACATATGAAATCCGGAATGTTTGATGAGATTTGAAGAAGTTGACAGTAGACTTTGCTTCAAAGGCTGTTGAGAGTGCTGTTCTCATTGTATATGCTTTCTTCCTGTAGTTGAGGCGTTTCTCGAAGGTTTTTGGTACATCAAAACAGTGGCGTATTTTTTATCTGAGAATTTGTTCCATCTAACTTTTATAAACTGTGCTTTCTAAGCTTTTAAAAGTCTTTTTTGCGCTACTTTCCCGGTTTTTTTGGCATCTTTGCTGTGATAGAAGTTAAGTCTAGAATCAGAGTACATCCTGAGCGAGTGTTTCTATTGTCGTCGGGACTGCATCACATTCTTTTCTGAAAATTAGTTACAGATGGAGTCGTTGCATAGAGTGGGGACAAATATGTACGAGTTTTGGCGAGGGATGATTGAGTGGCGAAGCCCTGCCTCTGGACCGTACCTGATGCTGGTCAATATGGTATTTTGGTGGGTCTATAGTTTTTCTGTGATTCTTTGTAAAATTGCAGTTGTGAAGACCTTGCTAAGTCATAGGCTGTGTTTATACTGATCTGAATGTTCGAGAGTATGAACGCAGCCATAGGTGTATTCGTTGATGACTTTCTGTTTTTAGGTCCGCAGCTCTTTACTGCTCCGAGCTGGTTCAGCTGCGTTTACTTCTCTCGATAGCTGCTGGTGTAGTAAGCTGGGATATTTTACTAGCGCCAACACATGAACGAAGCATAGCCATGCATATTTTGTTATGGCCCATTCAGTCTATCTGGCGGGTAAGTGTTATCCTTAAATGATTTCATATTTTCCAATGACTATTTTTTCTTTTAAGCTTATTTCCATTTTTTTATGTTCTTCCTTGGATGACTTGATGTATGTAACAATATAAAATTTTTCTCTAGACTCTATCAGTCTGTGGCTGCCTATATAGTTCGCAGCAGTTAAAACTGCAACAGTTGGAGAGGGCTTGCATCGCGGCTTACGCCACAGGTGCGGTCTTCCTGCCTTGCAACTTGCAGTGTGTTTGCTACCTAACTAGATCTTATGCGAATTTTAGTGGGTTGCCTTCTCGTGAATCCTGTTTGGGATTACTATGAAGTGAACCAGAAAATAGCGAACGGCGCTGTTTATTGCGGGAAAAAGACGGCAGATGCTGCAACGGTATGAATTTCTGAGAATTTGAATAAGAACACTGAATCCATGCGATAGTTGTACACTTCAGATTGTCATCGTGCGCCCAATGCTGCAGATCTATCAAGTTCTCAAATATATCGTACTGTTGCAGTTTGTTCCACGTAAGTATCTCGCTCTTCTTTGGTTTTGGCTGATTTGCATTCTTGAACACAATGTTTTCGTATTTGAGCAAATCAATTAATTTTCTGGGATAGACCGATTTTTTGCTTGTGTTTTTTGCAACATTATTGTGTCTCACAACTTCTTAGTCACAATCCTTTTCTATTTTTTTTGCATGTTCATCTCAAGATTGCCTGATGATAGACAGCGAATATTATCCCCTCAGCCCGCGATTTACCGGTATTTTCGACATCATGCACTCGCAAATTGTCGGGTTGTCCTTTCACCCTTTCGAAGTTGACAGTTTTCTGTTTGTTTGATCAACAGACTCTAACTCTCGGGGCTAGTCGTGCTTAGTTTAGCTCTGCAGATTCAACTGATTGCTTTGTATTACTAGAGAAGCTTTGTGATTTCAGTCTATGTTTACTAGAGTATCCCCATGCGGTGGCTTCTTTAGGTAGTCACTGGAAGGGGCGAGAGACTATTTTTTTGGAAACTGCCTAGGAAACAGTTTTATAGCTCAGCGAAGACAACTCTTTTCAAGATCATATGCGGTGAGCTTCAGAAAAGAAATGCAGATTCCTCGGAGTTACTGTATGGGCTGTTTAATGTAAACTGACGGGGTGTAGTTGTAGTCAGCTGAAAAAAAAAATCATACCTTAGCACTTCCAGAGAGATTCGTACTCACTCTTCATCTGATAACTTTCAGAATGTCCAGCTTCTCTGGGCTTTGAGCATTTATATTTAGCGAAATTTTCTTAATTTATTTTGTTATTCAACTTGTAAGTCATTCGAGTCATCTAATTCTTCCGGAGTTGATCATCCCATCTTAGCTTTGTCTTCTAGATGTAAGTGATAAAGAAATACATATAATGGATACAAATTCCCTAGCTCTGTGAAAATCGAGCATGTGATTTATGAAATCTTCCTCTTTGTTTTTGAAACATCTAACTTCCATGATTAAATCACCTCTTTTTCCAAACCCTTCGTCATGACCGTTACCGCTTCCTTTTTGCATCTCTTGATTTCAGCTGTCTGGCGAGCCATCAAATCAGCTGCCGCCAGAACTGGAACAGCGATAAAGAATGGCTACAACAATGTGATGAACGGTATAAAGAAGGGTGCCATATACGTCGTGATGTCAATCAAAAACGGGGTTGTACGCGTCGTTGCAGCTATCAGAGACGGTTTCGTTTACGTAGTGACAACGATCAAGAATGGGATCATCTATGTTGCGACTTCTATCAAGAATGGAGTACTGTATGTCGTGACATCCATCAAAAACGGCATCTGCTGGGTTGGCAGAGGGATAAAGAACGGAGTGTTGGCTACCGTTTTTGGAATAAAGAATGGGATACAAGCAACGGCCAGATATATTGCAGATCTTTGCTGTCGAATGGGAAATTGGTAAGAGACGCAGAATTTGATTTGATTATTCAGCCACCATGTTCAGTTTCAAAAATATCTGTACATTGATGTTCTCTAGCCGAGGGTGGAGCAAAGCCGGAGCGTTAAACAAACAGAATACGCTTAGTTCTCGCTTTGAACATTTCAGCTTAATTCAAATGAAATTATGTTTATATACTGCGAAATTTTTTCTGCAATCTTACTAGTCATTGGTTAATCTTATAGGATCCACATGTATATCATTGAACCGACGAAGAATGGCATCTTCGCTGTAGGACGATGGCTGAGGTACTGGTTCTGTGCTTACTGGTGGCCAGATCTGAAGGAGTGGATGAAAATTAGGGTCAGTTTTTCGGCTGAAGTGTTTTTTCTCTTTTTCCTAAAAGTTTTTGCATTAATGTCTTTGATTTGATTTCGTTTGGTTTTGGTTTTGTCGAACTTTGTTTTTTTTTCCAGAAGAAGGTAGAGCTAGAAGGTATCCAGGTAGTACTTTATTATCCAAATTTGGAGTTATTGACCAATGTAAGCAGCCAGGTGAATGCGATAATAACTGCCGTTTATCTGATGTACGATGGTGACCTCAGCGTTGCTATCGTCGCATTGCACCCTAGAAGGACCTCCCCTGACTATCAACCATTTTTATGCGTAACGGACGCATCTTTTGTTTGACCCAACAAGACGTAGAAGCAAAGCAATAGAATTTTTCTGACCCCAAAACTGCTTTGAAAGTCATTCGAATTGTGTTTTTAATACTGTGTTACGATCTTAGAGATATTAGGAATTTATATCGAGTTTTTATCTTCTACTTCATACTCTTATATGCTAACGAAAATGAGTTCTCTTTACAGTATACATTGTGCCTTTTTTTTCTGATTTCCTTAGCAAGTAATCGATCTTTTTCAGATCGGGCAACCTCTACAACGTGTGTTCAACTACTTTTGTTACGGTCTCATGTACGTTACTTGTGGCTATTGGATTCCCCCGTTGAAATCATTTCTGGGAAAATGGCTCGGACGTTGCAAAGATTTTATTATGGCACAAATGCGACGGCTTGGTGGCTATCTGCATGAAACTGTTGTCGTGCCCGCCAAGAAGTAGGTTATGTGGAAGTCTTGGTATCTTTGATTTTTGATCTGTCTTACCTTAATGTTGTCATTTGCGGCGAAAACGTGTTCGGTCTTTTCAGTCACATTCGGCAAAAGTTTGATGAGTTTCGATCATGGTTACGACAGTTTTTGCATCGAATCGCCGTTTCAATTCGGTGAGTGGGGTGGCACTTTTATCACCATAGTCTTATCAGGTTGTTTTTCTCTTACTTTTTTATCATGCCCAAATTTGCTACAGTTTTCTTCGTTGGTTCTTGGATACGTTGCCTGAGAGGTACACTTTATATGTATGTCGTAATATCTTTGTCATGAGAGCGATCAAATTTTAGCTTTAGGCTAAGGTACAGCAATTTTTTTTCGAATCTGTATGTTCAAAAAGGTCACTCAGGACTATGCGAGAAGGGGTCTCGGATTTTTCGAGAGCTACGAGTCATAAAATTGTGCAAGTGACTTGTTTTTTGAATGACGTCTCATTTTTTTTTCAAAGTGGAAAGTGCGTGTGTAGAAAATTTTCTCTCGGGCATCATTTTTCTCCTCTCTCAATTTTTTTCCCATTCTTAAAGTTGGACGCGAAATCCTGGGAAGCCTCTCAGAAACTTTTTTGGGTGCCTCTGCCATGCACCTCTAGAAATTCGCAAAAAACTCAGTAGAATCATCCATTTCTGGTTTTCACTACCAGTCTACAACGATATTCTGTAGTGGGTACAAAACGGGAACAATGGCGGATTAGCCGCAACAAATCTTGTCGATCTGCTATGGTCAGCCGTATATCGTAACCTCCGCCAGTGTTAACAGTTTTGGCAGGATGATACTCAGATTTTTCATCTTTTTCTTGAGTGTGCAGCATTCATATTATTGACAATCTTGCCTGAAATCTTTTTTATCGTGAACTGGAAATCATGTGGCTGTTTTTTCCTGCAGAGAAGTTAGTTTAATGTCAACAAACACAAAATTTCGAAACAGTTCTCGGTAAAATTTCGTTTTCCAATTTTTCATCTCTTCGGAGCCTTCTCGCCATAATTAATCCATATCGGGGCTTTTCAGCGCATGAATGGCGAAGATGAGCTTTTCCCGAAGCTTTCCAGGTGCGCATTCAGTGAGGATACGTCGAAAGTCTTTCATGCCCCGCCTCCCTCGTTCCCGACCCGCCCATTTACACGTATACTCCACTAAATGCGGACAGGAAAAGCTTCGAAAAAAGCTCATTTTTGCCATTTGCATGCGCTGAAAAGCCCAGATATGGATTCCTCATATCGAATCGGCTTCGAAAAGGTGGAAAACCAGAAGACGAAATCCTGGCGAGACATTGCCTTTGAGGGGACTGTAGAGAAGTTAATATCTTTCAGAGGAAAAGTAGATGTGAAGTCAACCGAGGTATTCATGTGGATTTGCGTGAACTTTAAGTCTTACTTTTCCATTTCGCATTCAGCAATGCAGTCTTTCTAATAGGCAGAAATTTCGCAGCAAAAAGAGTTTGAAGAGGTCACTCGGCTTTTTTTCCAAATGCGGTGTCTTTGATGCGAATATGTAACGCTGAAAATTGAGTGGTCATACTGTACCTAGAGCGTACCTAGATTTCATTTGGTATCTACTTGAGCATTCAGGAATAACCATAATGTTCGTTCATCGGTAAAGTGATTTTTTCATGTGCATATTCTTCATTTTTCAAGAATTTTCACACTTTGGCTTTTCCCTTTCTATCATTTTTTCTATAGAAATGATCTTTGTATATCCGATTGAATATGTTGACCACTGAATTGCAGTGACTCGATACTATGGCCTATATGCCTGCTATTTGTTGATGCAGGTCGTGAGCTGACCTTGTTGATGTACCGCCTTTTATTACGGGTTGGTCCTTATTTCTCATATCTTCCCTTCTGATTGTATTGAACTCTGAATGACGAGTTTTCAAGCCCATCTTGGACTATGTCTATGGACGCTACAAGATTCTTGAGACAGGAATTTTGGTAAACTTCCTCGGTCCCGTTTGCGATACTATCGTCAAAAATATTCCCGAGAAGAGCCCGTTTTGTGGTAAGTTGCTTTACCATATTCGGCCTCATTGTGGCACACATTGTTGGAGAAACTGTTGGAATAAGCTGAGCACAAGCAAACTTTTGGAAAGCGGCATAATACCGAGTTCAAAATCGAAGAGTTGTTCTTTTGAGGGCTACGTTGTTTTATTGCTATTGCTGTTGATATAGATCGCACTTTTTATCTAGGTATGACGTGCTTCGTGTTTACAAACAGGGCTTATCAACTGCAGTGTCGGGTGCACCAGCTTGCAATCCCGCGCGGCCGCCTCGCCTAGACTCTGCGCCTCTTTCGCGAACATGCTCTCTGATCACTTTCTCACTGCGAGCGTAAGAAAGGCGGAGCTCAATCGACTGCAAATGAATGGAGAGCATGTTCGTGAAGGAGGTGCAGAGTCCCGCGTGGGAGTGGCGATGCTGGTACACCCGACACTGCAGTTGATGAGCCCTATATGTAAACGTTGACGGTAAACAAGCACTGCACTTGCGAAGTACAAGCATAACTTCTTTGTCACTTCCTTATTCGCTTTTATTGTTGTGAGTTTTATCCTCTGTAGCACTTCATATCCATCGCACTTTGTAGCAGAATTATTCAGATTTTGTACTGGCCCCATTTCGAATTGCAACATTTCTTTGATACAAGAAATTCTCCAACAAATCAGAGGCCTTTGATTAGCGTCTAAGGAAACGCAGAAGTGCCCAATGTATTGGGTCGGCTAATAAATAATTTCGGTCGCTTTTGCGTTTCCTACAGATGCTGCGGACAACTTTTTGTCTAGTATTCGGTACCTCTGGAAAGAGCACTTCAACGAGAATTGGAACATAAAATCTTTTGAGTAGAATTTGTTTTGCAATGAAAGAAATCCGCAAAGACGTGGGAAATGCCAATTTTCTTATTGTGCGCAAATATGAGAAAAGGAAATTAGATGTTTTCGGTTAAGGAATTTTGAAATGGCAAATCACAGTTTTCATCAATATATTCACTAAGTAGGGAAAACTTATCTGTATCCGATTAACATAATGCTGTTCTCTACATTTACTAGAGCATGATGACGAAGCTTATACAGTCGCATAAGTGAGCTTTCGGAATTCTGTCCCTGCTGGGGCATAACTGTCTTTTACTGATAATTAAGAATCCTGAATAGACGTTATGTGATAAATGAAGCATCGAGCTAGAAACATGCAAAATATCGTGTATAAAGAACAACTAGAAAAGTTTTTTATGAAGATTTTTAGGACAAAACGAAATCATTTTTTATTCAACCTAATACATTCATGTGCCTTTAGTTGCGTGATTTTGATTTTCATTCCTTCTTGTGGCAAAAGTGTGGATTTGAGGAACAGTAATTGAATTTGTCAGGCAACTTCCAAGTTACGACTTTTTTGCGGAAATTAAATCTTTTTGGCAGTATCCACATTTAGTTCGTAAAATGCTAGAATTTTGAAATATGCAAATTATAGATATCCCTCTCAAAATCTTAATTTTCCACCGTACCTGCCTGCTGATTTTCATCATGGTGAATTCGAGAAATGCAAAAATTTGATTGTCAAAATTTGCGAAACTTTGTGAAAAGAGAAAGAAAAGGATTGTGTGGAATGTGCTCCAGACGCGCCGCGAAGCGTTTAGCCTTCTCTTTTGGAAGTGTTTAGGCCCGTTTTCACCATCCGGGGTGCATAAGTCATCTTATAAGCTGAATGTCTGTTTGTATGTATGTCTGTATGTCTGTCTGTGTGTACGTATGTTCCGAATAGAAAATGCCATTTCTGAACCGATCCGGACCAAACTTGGCACACATACACTTCGGGCCCCGGCGCGTGTCATAGGCTACTTTTCGTCATCGATCGATATCGATTTTATCGATTTTTTTGCAAAGTTTGAGCTACGGGGCTGGGAGTTGGCACAGGGGGGTAATCGAGCATGGGGATTCCGAATACAATATTGGTTCTCAGGATTATTGATTACTTTTATCGATTTTATCGATTTTTTTGCAAAGTTTCAGCTACGGGGCTGGGAGTTCGCACAGGGGGGTAATCGAGCATGGGGATTCCGAATACAATATTGGTTTTCGGGATTATCGATTACTTTTATCGATTTTATCGATTTTTTTGCAAAGTTTGAGCTAGGGGGTTGGGAGTTGGCACAGGGGGGTAATCGAGCATGCTGATCATCCCCAAGGGGGGTGATCAGCATGCTCGATTACACCCCCTGCCAAATTACAGCCCCCTAGCTCAAATTTTCAAAAAATCGATAAAATCGATAAAAGTAATGGACGATCTTGAAAACTAATATTGTATTCGTAATCTGCATGCTCGATTACCCCCCTGTGCAAACTCCCAGCCCCGCAGGTCAAACTTTACAAAAAAATCGATAAAATCGATAAAAGTAATGGACGATCCTGAAAACTAATATTGTGTTCGTAATCAGCATGCTCGATTACCCCCCTGTGCAAAATCCCAGCCTCGCATGTCAAAAGTTACAAAAAATCGATAAAATCAATAAAAGTAATCGATAATTCTGAAAACTAATATTGTATTCGGAATCCCCATGCTCACTTCCCCCCTGTGGCAACTCCTAGCCCTGTGGGTGAACTCTGCAAAAAAAATCGATAAAAATCGGTAAAATTGACATCGATCGATAACGAAAAGTGGACTGTGACACCCGCCGGGGCCCGAAGTGTATGTGTGCCAAGTTTGGTCCGGATACGGCGGAGCCGGGTAAGCCAGCTAGTAGAGAGTAAAAGCGGAAGTGAGTGCAAGTGTTACCATAATCTTCCACTTGCTTCATCTTTCTCGGATAGTCCTGATAGGAGAAGTTTATCAATAGTATCGCCATTATTACATCTCGTTTACCACTTTAACACTGCTATGAATGAACTGGGAGTTTTTACAGATGTTTCAGCAGTGCACATTTCTGGATCCATAGTGGTAAAAAGAAATATTCCAGATGACAGCGACGTCGAACTTGAAGGCATGTTACCAGACGAGATTAGTGTCGATTTGGACCAGGCCGCTGGAGGCAGTGAAAGCGAAGATTCCCTTCTCGAATTGGCTCCACCTGCTGCTCTTTTACCTGATGGTAAGTATGAACTTCTTTTGAAATTTTTGCTTTTTGGCTTTTCCCAACATTTTTTGTATCTTTGAGCAATGGAAATTATCGCATGATGTTCAGTTTTAGAAGAAGAAGGCGACTTTCACAGCGGTTTGGCTTTTCCGGCCATTCATAATTCGGAATCCAGTGATGATGAGTTTGATCTCACGAAGCCTAAGAAGGAAGCGAAAAGAAAATCTCGGAAACAACGCGAAACAGACGACGTTGGAGTTGCACCCGAAGTGCCAGTTGTGGAATCGGAGACGCGACAAAGGCGGAACGGAGGAGCGCAAGCGTTGGACGACGATTTTGAGTTGTTACAGTAACCTTACAGTAATCTCGAGATAGAGCTCTACGAACTCTATCATGAATGCCTCGTATCGAAACATAGTCAGTTTCGATGACTGATGTATGAAATGTGATTTCGAATGTGCTAATGGCTTTATTTTTCATTTTTTGTAATTTTTTCTTTGTCGATGACGACACAGAGCTTACTAATTAGAAATGTATATAGTGTTCTACTAGTTCGCTTGTGATATAAGCGATTTTGCAGCGATAATATTTTTTGCAGAAAAGCTTTAAGTAGTTGTAGAAGATTTTTTGAAGTGTCGCATTGATCTTATTAGGTCTGAGAAAGCACGGGTTTCTTGACCGACGTGCTATTTTTTGCAACAATAATCTAGATTTATAATAATTAGCGTAATCCATTTCCAGATTTATAGCTTTTACCTCGTGTTGTCTCTGCATTGATTTTCGTAATCTGCATGCATAATCCTTACTTGAAAAATTGCATCTTGCAGACTCTATGAAAATGAAACTTCTACATATCTGGCGTAACACAGGTATCTCCTTTAGGCTCGTATCACCTATTTTTTTCTGCTTTCACACAGACGCTTGAGATGGGCTCTATAAGTTCATGGATTTGATGTTATCTTTGCTTTGAAATGTCCAAATTATTTGGCTTACAAATAATTATGTAAGAATTGGGTTCGACCACGTGCTCCAACTTTTAATGTACATTTGACGATTCCCGATTTATCAATCTTATAATTTTGATAGAAGATTTCGAGAACTGATCTATGTAAGAGACGAAAAGGGGGACGAGTGGGGTAGTGGTATGAGGCCCGCTATGACCAGATCGGACACAGGTTCGTTCCCCGCCCGTGGGCAAACCAAGCCCTCTACCCTTTGGGGCCGGTAAATTGAAAGCACTGACTTCGTAAACGGCTGGCCCCCGCGCAGGTCACTGTAATAGGCTCGCACGTCTCTTCGACTATGAAGTAGTGTGCGTTCGGCTCATGCCCGCAGAGGGTTTTGAAGATGCCGAATCCTTTATTTATCCTCTAAAAGAGGATACTATGCGCTATCCAAATACATTGAATAGCTTCCAGAGTTGACGCTTTTCTCACAGAGCTCTCTTTTTTCCACTAATTGATGTCCAGTAAATGAGCTGTAAGAAACGCAAATTGTTCAGTGCAGGCGACAATTTATGATCCCTTGAACAAAGTCAATTTTCTTACTTTTCAGCTCTTAAATCAATGAGGAATTCTTTTCACACTTCAGCCGTCAACAGCCGAGATTTCCCACAAGAAAGCTAAAATGTCAAAGCATAAGCTTTGTATGGAAGGACATATACTTACAGTATGGAGTGTAGGGCGAGATGTGGACACCATACAGTTTGCACTTATCTCTGCGCTGGTGCCCCTGCTTTTGAGCTTATCGTTAACTGTCGAGAAAAACTAGCCAGGTTCTATTGAATGTCTTTGATTTTTCTAGCTGCTGTTTTGTGGGGCTTGCTATCCACACAAGTTCGGTCATAAAAACAAAAGTTCTTCCATGTGGTCCGATATCAGAAACTGTTTTTTTTTTTCAAAATACCTACTGTGTTTGACTCTGTGCCGGGTTAGAACTTCAATCTAAATTTTCACATAGAAAAGCCTAGGACCACTGTTCAGATTACTGTAATAAGTAGGCTGTGAAAGTGAAGTTGGACTGTGGAAGTTGGCATTAGATTCTTTATTTTCTGAACTTGTGATGACTTTGAGAGGTACTGGTGCCTTGTTAGAATATGTGATTATTTCAAGCATGGGATATGCTAGGCATTTTAGACTGCCCACAAAGTCCTGTGCCGTACCCGCGCATACATAATCGTGCCAACGCCGTTCCAGCGCCATGCCGGAACGTCGATCAATCAATAAGAAGCAGCATTATATGGGAGTCCGGCGCGGCACTGACACAGAGTTGGTATACGGGCGACTCTGGCCATCGCTTCAAGACACATCAAGTTGATTTTTTTTAGCTTTATCACTCAAATTACAAACTGGGATGGATTAAAGCTAATCAGTTTTGATCGAGAGAGTTTGTTATTCGAGTGATAATTTAGGAAAAAATAAACTTGATCAACACCTTCCCGTTGCTTCTGTTACTTTCAAGTCTTTTGCTCCGTTCAGTCTTTCCTTTGGTAATGAAGCGTCCGTGAAATAGAATCCGGTTATTCTCATTCCCCTCCTTCCCGCTATTCCCTCTGTTCCGCTGCCATGTGCAATTACAATCCAGCCACCATTTCCCTCGTTTTTTCCGATCGGCATTCCCTCGACTGTGTTTTCCGCAATCGCGCGCTCGGTCATATGTTTTCTCATCAAACCATGGGCCGATGCAGCAGAAGTAAAGGCCGACGACGAAAATGCGTCTTTCACTTGTGACTCAGCCGCACTGCCATTCTCCTCTCTTATTCATATGTGAGAGCGCAGCCATAATATAAGCACCAGTGAGAAAAAACATTGCCAATGTGTTTTTTGGCTGGAAAATATTAGCATTTGTGAAGTTCTCAGGAAAAATGTTTGAAATTCCTGCAGCGTTCAATTTAATTCAGTATGTAAATAATGGAACAAATGGTCAGTATCCAGTGGTACATCGTTTGATTACACCGTCCCTTTCTTTATCCTTCCCCACTCCCCACTCCCCCACTTATTCTTTCTCATCCTTTGCATACAACTCAGATAATTCGCCGGAACTTCAGGGCAAGCAAAATTTGCAGCGGTTCCTTAGGATTTCGTTTGTTATTGCAAAAGGAAAAATATTGAAATACAATACCACCCGTAATTTGTGAAAAAAAATGGCGGCGGCACTTAACTTACGCGGCGCCGCCGAAGTTAGGTGACTTTTGCCGCGTCGCGCGGCAAAAGTCAGCGGAAAAGCGGCCAAAGTCACCTAACTTTGTCGCGCAACGTCTAACCTTTTTATAAAAAAGACCATATCTTGATTCAAAATTCATGAATTCTATATATAAGAGTACCATTCAACTCAGCTCGGCGAGGCGCATCTTCCAGTATACAGATGTGCCTAGCTGTGGGTTATAAGTTTTTTTCCTGGAATTTTAGTGTAAATGGATTCAGTGTGCTGATTCCAGAGGCTAAAATGCAGGAAGACAAAGGGAAATGGTTGGAAATCGCATGAGAAGCACACATTGCGGAATGCCGTGCGTGCTGTGCAATGTACAATACCACTCACAGAACGGGAATCTCGCGAAATTCCAGAAGTTTCGCGATTCGGAATATCGCAAATTATGCAGCACCATAACTTCCTTCGGAATGAATATATTCTAAATCCGAAAGCAGCATTGTGTTCAGCTCGTCAAGGCGAATCTTTCGACATACGTCATGTCATCTATATCTTGTTTCCATTTTCTCAAATTTTTCTGAGGAGGTCCCTTTGCAAGTATGTAACGCAGCGACTATCCAACATAAAAGCTTCCAGTAATCACCATTCGATAGTGTTCTTTTTGTACATAACAGTGCGCTGAAAAGCTGCCGTAGACTTCTTTTCAAAACAGAAAAAAGCCTTGGTAAATTCTGAAAAAATCACTCGTTTTCAGATTCTACTCGCCGTAACTTTCTTTGGTGTGGATATTTTCTGAATCCGAAAAATGCATTGTGCTCAGCTCATCAAGGCAAATCTTTCGGTATGCAGAATGTCCTTGATATCTCGATTTCAGTATTCTCAAAACTTTCTGCGGACGTCTCTTCGCAGAGGTGTGAAGCAGCGCGTATTGCCCCCAGTAGATTCAGAAAGAACTTTTAGATAGTACTTCTTCTGTAGATTATGTAGCGCTAGAAATTAGAGGCACACTTCTCTCCAAAGGAGATAGAAGGGCTGGTGAATTCTGGAAAAATCATGTCCTTCTAAATTTTTCTCAACGTAACTCTAAAATATGAAGCTCTCTTGCTAAGCAGATGTGATTTTCGTAACCAGCAGGTCGGATAACCCTTAAGTGCAAGTTTTCCAAGATGTTCAAGTAATTTCATTTTTTCTCGTTTTACGCTCTGAAGCTGGCCGATGGATTTTGGTCAAAATGTTCATGCTCTTAAATTGTAAGGAAACTTCGCTTATAGAGGTTTTCGAACACGCTCTTTACGAAAATCGTGGTCTTTGAGGATTACAGGGTCTTTTTGGTGAGATACGGTGAGGTGACTGTAACTGCATCACGAAAGTGCGTAAATTGGCCCGCACTTCTCGCGTATTTGTCAGCAACCTTGCCTGCTTGCTTTTCTCAGTCAAAGTTACTAGGAACTGCGCTACCGAATGGTGCATGAATCAGGCTCTAGTCTGTAAAAATCACCGAGTTACGAGCCTATGAAAACACGTCCTCATGAATTTTGCCCAAAATCTAAAGATCGCAAATCTCGTCGAAATTCCACCGTGAGCGCTTGTATGACACTCGCATTGCGGATATTGTGTTCGCTTCGCCCAAAAACTCCCACTGTATTGAATATGGTACTTGCATATGCTTCAGCTGCTCAGTTGAATATCAGAGCTATTTCAGTGGCAAGAACTCAAACTACTAAATCTAACACAATAAGATCCATTAAGGACGCGAAAGATTTTGATCAGCGTGTTGTACAAGCGCTCACGGTGGAATTTCGACGAGATTTGCGATCTTTAGATTTTGGGCAAAATTCATGAGGACGTGTTTTCATAGGCTCGTAACTCGGTGATTTTTACAGACTAGAGCCTGATTCATGCACCATTCGGTAGCGCAGTTCCTAGTAACTTTGACTGAGAAAAGCAAGCAGGCAAGGTTGCTGACAAATACGCGAGAAGTGCGGGCCAATTTACGCACTTTCGTGATGCAGTTACAGTCACCTCACCGTATCTCACCAAAAAGACCCTGTAATCCTCAAAGACCACGATTTTCGTAAAGAGCGTGTTCGAAAACCTCTATAAGCGAAGTTTCCTTACAATTTAAGAGCATGAACATTTTGACCAAAATCCATCGGCCAGCTTCAGAGCGTAAAACGAGAAAAAATGAAATTACTTGAACATCTTG